GAGGTGCAGCTGTCTCGTCGACTAACTAGCCCTCGTCGCGCACAGAAGCCGTTCGCCAGTGCACCGACGCTCCTTCCGGCTGTTGACTTTGCTTTTGCGCCGTTTCCACTCTCGACCTTTCTCTCGCCTGGTACCGTGGAGCGAACTTTTGGGATCGCCCAGACGACCTGCGGAACCACGACGTCCACGACGCTGCCCGTCTGCGAATTGTCCCTTCAGCTCCTGCACAAGCCCGGCGACAACCACGCGGCAGCACTCGCGCTGCCCGCCACCATTGTTCCTTCACCGACACATACATTGCTAGCACATCATGGAGAGTCCCGGGGCCTACCCAGAGTCTCCGATCGAGGACGAGGTCGTATATCCGTGCAAGGGATGCGGAGAGGTATGACCAGCCGCCCCGCGAGTCTCTCTTCATCCGCTCATAGCAGTCTAGATCCTCGAGGAAGGCAAGGCCTTTGAACTCGGTATGTATTCCCCGCCGGGACCACCTCCACCCTCGCGCCTTCCTCCCACCACCACTCCCCCCAGACCACCTTCCGAGCATGTCGTATGCTAACATTGCCCAGCCGGAAACCGATGGCATATCGACTGCTTCCGCTGCAACACGTGCGGCACCCTCCTCGACTCGGATGCGAACCTGTTGCTGCTCGGCGACGGCTCTCTGATATGCAACAACTGCACATACAGCTGCAACCATTGCGGGAACAAAATCGAGGATCTGGCCATCTTGACCGGCGACCAGGCCTTCTGTGCCAACTGCTTCAGGTGCCGGAATTGCAAGCGCAAGATTGAGAATCTGCGTTATGCCCGCACTTCACAGGGTATCTTCTGCATGTCCTGTCATGAGTCGCTCATGGCTCGACGGCGCAAGAAATCTAAAAAGCCACCCTCAGTCGCACCCAAGGTAGATAAATCCTTGCCTGCTCTGCCTCCCCAGGAGCAGGCGACCTCCACCTTTACCCCAGACCTCGACACGCCATCCGATGTCTTTTCGGAACCCACCACGACCGACGTATCTCCCAGACCCCCTCAGCCACGACGGGGCGACTCATCATCCAACTTTAGGCGAGATGCCTCGCCAATTGGAGACATTTCACGAAGGGGTACGTAGACATCATCTGGCTTACGCCAATTTCTATGCCTAGCTGACACTTTCACTCACAGATAACACAACGCTCCCCGCAACAACATACAACAAAGACAACAATACGCGTTCGGAACTTGTAGACAATGGCGACGACGGTATCCTTCTACCTTTTGCTCTGGACCCCAACCCTGCGCCAGGCCCGTCACCACTTGGCCGACCCATTAGCCGCTTCAACGACCAAGCATTAGGAGCTAAGTCCAGTGGAAATGGCGCCACTAAGAACGGCCGCGATTACTTCAGCAGGCCTACCGGCGATCATCGCGAGAAATTGAAGGAAAACAGCTCCCGAGAAGCCTCCAAAGAGAGACGCCAAACACAAACCACCCAGAGCCCGCACATCGCTTTCCAGGAAAAAGGAAGACAGCCTTCAGACACACTGGTCGAGACGCTCAGGAAGAAGAAGGACAGCTCTAACGAATCGCCTTCAGCTGAGCCCCGGTCGAGAAGTCAGCACGCTTCTCCCGCTCCTTCAGCTGCGGAGCCCTTCAAGCTACAGGATGTCCCAAAGAATAAGAAGGCCGAGGCCAAACGCAAGGACTCTGACGAAACACCGTCACCACAGCCCCAGGAACGAATGCAGTTGCCTACTTCCTCCAAGAACGACACCATGTCTGCGCGGCTGAGCCGCCCGCTGATTGAACCTACATTCACATCTTCTCCACCACTTGGCTCGCAGGACTCACCGCAAACCTCGGAATCGTCGTTCGGATCCAACCTTGTAGTAGAACGACCTGCGCGTGGCGATTCGCTCAAATCCTCGGCTCTGAAGCCATCAGCTCCCATTTCGCGAAACGAAAGACCTAGTCCGTCACCCACCACGCCTACCCTCAACCATCCCGAGCGAACATCATCCACAAACACAGCAAGTGCGAATCTCAACGCGGGGCTTGGTATACTCAGTCCTGCGGATTCGCCATCCTCTAAAACTCCATTAGATCCGCCTGCGCTTCCCGCGCGTTCAGGTGGGCGTCCTGCACAACCTTCGACTGACACATTCACATCTCCACGCGCACCCCCACAACCGCCCACCGTACAACACCATAAGACAAATGAATCCATCAGTAGTGCCCAAAGCGAAGCATCTCGAGAAGCATACGGTGCTGGTGGCCTTCCCCGGTATAGCCACCAGGGCAATTTCTCCATGGACGAGGACTTCGCGCGCTTGCTTGGAAGCCAAGATGGCAGAGATGATAAAGAGACCGGAGTCTTCAGGAGGGTTTCGAACGCTGTCTCTAAGCATGGACGCAGTTTCAGTGACCGTGGCTCTGTCACATCGCGAGGTCACAAGAAATGGCCTACGAACGGCTCGATCGACATTAGCAGCCCCACAGTTGCCTCGCCGGATACCAAAGAAGAAGGCGTCAATCTGCGAAACGAGCTGCGCCGCGCTCAGCAGCGGATCGCAGAGCTCGAAGCTGAAAAGAATGGGCTACAAGAATCGATGCACAGCGCAGCCGACATCAAACAAGCGAACACGGTTCTGAGAGAGAAGCGAAACACAATGGCAGTCTTGGATACGCAACGCGAGATGGTGATTCGCGAATTAGAGATCATGACTGAACATCTCAAGAAAGCCAAGAGCAATCAGGGCAACATTGAGATCAACCAACTCAAGTCAGACATTCTTAAAGAGTTTGCAGGCTCGCTGCAGAAACTGAAAGATAATCTGGGGAATCAAATAGAAGACCTCATTACGAAAAGGTCGGATTTGACAGAAGAGATCTCGAATCTCATACAGATGAAAGACAAAGGTTTCCAGGAGTACGAATCGCTTACGGCTGCTAATGCCAGACTCTCCGCAATGAATAGGGATCTGGTGGACAACATACAGACAAATCTCAAGAACAACAAGAAGCCTGGGCAGAACCTTGACGTGGCTGCGAATGGCCTAGGCATATACAACGCGCAGCAAAAGGGCGGCAAGTCAGAAGTATCAGTAGATACACAGCCAATACCCCATGAGCACTCTTATGCCAATCTCCATGACGATACTGAGGCGACAGTCGCTCAGCCGCAGGTTGTCAACATCAGGAAGACTGGAAAGCCTACCAAGTTTTCAACATGGAAGAAGGGTGGGCAGGCCATTACAAAGAACGTCACCAAGGGCTTCAAAGGCGCGTTCGGTTCAGAGCAGAAGCAGGAGGACTACAACGTCAAGGTCATTGGTACACCGTATGGATCCGTGCACTCCGGGCCTGACATCGCATCCATGTCCATGTCTAGTTCCATCAAGAGTCGAGATACTATGGACCAAGGAACTCCGCGCGGCTGGTTCGGTGGAAAGCCCGGAAACGTTCGACCAGGCGGACCACCCCAAGCTGGCTTCAGGCCCATGCAGAATAACAACACCAGTACTGCTAACCTGGCTGCTGCCGACGCCAGTACCGTGCTTTTCGGATCTGATCTGACTGCACGTTGTGAGTTTGAACGGCAGATGATTCCACGCATTGTCAGTCGATGCATCGAAGAGGTCGAGCTCCGCGGTATGGATGTGGAAGGCATCTATCGTAAGAGTGGAGGAACTTCTCAGGTGAACCAAGTCCGTAGTGGTTTCGAGACGGACACCGAGCACGATATCTCAGACCCTGATTTGGACATTCATTCAGTCACTTCTGCGCTGAAGAACTACTTCCGCAGGCTTCCTGTGCCGTTGATCACGTATGACGTTTACGATCAGTTCCTGGAAGCGGGCCGTAAGTACATGCCCTTGAAAGATAAAGCAAGCGCTAATGGATCTACAGAACTTGAGGAGCCGAATGCCCAAGCCAAAGCTTTGTCTGCTGCTGTGAACGAGATCCCCAAGGCTCACCGTGATACACTACAGTTCCTTGTGTTCCACTTGTCGCGCGTCATACAACACGCCAGCGACAACTTGGTATGTATACACAGTGTGCGTTCCAAATGCGTGATGACTAACACTTGACAGATGACACCACTCAATGTCGCCGTCGTCTTCGCGCCAACCATCATGCGGCCCATGGACATCCAGCGCGAACTCACCGATGTGCAACAGCAGCGCGTCGCCGTACAAGCTCTACTGGAGAACTACAAGACAGTGTTTGGCGATGAATGAGATGAGCAATTTGCTCATAAGACACTGTCATGGTAGTTGAAGACGTCTTATCCTTCTGTTATATCGTTTCCATTTTCAGCATGTGTATCTACAGCGGGCGTTACGGGCCCGATCTCCAAGAGTTGCTTTGTCCTTGTCTTCGTGTACCATACGAACCTGCACAGTTTTGGATCCTGTCTGTATCAAGGGCCGTGAGGTGTATATTGAGGGCAATGATGGAAATTGTTATTATACCCTTGGGCCTTTTCTGCTTGGTCAATTGAGCGTAGGCTGCAGTATATAATGAATAGTTGAGATGATAGTTTCAGCACGCATGCGGGCCGGGACCTAGACTTTGTGATCATTCACATGCTCCACAAGGATGTGCTGTTCCTGTGCTTGGCGGTTTCGCTACGTCGCCGCTAACGCGCTCAGGATGACGTCGTCGGTTACCGCCCACTAAGCGAACAAGCATGTGAGGGAGCCTGTTTCCGGTCTCACACGATCGCTCATCAACTTCCCATAGTTTCCCGGTACTCCTCGACTGATCTGCAAACCACGCACTCGGCCTCTTCACGACACAACCCTTGCCCCTTACAGAACTACTACCCCCTCCATACATCATGTCTTACGCAGAGATGGCTGCCAAGGGCCCCAAGCAGAGCCCCGAGGAGGTAAGTCTGTCAAGAGCACTGCATAACCTGGGTCAATGCTAACTCAAAGACAGGCGTAAGTCATACCTTTCATCTTCTTGAAGTCGTTTCTCTGCGACGGCGACTGCTTAGGATAGTTCGCAGCATGCCGTGGTACCCCACGGTCTTCAAAACACGAGCAATGAGCTTCAAGGCATTGAGCTGTAAAGTCGTTCTAACATGTACTCACAGTCGCGCCCCAGCTCAACCCCAGGTCGAGCACGCCTCTGATGATAGCGTCCACTCCCTTGTCGACGTAGACAGCCCGCACATCTCTTCCGTTCCCTCCGACTACGAGTCGCAAGAAATCAAGACCGACACTCAGGCTGAGCGCATCGAACGCGAAGAGGAAATCAAGGAAGAAGTCAAGAACGTCAAAGAACGGGCTGCTGCAAAGAAGGATGCCGCGAAGGAGAAGGTGAAGAAAAACGCCGATAACCCGGTTGTGCTGAGCAATGCGGTCGGTCTGGCCGTCGTTGGTGGCATTGTTGGATTCGGCGCATACAGGCAGTATGTTCGCGGCGAGTTGACCGGCAAGGTCGTCGCAGCATGGGCTGCTGTCATTGGACTATTTGGTGTTGGCGACTACTATGTCAGCCAGTATGTTACTCTCAAGAGAACCGCTATACGGATTTTCGTGCTAATCATTTTAACAGATACTTCTTCAAGCGCAACCCCCCGAAATAGACATCATTCGATCGTCTTTTTCAGATTCGCACTTCACTTCAATAGCGTTTTCATACAACAAATTCGTACTGAGATCTTGATCATCTGGACTGTACCAATTTGGCTATGTTACTTTTGCTTTCTCGCGGTACCATACAGCAAGCAAGAGGTTCTCAACTCGGTTTCGGTCTTGAGGCGAGACGCTTCCATCAGTCCACTTTTGTATATATGAGGTCAACGTTCAATATACCCGTTCGAACATCATATTGATTACACTACCTTGAAAGCACATGTTCCCCAGTATGTCGGCAGAGTGCAACACACGAGCAGATTCCAAGCATCATGGCAAACGTATTCGAGATGACCAGAATTCTTCAAAGTTCTTCCACGTGATCCGGGATCTCCAGCCACGCAGATCCCTGCTCCTTCCGCTTAGAAATGCAGGTCCCATAACTTTTCCGTAGTGACGACACTTGCATGGACCGTTGACATCCGCCACGACTCTCTCCTAACATCTTCTTTCTGTTTCACGTCCTTCGGCATCATGTTTCGTGCAGCCCCACGGTTAATTGCGCGTCCAGCGCTGCGGATCGCGCCACTACGGTCAGCCGCGCCGGCCAGACGGTACCTCAGCACCGCTCCACCATCACAAAAGTCGAGAAGTTTCAAGAGTCTGGTTGCGAGAGTCGGTATTGCGGGAGCAATAATATACTATTACAATACCACAGATGTTTTCGCGGAAGAGCCAAGACGTATGTTTGGACCTCGGTGGACGGTGTAGCCGGACGAAAGAAACTAATCCTGCCTTCAGAACTTGCTCAAGCCCTCCCAGAGACCGAAGTCGAATCCGAACACCTCCCAACCATCGAATCTATCTCCGAAGAGCGCAAGCGGAGACAAGCGGTACAGGCACAACTAGACGCTCAAAAGCAGAAGGAGGCTGCGAATGCACAACAGAATGCTAAGCCTTCAGAGGATGGCCAGGGCGGCATAGAGGGGCTCGAAGAGGAGGCAGATCAACAAGGCGCATTCAACCCAGAGACAGGCGAGATCAATTGGGATTGCCCATGTTTGGGCGGTATGGCTCATGGGCCTTGTGGTGAGCAATTCAAGGCAGCCTTCAGCTGCTTTGTGTACTCTACCGAAGAGCCCAAGGGCATGGACTGCATCGACAAGTTCAAGTAAGTCCACATCATGACAGTGGAGCCTCGACAGCTTGCGAGAATTACTATGGGATGAATGACTTACGCATCATAGGGACATGCAAAACTGCTTCCGCGAATACCCTGAAGTTTACGGTTCAGAGCTAGACTCTGATGCCGACGAGGAAGATGACATGACAGCCTCCACGGAAACACAACAACCCCGCTCTTCGCCTACTTCTGCCCCGCCATCGGACACCTTCTCTTCCAACACGCAGTCCGACTCCAGATCACAACCTGCCGCCGACGATCATGCCGCCTCAGCCAAGGGCGACTTTTCTAGTGAGCGTAGCTCGAAGCCTCACACCCCACATGAGAACAACCTAGTCCCTGAGGAATATAAGCCAAATGTCAAGCACAACCCAATCTATGACGCAAGGGGAGACATGAGCAGCCTAGACAGCGAAAAGGAGAAGGAGAAGAGCAAGCAAAGGCCAAAGGGTGACAGCGATACCGAGAGGGCGAACAAGGCAAAGAACCAGGTCAAGAGCCAAGAACCTGTCAGTGAGAGTGAGAGCATGGTACCCAAGGCTAGGCATGACGAGAATGCGAAGGGAACAGAAAAGTTAGAGAGGAAGTAGGGTACTTGTAGGGTATGTGTGGATGGAGACGTGATATGAAAGCGATGGCATTGTATTATACTACCTGTACAGCATGTTTGGAGAGGAAGAGGCTTACGTTACCTGCTACTGACGACTAGGAAAACTCATGTATAGTATATATAGTTCTCATCATACACTCAAGCACTTTCATACCATGGGTTCTGTGGGCTTGGAGAATAATTTGCATCGTCTTTGATAATAGAAACTACTATACAGCAGGACTCGGAGTCTGCCAAAAGAAAAACAGGAAGGTTCAACATATCAGGCCATGTAGCATGACTCTTTGCAGGCACTCACTCGTTTATACGCCAGAAAACACCTTCCAACGAACCCAACAAGCGTCAATCCCAAGTTGAGGCGTCATACTGTCCTGACGCTTGTATGCCTCTGACTTGCCCCAATCGTCTTCCCCCTTATCAACGACATCTTCGTCCTTTCTTCCTTGTCGATAGTACGGAAGCATCTCATATGCACACCCAGACTTTGAATCATAGACACTCGTCTCATACACATCGTCCGCGCTGAGATGCTTCTAAATCTCCACCTTGCTGTAGCCCTCGGCACCCTCAGCAATAGGTTGAGCAACATCAGCATCCACGCTATCGCGCTTGACACCCATGCTATCCTCGCCCTTGCCAACGCCAAACATCCTCATAGCTTCAGTCAGGGCTTGAACAGCTTCTTCGTTGCTCATGCTACCAGGCAGACCCTGGCCACCCATGGAGCTGCTGATGCGCTTGGTAGCATCTTCCAATGCGCGGACTCTCCTCTGGAAGTTGAGGCGGTCCATGAAGAGTTGCTGGCGACGGCGTTGCAGGTCACGACGCTCGGCGGAAAGTAGTTTCTCAAAGTCGTTGAAGTGTGCGAGTTTGAGCTGAAGCTTTTGGAGTTGAAGGTTGACTGCACCTGAGACGAGGCGAGTGATGTGGCGTTCTTCGTGCGATGCTAGTGCTGAGGAACGGGCGGCAGAAAGAGCGAAGGGGAGGGTCGCCAGGGGGTTGGCGTTTGACGAGTCTGATTCTCTGGTGGCTACAGCGGTCGAATCGGCGGAAGGGTCTACATCCATGGCATCGCCACTTTCTGGCTTCATGTCTGAAGCAGTTGCTGCGGGTGTAGACTGCTCGCCTTCCTTCTCCTTGCCCTTCTCGGATGGTGCAGTTGGGGCTTTGTTAATCTTCTCTTGCAGGATGCGCCTCATTTCGCCAACGCTACGCTCTGACGCTACAGCTGCCTCTGTGACGTTTGCAGGTGCAAGACCAGCCAAGAAACTGACAACGCTGAGAATTGGGTTGTCGGCATGGTGGATGGGTACACGACCTTCGCTGAGGTAATCCAAATCGCGCAGGAATTTGGTTGAAGGGGCTGCGGACTGTGACTCTGGTAGATCCGCCTCAATGTACTTGTCCTCAATTTCGAGCTGCAGAAACTTCATCACGCACTGCTCGCGGGTTTTCGTCTGGACGTGGTCGGCAACACGGTTCCAGTCATCATCGAATTCCTCTAGGCCCTCAAGTAGCAGAAGAGTCTCCTCTTCCGTCCACTTCTCTTCTGTCTCGGCCGCTGCCGAGTTGTCCGGGTTGGAGATCTTTGTGAAGTCTGCCGAAGACGTACCAGATGGGAAGTTGCCTTCAACGAAACACCTGGGGCAGAGATCGCGCTTCAGACCACCTGCGGCCTTCATTTGTCCAGGTTGCTCAGAAGGTTTCGTCTCGTGGAAGTGTACACGGGTACATTCGACACCACAGCTGAAGCAGTTGATGACCTTCATTGGCTCCTTGGCAGCAGCTTCGAGGTCCTTGACGTCGACGGGGCCATTCGCAGCACCTTCACCGTTAGCGGTCTTTGGCTCTGCGGAAGCCTCTTTGCCATTGGCTTCGTAGATGTTTCGTCCAGCCAGAGACTTGGTCTCGCTTTTTGCGGTGGGCTGCGCACTCGCGGCGCGGTCGGTGGCTGTGAGCTGCTTTCCGTCTGTAACTTTGGAGCCTGGACCAGGTTGGAAAGGTTGCAGTCCGCGAGGTGTGTCAACGGTGACACGGAAATGGCCGGTGAAAGGTGGGCCAATGTTTGATGGGCGTTCTTGAGGGTCGACCTAGAGAGAATGTTAACCGTGACTTCAGAGTGATGCTAGAGCGGCAAGGTTTACTTGGTAGTTGATCAATCCCCACTGCTCGAGGAAAGCATGTACGCGCATGATGGCACAAACGTCACCTGCCAGATTCCTTCGGCACGCAGTTACTGTGAGGTATTCGGACGGGTTTAGGCGGTATGTGTTGATCATAAAATCACGATAATCGCGGTATACGGCAGGCGTCTTGCTGCGGTTGCGGCCGTTGAAGAACTCGGGTAAGGCTTTGCGCTCACGGTAGTCAATGTAGCGCATGTCGAACCAGGTTGCGTAGCTGGGGATGATGGTCGCATATGTCTGGGTGACGAAGTGTGAGCGTGCCGCCGACTGTAGGTCGGCCTTTGCTTGTGCTTCTGGATCCGCAGGTTCAGCACCCTCGCCATTCTCCTTTTTGGCATCTTCGACACCACCCATCTCCTCGTCGTCCTGGCCATCGGCGTCTTCGGCTTCCGGTCGTGGGCCATCAGGTGCGTCTAAGGGATTGTCTGATACTTGTGCTGGCGTAGCAGTTGCGGGTTCGTTGGAAGACTCCTTGGCGGGTGCGTCTTCGAGCATGTTGGTATCTATGGAAGTTAGTTGGCTGATATCTCCGGAATCCGGGGTGTCGGGTGTTCGCATCGAGTCTTCCAATGCAGGGACATCAGGAATGGCAGCGAGATAATCGCCGTTGAGCCAGCCGTCCATGTTGTTGACGCGACTGGGGATTGGCATCGTGGTGCTTGGAATGGGGATTTGACCTACCTTGATCGAGCGCATTGACGTCTGTAGCACCCTCTCCAGTAAGGCTTGGGTCCCGCGCAGTTGCGCCTGCTGTCGCGTCGTCGGCCATGGCTTAGGCAGTGCTATGCAACAGTTGCGATGCGACAAGAGCTGGAAGGCGCTATGCGGCACTGCAAAGGGGAAATCGCGGGGCGCCGGTGATGAGAAAGAGTGCGCGACCGCAACGTGTCGTGATCAACGTGTTGCAGCGTGGTCGTTGTTGAATGAAGGTGGGGATGGGCGGCTGCGATGGGTGGGTGGATGTCGCGTCTGAAGTTCGCGATGCTCTCGAACGCCTAAGCAAAAAGAGCACTAAGGAGCAAGCAGCCTTTTCACGTGACCAATCTGCAGCTCCGCATGCAAGGGCTAGTGCCGGATAACTAACCTGGTCAAACCGAGGTCATAGTTCTCCGCGCCGTTTGGGCTACTTTCACCACTCTTGGACGAGGCATTCTACCTCACCTTTTTTCGAACTCTGCGTCTTGTTCGATTCTAGTGGCGTTGCACTATTCTCGCCCACCATGTTCGCCGCCGCACGTCAGTCCGCCCTTCGCACAGCGCGAACACAGCTTCGGCAGTCGCAACCCACCGTCGTACCCCAATACTCGGCCTTCGCACGGTTCGCGTCAACATTCGCCATTCTCGAGCAAAAGGAGGGAAAGATTGTATCACAGTCATTGGCCGCCATCACGGCAGGAACAAAACTCGGAGGCTCAATAACAGCCTTCATCGCTGGAAGTGGGGTCAAGTCGGCCGCAGATGAGGCAGCCAAGTCAAAGGGTGTAGAGAAGGTTATCTACGTTGAGAATGGAGCATATGACAGGGTCGGTTGTCCAAAGCGACATTGAGTGTCCTAGGGCTGACAGCATCTTGCAGTGTCTTCCTGAGAACTATGCGCCACTCCTGGTTGAAAACATCAAGAAGGGTGGATACACACACGTCGTTGCCGGTCACTCAGCATTTGGAAAGAACATAATGCCACGTGTCTCGGCGCTGTTGGATACACAGCAAATATCAGACATTACCGACATTAAGGGTGAAGACAGTGAGTGAGCATCCTGTATTGTTTACCAAGAGGTGCTGACCAAATCATAGCATTTGTCCGCCCAATCTACGCTGGTAACGCCATCATGACAGTCCAATCGTCGAACAGCACCAAGGTTATCACCGTCCGAGGCACCGCATTCCCCGCGCCCGAGACCGAAGGTGGAAACGCAACAGTGGAGGAGGGCATTGACCCCAAGGCCGAATGCTCGACAGAGTGGATATCCGAAGACCTCCAGAAGTCCGACCGTCCAGACCTTGGCTCGGCAGAGAAAGTTGTCTCGGGAGGTCGTGGTCTAAAGTCCAAGGAGGAGTTCGACAAGCTCATGCCACCGCTAGCAGATGCGCTCGGTGCGGCTATCGGTGCATCAAGAGCAGCAGTCGACAGCGGCTTTGCGGACAACAGTTTACAAGTAGGCCAGACTGGAAAGAACGTTGCGCCACAATTATACCTGTGTGCTGGTATCTCCGGTGCTATTCAGCATCTGGCAGGCATGAAGGACAGCAAGGTCATTGCAGCTATCAACAAGGATGCCGAGGCACCCATTTTCCAGGTCGCAGACGTCGGTCTCGTTGGAGATCTTTTCGAAAAGGTCCCAGAATTGACCGAGAAGCTCAAGTCGCAGTAAGCACTGGGCGTGTCATACATACATGTTGTACATAGTTTGAAAAGAAATCAATAAGATGAACAACATGGACTGTTCGGACGTTCAGGCACGAGTATCATGCTGACAGATTTCCATACCTCATTGTGATTTCTGAAATAAAGTAGACGAGCACGTCCTACGCTTTCTAGACAGTCCTTGACAGCATGTGAAGCCTTAATTTTAGATCTTCAAATATCCCTAGTCAATGACTGCTTGGCGTGCGTCAACGGCTGATCGGCACTAGCACCTACGCACCCACGATCGGTCTCCACCACGCCGCGATAGCCGAGTAGTCAATCGCGTGGCCTTGCTGGAGACTTGGGTCAGATGCGTGGCCATGACTTCTCTGCGTAAGGCAGTCGTTATTCTTTCGTTTTTCACATCTTCCTCCGTATCTACCCGCCAGCCGTGGACGCTTCTTGAATAGGTACATGCATCGCCTAGCGCCACTTTCTAAGCATCTAGTCATCGGCGTACATTCTTACCGGACATATTGACCGGCTTTCCACAAATCTCGAATCCTTGTGCTATTAATAAAGCCAGGTTCATCTTGGGTTCTCGACGGTTTCTGCCATATTTGGAGACACTAAAGACATTTAACATAGTAGATTGACGATGTCCGATGTTGCATCGCACCGATGATGGCGCATGAACAAGAAGAACCGGAGCAAGCAAACGATTTGAGGCAGCACACGTCTCGATCAGAAAAGGAGAAAAGAAAAGAGCATAAGTCTTTGAAAGACAGCAATCGGAAAAGATGGTGGAACGTGTGGAAGAAATGGGAAGGGCAGGACAGTGACTGGTGGTTTGCCAGCACCGGAATTCCTTTGCTCGCTGCAACTCTCGGTCCACTGGCAAATGTAAGCTCGATAGCTGCCCTCGTCACCCCCTGGAGGCAGCAAAACATCATCGATGGCGTCCGAGTCTCGGACTTCGAAGGTGTACCTTTTGGCGACCCGAGATGGTGCTACTGGATTAACGTAGCTTCACTCATCTGCGGGTTTCTTGGAAACCTCTTCCTTCTCCTCAACTTCACACAGAGGATCCGCTACATTATTGCTTTACCTGTTACAGTCGTTCTATGGTATCTTTCATCCGCGTTTCTGATAGCAATAACGATATGCATGAACACTTACCAACCACCCATTCGACCGGAACAAGGGTATACGCAAGGATTTTGGTATGCGATAGCGGGTGCAGCATTTTACACCATCTGTTCCATGATTCTCATGGTCAACATGCTTGGTTTCTTTCTTGGTCACTATCCAGAGAACTTCGCATTGAGCGACAGTCAGAGGACACTCATATTACAGACTATGGCCTTCTTCATCTGGCTAGGTGGCGGCGCAGCAATCTTTGCGAAGCTTGAGCAAGATGCTGGCGAAGATAGTTGGAGGTTCGCCGACGCTCTTTACTTTTGCGACGCAACTATTCTAACTGTTGGATTCGGCGACCTGGTACCCACGACCGACGTCACCAGGGGTATTGTATTTCCGTACTCTGTGGGCGGTACAATAACGCTAGCTCTCATCGTCTCATCGCTTTACACAGCGGTGCGCGAGCTTGGGGACGAGAAAATTGTCCAGAAGCATGTTGATCGCATGCGCGAGCGTGTCGCAGAACGTACAGTTACCAATTCGTTTGATCTTCGACATCGTGAGCGCGAAGCTCACCACCTGATCCGGAAACGTAAACTTGGCTTTCCACGGATATCAGCACCCACTGAGCCACGGCCTCTCAGGACGCTTGTAGGCGAATCAGTTCAGCATACATCAACTATTCCCCGTGTCGCTCATGCTTTTGGTATAGCCTCCTCTAAACCGAAGATTATGCTGTTGAAAGAAGAGAAGGATCGTTTTGAGGCTATGCGCAAAATCCAGGCCGATTCACAGAAGTTCAAGCGTTGGATGGCATTATTCTGGTCCGTCACTACATTTTCAATTCTCTGGTGTGTTGGCGCGGTCGTCTTCTGGGTGACCGAAGAGGAAACGCTGAACTTGACGTACTTCCAGTCACTCTATTTCTGCTATGTCAGTCTGTTGACTATTGGTTATGGAGACTTGGCACCGAGATCCAATTCTGGGCGCTGCTTCTTCGTCATCTGGAGCTTGATAGCCGTGCCGACCATGACCATTTTGGTTTCGGATCTAGGGGATACGGTTGTTGCCAATTTTAAGAGGTGGAGCGACGAGCTCGCTGACTTTACGGTACTACCTAAAGCAGGTATCTGGCGTTCTTTCCTGAACAAGCATCCCTGGCTACTGCGGTGGCTGCAGCAGTGGACAGAGTACCGAGCGAGAAAGAAGAGGCTGATCAGGGGCTTCAGCATCGCAGATCCAAGATCAGAGGACAGTTCTGCAACCTCCTCTGACCTCCAGAACCGAGAAGACATCCTGAATGACCCCGAACATCGCGAAGAAGCTACCGACTTGGAATTGACTCGCCACCCTACTGTTCTTGCTCTCGCCAATGAAGCCGAGACTGACATCACAAACCCCCCCACCCGGGCCTCTCTTACTCGTCGTCTCGCCCTTTCCATCCACAAAGTTTCTCTCGATCTGAAAACCGATAAAAAACGCTATACGTATGAGGAGTGGGTTGAGTTCACGCGACTTATTCGCTTGACCAGTCCAGAGCGCCTGGACCGTGATCTTGGAAGCGGTGCAACGACGTTTGATGAAGAAAACGAAGAAGGCCTAGTCAACTGGGATTGGATTGGAGATGATAGTCCCATGGTATCTGGGATCAGTGAAAGTGAGTGGCTCATGAAACGATTGATCGAGAGTTTGGTAAGGTTAGAGAGGAGGAAGGAGGTTGCGAGGGGAAACTCCAACATAGAAGCTATAAGGGAGATGGAAACAGAGTATTGTGGTAGAGATGAACTGGACGAGCTGCAAAGCTAGCAAGAAGGTATATTGCATTCATTGATAATCTAAGACTCGATTGTGCTCTGAGGTGGCATCGACATTCATGGAGGAGCAAAATAACCGTGTCGCGTCCCTCTGGCCCTGCGCGCCTGCGTCGCCAATCTATAGCGAACGCTAACGCTATTTCGATGTTTCCTAGAATCTCTTCATGAATGCGATTGCTACCATTTAAACGAGCTGGTCATTGCAGGTGCGACAGCTAAGGTGTTGCCTGGAATGTATACATGTAAGACCACTTTGTCAGTATGTCATTTCTGCAGGCACGCTTAAATACATATCTTGGCCATGGCTATTGCCAGAACCGGTGTAGGTTGGTGTCGGCTATTGTTGGTAGTGAACACAACCTTTCCATGTATCGTCGGACTTGCGGGCACCGACTTCCGTCAAGGGCAATGTGAAGAGCAAGTAACATCCGACTTTCCAGGTAAGTTTCACCCATCACTCGTATGCCTGATTCATTCCGACTTAACTTGCGAGGGGCCAAATTTACGGAGCGTTCTTTTTTAGCCGAGTTTTCTTATTCGCATTGACTAGGGCTCTGGACGTTGAAACACGGCAGACGCGCGTTGCCCCTTTCAGCTCGCAGGTATTCGCTCGATTGGGAAGAACTGTGGTGAAGCGAGATGTATGCCAGTTAGCGCCGCCAGTCGTTCGTTGCGCCAAGTCCGTACGAACTCAGCCCCCAAAGGCGCCCATGCGAAGGATGGTTCGAGATTATCCTGCTTGCGGATCCTTACCTCGCACCTTCACTCCGTCTTTTTGCGATGTACGTGCCAAATCGGAGCATGTAGGTCCACTTCTGCCGTTGTAGACCAGGATACGCTCTATACGGCAGCCGCATCATCAGGCATCTACTTTTGTTCACTCGTTTACATAACCACCTCTGCTACCCTTGTATACTCTTCTCTTCTGCTCATGTTCTTTACAACTTTGTTTTCACCCTTTTGAGCCGAGTCATGGATTCTAGTATCGCCGACAGTCGATTGCCACCTCGACCAACGACCAATGCTGAAGCAGAAAATGCTGCGCTCGCTACTCAAATCCTTGAGACAGGGACCGAGGAAAAGCAGGGCGCCACTGAGGCTGTAGAGAAAGATGGAGAGAGCTCCACGAAAGCAAAGAAAGTACCGCAGGCAGGTCTGAAGAACTACTTCGTATGTACTCCGCCTTGGACGTGATTCATCGCTAACATGGCCAGCGAGTCTTCTCGTACGGATCCAAGTTGGACTTCTGGCTCATGTTTCTGTGCTGTGTCACATCAATAGCCTCGGGCGTCACGTTTCCACTGATGAATGTTGTCTTCGGTATGATCCGACGTCACTGGATGTGGGATACACTTAAGGGATACTGACTACGATTAGGTCAACTGGTCGGTTCTTTTACCAACTACTTTATTCCTGGGACTACTATGACAGCTGGCGAATTTCAAGCGGAGATCAACAGACTTACACTGTTTCTCCTCTACCTCTTCATCGCGAAGTTCGTGTTGTCATACATAGCAATGGTACAGACATATGTCTCAGATAAACCATCAACACACTAACGCTGATACAGCTCACTATCCGAATCAGTGGTCTTCGAATCTCTGCTGCACTTCGCCTAGCTTACCTACGAGCCTTGTTTGCACAACCCGTCAGTGTGATAGACACTATAAGCCCCGGCAAAGTTTCCACGCGAATTACCACTTCCTCCAACACAGTTCAACTGGCCATATCGCAGCATTTCGCTATGCTCTTCCAATCTCTCGCATTCGTCATCGGAGCTTATGTGGTAGCTTTCGTTAAAGGCCCGCTGCTTACTGTAGTCGCCTCTGCTTCGTTGCCGTTCATCCTCATCATTTCGGGTGCCCTAGTACCACCTTTTATCCGGATACACAAGGTCACTGAGAAGCATCATGAAGATGCTTCGGCTATGGCTTTCGAGATGTTCTCGTCAGTTCGCATTGTTGCTGCCTTCGGAGCAGAGGCGAAACTGGCAAGGCAGCATGAAAGTTTGCTAGACAAAGCTGCTAAGAATGAGCGTAGAGCTGCGCCTTTGATGGGTCTCATGATGTCGCCTTTGATGGTTGGACAGTACGGCACTTTCGCTATCGCCTTTTGGTTTGGCATCAAGCAGTACTCAGAGGGCAAGAGTAGCGACATCGGGGTCATAGTTGTGGTCCTATTTTCTGTCATGATGGCGATCATGAATATCAGCAGGGTTGTCAGCCCCATCATCGCTATCGCGAAGGCATCATCTGCGGCTACCGAACTGTTCATCACAATCGATGCCCCCATCCCTAATACTGCTGGAGTAAAGGAGCCTGACATATCGGCAAACTCAAACATTATTTTCGATAATGTTGCCTTTTCGTATCCAAGCCGACCAAATGTTCAGATCCTTGGGGGCCTTGATCTTGAGTTTGAGGCCGGTAAAGTCACCGCTATTGTCGGCCCGTCTGGAAGTGGTAAGTGATCTCGACCATTCGAGTCCGTCTGATCGTTACTGATTTTGTGCTCCCACTCTCAGGTAAGTCTACTATTGTAGGACTGGTACAGAGATGGTACGACCTATCAGGCACGACAGCCACGGTTCCATCTGATGCAGACCAAGACCACTTGTCGCCCCCCAACGACGCATCTAAAGCTAAGGACGGTGGCTCTAAGAAGTCTAGCTGGTTTAAGAAACGAGCTGAACCGAAGACCGAAGACAAACAAGCATCCACAGAAGCAGTCGAACATGACAAGAGCAAAGACGATGAGCCTGAGCTGGGTCCAAACACTTGCACTGGTAACATCAGGACTGGAAATACCAATCTACTGGATGTCGACCTAAAATGGTGGCGCTCTCAGATTGGCCTGGTCCAGCAAGAGCCCTTCCTCTTCAACGATACTCTATACAACAACGTGGCATTCGGTCTGACAGGCACCCAATACGAAGACCTGCCAAAAGAAGACAAGATGAAAATGGTAGAAAACGCATGTCGCGAAGCCTATGCTGAAGAGTTTGTCGCCAAACTACCAGAAGGCTATGAGACATTGGTGGGAGAGAGCGGTATCAAGCTGTCTGGCGGTCAACGACAACGGGTTGCCATCGCGCGAAGTATCATCAAACAGCCGGCTATACTTATTTTAGACGAGGCGACTAGTGCTATAGATGTACGGACAGAACGTATCGTTCAACAAGCTCTCGATCGCGTATCGAAGAATCGAACAACTATCGTCATCGCGCATCGCCTCTCCACCATCAGAAGAGCGGACAAGATCGTCGTCTTACGTCGAGGCCAGCTTGTGGAGCAAGGCACCCACGAAGAGCTGTTGAAGATAGAAGCGGGTGTCTATTACGGCTTAGTTCATGCACAAGAAATCACAATGGAGGCTGAACAGGACGCTGATGTCGATGCACTCGAGAAGGTAAAAAGCACAGATACCACCATCATCGAGGAGCACAAACACAGCAATCAGATATCTGAAGCGGCAGCAGATCCGGAATACAAACAACAAGGTCTTCTCGGTAGCTTTGGACGTCTTCTCTACGAGCAACGCCACCATTGGATATTATACACCGTCGCTGTTCTCGGTATTTTGGCTAGCGGTGCTGTCTACCCACTGCAAGCCTACATCTTTGCAAGTGTTGTCAACGTCTTCACCCTTCCAGTGGATGAGCTCGTTAGTCAGGGTAACTTCTGGGCCGGCATGTTCGGTGTGCTAGCTGCAAGTACTTTTCTCTCCTACTTCTTCATGGGATCGGCTTGTCATCTCATCGCTGTCATGGTGACGAAGCAGTATCGACAAGAGTATCTTGATAACCTCATACGCAAACGCATTGCGTTTTTTGACGACCAAGGACATAGCCCCGGATCTCTGACAGCGAGGCTAAGTTCGGACTCGACACAGATCCAGCAGCTGATGGCGACCGAAATGTCCTTGGCGGGCATTGCCATTGTCAACGTTGTTGGCTGCGTTATCATCTCTTTCGTATACGGTTGGAAGCTCTCACTGGTTGGTCTTTTTGCCGCACTGCCATTAATTCTGGCTGCTGGGTATCTTCGCGTGCGTCTAGAGCTTGAATTCGATAAGACCAATGCAAAGGTCTTTGAGAATAGCAGTCAATTCGCGGCTGAAGCTGTCGGTGCATTCCGCACCGTATCTAGTCTGATCATGGAAGACATGATCGGTCACCGCTACGAGACGTTGCTCAAGGGCCACGTTGCGTCGGCCTTCTCGAGTGCAAAGTATGGTACCCTGATTTTCGCGGCGAGTGACAGTATTGAGCTTGCTTGTATGGCTCTTACCTTCTGGTATGGCGGTACCCTCTTGGCCTCCCGCGAGTACGACACCGTCGATTTCTTCGTCATCTACCAAGCTATTGTTCAAGGTGCCATCGCAGCAGGTCAATTCTTTTCCTTCGCCCCAAACATGGCGCAAGCGACCGGTGCTGCTAACCGTATCATCAGTATGCGTCCACAGAAGAACGCTTCGCCGCCATCGTACCCACCACTGAGTAAACCAGAAGAAGGGGTGGGAATCGAGTTTCGAAACGTGTACTTCACCTACAAAAGTCGAGAGGTGCCTGTATTGTCAAACCTCAGCCTGCAAGTCCAGCCTGGCCAGTTCATCGCACTGGTAGGTGCATCCGGTTGCGGCAAATCAACCACCATCTCCCTCCTTGAGCGCTTCTACGACGCATCATCCGGTCAGATTCTCTACAATGGACAAGACATCACTTCCCTTGACCCCTCAGAGTACCGCAAACAGATCAGTCTCGTCAGTCAAGAACCCACACTCTACGAAGGCACAATCCGAGAAAATGTCGCCTTGTCTGTTGATACCGCCACGGATGAAGATATTGAGCAAGCGTGTCGCGACGCTCAAATCCACGACTTCATCACGTCCTTGCCGGATGGATACGCACAGCGTCTCGGACCAAGAGGCATGTCTCTATCTGGTGGTCAAAAACAACGTCTTAGTCTTGCTCGAGCTTTGCTACGGAAACCAAAACTACTTTTGCTAGACGAAGCAACGTCGTCTCTGGACTCCGAATCCGAGAAACTGGTTCAAGAGGCGATTGAACGCGCCGCTGGCGATGGTGGACGAACTGTGATTGCTGTCGCTCATCGACTTGCTACTATCCAGAAGGCGGATATTATCTTCGTGTTGGGTAGTGGAAAGGTGTTGGAGAGGGGTGATCATCAGGGACTGTTGAGGAAGAGGGGAGTCTATTGGCAGATGGTGAGTTTCCGACTGACCTACTTACACGAGTTGAGAAACGCTAACTATTAAACAGTGTCAGGCTCAAGCTCTAGACCGATGATACCGAGCGGTGTTGATTGCGGCACGCAGTAAACGCATTCGTTACCTTCTCTTGATGACATTCCCTTTCTTTCGATAAGCCATATAGTTGCAGCCAGCTCCACTCTACCTTTATAATACCATAATGTCATCATAACAATATGCTTGTGCAGTGATCTTGAACCAGTCATATGTGCAGTCTTCATTTTCATATTTACAACCTCCGGGCAATGATATGAGGTGATCTGTTGATAGTCTAGCCCTATATCACATCGCAGATCTACTGCCGGCCCATGGGCCCTGGTGGATATGGTGGCTGTCCCTGAGGCCCAAGGTCCTCTTCCCCACTGTCGCCCGTCCTAGCTGTAGGCTTTGTTTCGGTTGTAGGGGCTTTAGGTTCACCCATGCCATCAGGCTTTGGTGGGGACTTTGTGCCCGGTCCGCCGCGCTTCTGCCAGTCGAGCCAGGATCCGCGGTACTCGCCGATGTTTATATATCTGCCGTATGAATCAATAAGCGTACTCTGTTTGTTTGTTTTTCAATTCAAAAAAACTACTGCCTTTCAAAATTGGATTTCGGTGTGCATTCCGGTATGAGACGTGGACTTACCCAGCCTGCCTTGCAATCCCCGCAGCTGCCGAGCTCCTCACTCCGGCTTTGCAAAAGAAGACAACCTCCTTCCCTTTCGGTGGTTTTTGAAAACCAAACCTATCCTGGAATTCTTCTTCATCTAGTAGCAGCGCATCGGGCTGTGATGTGACGGGGATGTTTATAGAGGTTGGGATAGTATCTTTCTCGAATTCATGGGGTTCGCGGACATCGATAAGAAGGCGTGAGTCTGATGGGGCTTCGAGAATGTGTAGGACCTTTGTGAATTAGCAAGAGGTTTGGAAGGGATTCGGGCCCCATAATAAGTAGACGTACGTCGTCGAACTGGTAAAGTTTGTTCTGCTTCAAGTCATTTGGCGCTTGTGAGTGCCACCTCTTCTGCGCCTGGATAGCCTGTAGTCTCCCTGCGCTTTCTACGACTACGAATCTGCTCTTCAAAGCATTTGCGGTTGGCGAATTAGGCGCAATGCTAAAAGCGCGTGCAGTGGTGAAGCTCAACCGCGTAGTCCGTTGGCCGATGACGGAGGCGTTAGAGCGGGCGCCGAACAGCTGGGCGGCGCGTTTGGAGGCCATTGTTTTCGCGAAGAATGCAGCGATGTTTCTGACGGTTTAATTGGAACGGAGTTGGCGATGTCTATGTTAGAACTACTGAAGATGTTGTTCGGGTTATGACGTCCAATGTTCAAGTTGCAAGCGGAATTATTGCCGACGTCACTCTTCGCGAACGTTAGATCGTAATCACGCTAAGATTTCAGTTCGGCAAGCACTACGCATAAATCGGCTGCAGCACCCGAGCGCATGGTACGAGGGTGTCCATTTCTAACAAGTTGCACCCATGATGAAAGCAACTTTGAATTTGGACCCTGTGTAATCTCTTGTTATGACTCAATCGTAAAGTATGGCGTACATCTTTAAGGTGGCTTTTCAGGCAAAGTTTCTATCCACAAAAAAGGTGCTTCATATATGATTGATTCATTTCACGTGTAAAAAAACGTATATAGGGGAGAATACGCCATCCAATGCAGTATCCAACAACGCCGATGCAAGGTACAACGAATCATGGGGTATTCTAATGGAAGACAAAATATACAAGAAATGGTACAAAGACCCATAGATGGTGAGGCAGCTTACTCTTCCTCGTTGCGCTGGACATCTAAACCGCGGAGTCGCTGCGACAGGAGACCTGCGTTGGGCGGACCAGAGGGGCTACCAAGTGGCGAGAATGCATTCCCGCCATAGCCGACATCGCCTTTGCTCAGTTTCTCAAAGGTACCGTCGCTCTGATTGTTCAAACTACTTACGCCAGCTCGCGGTGATGTTATAGGCGTTCTGAATGGGCTCTTCGGATCAACATCCATGCGGTCACGGGAAACAGGCCGCGAATCGATCGCAGCAAGGCGACCAAGGCTAAAAGGTATGGGTTGCAATTCTGGTACAGGCGAGCTGAAGCCGCTCGATGCTGAGGAATTGGTGGTGCCACCGGTGAACTTGACAGCTGGGGGAGGAAGTGGTGTGTGTTGCTTCAGGCCATCCAGCTGTCCGTATGCTTGCTGAGACTGCGAGAGTGGCCATCCAGCGCTGCGCCGACGGAAAGCCCGGTCCGTGGTAAGCTGGGCTCCGGTTGACTGTGCCTTTTGCAATGACGGTGCTTCTCGCGTCGGTTTGTACGTGCTATATCTGGGCTCCGGTTGCTGGATCTCGTTTCGGAGTTTTTCTTTACCGTCCGGTACTCGATTCGCAAAAACGACTCGTATGCTTTTGTACAGATAGTAGCGACCTTTTGAAGGACAACATATGTGTAGGTGGATTAGGTAACGCAGAATTGGCCGGTCGTTTGGGTCATCTGAATTGCTGAGAGCAGCTTCTGGACGGTCGGTGCCCAGATTCTTTCGTGATGATGCGGGCATATCGATAATAGGCCCTGCAGAGTAGCTACGTTGTCTAATGAAAGTTTTCTGGCCAGGTTCCATATCCGACAAATCATACGGAACTAGGAAAAGCTTGACTGCTGTCTTGTTTGGATTCTTTAACACGATCTGGAGCTGACCTTGTGGCGGAATACGATAAGAGCCCCCGGGAGGCGCCTTGGGTGACGTCGATCGTCGCTTTTTCTTCTCTTTCCGACGAAGGTCCCCTCTTGCACCTTGACCATTCTCCTCTTCTCCAAGGTTTATCCTGAAATCGAGATCGTCTTGATCAGGGGCAGGTACAACATGTCGTCGCTTACGTCTACCACTCTCACTGCTTTCATCTGGCGGTGGCAATGAATTTTCTAGATCAATATGCCCAACATAGGGACTCGGCTCATTATCCGAAATCCTACCGTTGCCTGTATTATAGCTGTAGAAGACTGCTGGAAAGGGTACCGTGACATGAGGTGGACATTTGAGGCTTGATTTGCATTGCCCTCTGCCAAGTACTCCAATTTTAGCGACGAAGTCGAGAGGCCGTGATGGTGTAGTAGACATGCGCCCCCGTAGTATCGACTCCTCGTAGGACCCAACCATGGGAGCGTGCTGCAATGGAGATGCCTCCGACGAGAAGGAGGGGCGCCGTGCATGGAGGAACGGCGTTTGCGAATGAGAATGAGGCTCAGACTGATTGAACGTCATCGATCGTCGAGGTTGATGCGCCTGGTATGGTATCGAACTACTATGTCGTAGATGCCGAGCAGCTGGAGTGCCGGTCGCAGATCGGGCCATCTGGGTGGGCTTGTAATCATCAAAGGATGCAGGAGAGTATGTATGTCGGCGATGGTCTCTGTCAGGACTTCGAGATCCCTGCCGCGAGCTTGGGGTTGAGGAGAAGTCCAAGTCTGTGTTATTTGCCTGCTGGACAAGCGGGCTTGTGGGTGGTAGGAAGGCGAACGAACTAAACGGTGACTGTGATGACTGCGATATCGCCCGTGCTCGTGCAGCTGTACGATTGTCATCGGTGCGCGATCCCGGATACGAGACGTCTTTGTGTTGTGGGGCAAAGGCTGAGGTTGGGAATGAGCGATTCCAAGGGACAACTGGCGAAGTTGCTAGGAAGCCTGAAGACGAATGATCATTCTCAGATGTTGCTCCTGCTCTCTTCTCTCTGAAGTCTCCGGAGTGTAACGCGGATCGCGGGCGTTCGATATCCAGGCCGACGGCTGCAGGATCTCGAAGGTGTTCCGGGGTAGAGATTCGTGAGGTTTGCGGCTCGGTGGATGAGACTAGAGGTGTGTCCGGACGGTCTTGCGATGTCGGTCGGGTGGAGGCATCGCATTCAGTCATGACTTCGCCCTATATTACATTATCAGTATTCCCTACATCGACTAACAAACTCCTTGCAGATGCTCCCTAGGTCTCCGGGTACTCACACCCTGCCGCTGCAGCCACGATGGGCTATTCGTCCTCTTGATCCTCTCGATCCACTCCTTCCGTCCGAACATAAATGGCTTGCGCGTTTGACTAGGGGACTCAGGGTCCCTATCCAGGGATATGTCGATTTTCGGTGGTTCTGATTGCATGTCGGATTCCAGACTTCTCTCTACAGCGAATCCCGAAGTGTCTGCTCTCTGAAACCCCGTGACCGATGCCTGAGGCAAGAATGACGATGTCGGCGGACTATCATGGGGATCATGAAATATGGGCATGGTTGTAACAAATAGTTGCAATGAACAGCATGAGTATAGAGATCTAATGAAACTCAGAGAATAGTGGCGTGTTCGCGACCGTGAAAGTCGTGGAGCACAAAAGGCAGGTCGTGAGGAAGGCGGAGACAGTGAGGTCAAGCGGTTGGAGCAGCTGCTGGCCCGGCGAATGAAATGAGTAAGAGTTTCCAGTTTAAATCGGGTGCGTTGGCTCCAGTGGCCGCTTCATTGTACAGTCATACTGCCCAGTTTTAGGACGAAACACCGTGGAGCGCCCCAATTCGAGGTGCGGAGAGGAGGAACGCAGGGACCGGGACGGATGACGCGCTGGGAGCTTTGTTACAAGACGGAAGTTTCCTAATCGCTGCTGATAAAGTCGCTCGTGCCACCGAACCGGTATTGGCCGACGCGACGTGTCACACGACGAAAAAGAATATCTCTCCCGGATGCTCCTGCACGTCCCCGCGGGAGGCGTGAATATTGGGTGCATAGATGCGACGGCGCACAAAGCTGAGGCATGAGTCCATCGCCCGTCGCGGTGGTCGAAGGACTCGTGACCGGCTCTACATCGCGCCCCACTCTGCCAAGGCTGGATGAAATCGGCTCGCGTTCTCCGCGAGTATCTTAGTACCGCGACTCTGAACTTTTCCGACATCCCACAGCCTCCAATATGGGTGTCAAACGACCGCATGAAGGAGACGCAAAGTCTTCTCTCAAGAAACAAAAAAGTCGATTTGCTATCGGTCCTGCCAACCTACCCGATGGTACCCATAGACGGAAAAGTATGTCTGCTCGACTAGATTTTACAGAGGTTTCTGTGACAGCGGAAACTTGGATGAGGGTATCGTGGTGTTATGATCCAATAGGCAACTACGCGATTACCCACATCTGCTCGCGCCATATCATACAGTTCATTTACTGACTCTGCGTGTAGTCGAAAAGATTAAGAAAGGCCTCATCAACAAGGCAAAGCTGAAGAAGCAGTACGCAAAGCTCAAGGCTCGCGAAGAAAACGAAGCGACGACGCCGCGCAAGTCCGTCTACGATCGCGAATCTGCCTACGACAATGAAGACGAGAACGAGAGTGAGAAAGAGGCGTCTACCGAGCCTGTACCAGAGCCCACTCTGGAGCCGCATCCTGATCGCGTCGCAATGCTAGAAGAGAAGTCACCCGAGCCAGAACCCAGGCAGAACTTCGAGAGACGGCAGCGGCGACCACGCCCACAGCCCTTTCTGAAAGAGACCGAAGTAGCACAAAAAAAGAGGGAGGAGATTGAGGCGCGGCAAAGAGCGAGGGAGGAAGCAGACAAGGAGCGTGCGAAGAAAGTCGCTGAGCGCGAGCGCTTCAGAAAAACTATGGCCAAAGCGAGGGGGCCGAATGGACAGAGGAAATTGGGGCGAGAGAGTACAGTTCTGCTTGCTAAAGCACAGAGGCTTATGGGCAAGACCTGAAGCATCAGCATGACATAACGGGGATGCTGTCATCTTCACTTCACGGCGACGGGTATACCTGCGTCAGCTGAAGCCATTGCTATAGCCACGCCATTTTCAACTACGCGTGTCAATCAGCACTAGAGACATCTCTGCGACTTGCAACAACGGTATCGATCTGTCTTCTCTGGACCTGCTGCTGCCCTTTTGGCAGATACAAAGTCCGGTCGGTCAATGCCATCGAACGCATGCCGGGCGGTTACGACAATGGCTAGGTTTTTGTCATGCGCGCTCATCTGGGGAAGCAGCGCACCACCCGGCGACTAATAGACGGTACTCTCTCACAAACCGGAAGGCCCACAATCAGATTAGGTCAGGTGTACGACTCAATGGATATACCTCTACGGAACATCTGAGCGAATCAACTCGTTTGTCCATTCAGTTATGTTCCTCGGAACACTCGAGATTACCGTGCATCAATGTTGTGTGATGTTGCATATCCAGCCTTACATCCAGCCCTGAGACAACCGGCGGTGGGCCAGGGTGCAACCCAGCTCGGTATGGTGGCAGAATCTCAACGACAATATTGAATCCGACTCCGCCAGGCAGCTATGTAAATCCATATTGTTGCTTTGATATATAGCGGAGAGGCGCAGGGTGATCGGCGGCGGCCACCTGGGCAGAAACGACCGATTGCACTTGCCGAATGGGACGAATTACAAGCACTAAGACCTGATGATCTTCGCACTCTCGCTCACTTCCTGTCGTACATCCCACAACTCCCCACGTGAACTTACGACACGAACAGTAATCTCGCTACCGGAAGACATTCAGTTTATCTGGCTTTTGGTCCTCAAATTCGCGACCGATGCACTCGCCGTCTGTCGTGCCAGCAAGAGTACGCCGGCAGTAGTAATTAGCACCTGCAGCAGGATGAACTGATCCCAACAATACGGTACCATACAAGCCGCTGTCTATATCAGAGCTTACTGTATATTTGCAAGACCAGGGCGTAAACTGTCACTAAACGTGAGCGATATTGCCACTCCTCCTCGTTGACTGTGATTGTGATGGGTGTACCAACAAAAGCGTATCACGCACATCGCAAACTTCACTTCGCTAGTTCCTTGTAGCTATCGATTGGTCTGGTTCATTTCGGAGATCCCTTCGGCGGTCTCGTTGAGATGATCAGCGTGGGCCGATATTGGTCTACAGCTCAGCCACTATGTAACCTCTCTAAAATCAACTCGAAACCGGACATGGATGGACTTCCTCATCGAGCGACTACATCGTTCCTGTTTTGCTTGAAGTAAGATATACACATCGACCATTGTTTCTTCCTTTCGAATCGCTTCCAGCGTACTTTCTGCCATTGGTAAGTGGGGTGCGATCCACAGAGGGTAGAAGAAAATACATCGGCAATGAACGACTGTTACGTCAGGCATGCCATGTGTGTAACTTGCTGTTCCTGGCAATTACATGGCATATCCTGTGGAGCAATAAGCTTATTCCAACCAGTTGCTAAGTTCTAGTGTTCCTGGGGGGTTAGCGGTGTATGGTCCATGCAGCCTTACCTACAGGGTCTTAGCCATGCGGGAATCCTTTGGGGGCTGTACACACCACCTGGTCAACGGCCCGTCAGACGATGCATTAGCCCTAAGCGCACGCGTCATGGCTGCGAAGCCCCGTTGATATGCATGGAACATGTTCGTTACTCGATTGTTTCGAAAACGCTGTAGGTCAGCGCGCCCGCTAACCAAACCGAGCATCGACCTCGAACAATACAGCTTGGCATACTGTCCCTTGCCGTCTAACCTCCGCTATACCCAAGTACCTGGCTTGCCAAGACGACGGATTACTATTATGCTAGCTTTCCGCTTAAGCTTGTAGTCGGCTCTTCACGATGTCTACATATCTGATAGTCTTGCACTCTTTACTCGTCTTCTACCACTATTACTTGACCAATACAAGACAACCTTGGAAGCTTCTTGGAATTCTTAACACCTTTAGATATCTTCCCTCTTTTCCACTGCACTCTTTTTCCGTTGTTAGAACGTTTCCCTGTTGGTTATACAAGCATACTCTAGAAGACAAGGTTCCAATATATCCTGGCTCTAATGGACCACTCGAGTCGCCAACCTCGAAAATGGTCTTTGGCGGAAGACCAGAAACTTCGGGAAGAAGTGGAAGCACAACGTAAGCTGTGCTTGTTATCCTCCAACTTTCTTCAATTGAGCTAACTGGATATCATCAGTTGTAGAAGGAGAAGTCAAGGATTGGTAGGTCAAATATCACGCCAGTTGATTCCGCAACTAATGAGATGCCTAGGTGCAGAATTGCCGATAGCCTCCCCGGACGAACGAACAAGGACTGTAGAAAACGATGGCACAATTCGGTAGCAGGAGGCCTGAAGAAAGGACAATGGTCAAAGAGTGAAGATCAGTTGCTTTCAAGAGGTGTGCAGCAGTACGGCCAAAAGTATGATTAAATGAAACAAACTTTGGGAGAAAGTACAGAAGCTGACTGTTGTATTCTTAGATGGACGGTAGTTGCAAACTGCGTCGGAACACGCAGTGCAGATCGTAAGTTTGATGGATGATAGCTGTGTTCATCGCTGATCGATAATTAGAGTGCGCGAAGCGGTGGCAGCAGTCACTTGATCCTGATCTAGACCGAAGTGAATGGCGCGACTCAGATGTCAGTGAACATCATTGTAGCATATTTCACACTTCAGTGAGCTAACAGACGCTTCTCAGGACGCAGCACTTATCGATGCAGTTCAGAGACTCGGACGACACTGGAAAGATATTCAACGCGAACATTTCCCCGGCAGATCGAAGAATGATATCAAGAATCGGTATGTTACTTACTCTTGCCTTTGGGGCTTGTTTTTGATGATCTCAAGATACACTGTCCTCGTGCGGAGATATCAGAATCAGGGTATCACCCTGCCCAATGCTCCAAGCTCTCCATCCGATTGTGGTACACCGGCGGGCTTGTCAAGCTATCCTGATGACGACGACTATCTCTCCCACAGTTCACACGTGTACAATACATTATTGCCAACACCCTCTCATGGATCAGATCGCCATTCCTGGTCAAGTTTCGACAATGATGCATACTCAACATGGTCATCTCCGCAGACATACGCCACACCTACCGCGATAGCCGACCATAACGCACAACATCAATCGGTCGCCCCGTCTCAATATCTGTATACTCAGCCACCACTGGGCTCAAACGTGCCTTCCACATGGGATCAAACATCGCCCTACACACATCACCCGGCACCATCGTTGCACACCGGTGCACCAACAAATCCACCACTCTATGGCTACAGTCCATATCAGGTCGCCCAGCAACCAATAGTGCCCCACAACATTGCTTACACAGCCTCCACGGACCGAGCAGCATATGCCACGATGCCGAATCGCTCGCCACCTACTGCATCAAGTCAGCAGGTTTACGACCCGAGCGCATCGGCAATGTACCGTGACCCTAGACATTCACAACATCCCTACTATCGCTCTTGAGGCTGTGCAACATGTATATTGTGTGTAGGGCTTGGCAGTCAATTACTTGATAGGCTAGATTTGACAAGTGTTGATAGGTTGAGTCTGGACGGTTTCGTCATAATAGGCAATAGAGATAATTATCCGTCCGAAATTCTTTGAGAAATGGTCTGTTTCACGGAAGCTAACTCGTGTTTCAACAAGTCCCTTGCAAACCTTAGTGCTAATTCTGCACGTTCTCCAGAAGCAATAGGCCCAGCCACGTGACTTTCTCGGGATTAGGGCTCCCTGATTGGTCGCCTGAGCACAACACAGCCTCAACCCCGAGTAGAGGTTGGACGCCTCGCGCACCCACCACGTTAAGTGAACTTCGCTACTTACCCATCCCAGACAAGTGCGCATCTACGGAAAAAAGAAGAAAAGACAGGATCGGTAGTCGAGTCACGTCGGCGTCTCCACTATCACGAATCAAGGATGCGCGGCCACGTTATTTTTCTCTGCCTCGAAGACAGCCTGAGCCGTTGCAGCAGCGCGTCAATACACCACATACATGCTAGCTAGTGCCATGTGTGGTTAAGGTAGGGAGGGTTACCTGATCTGCCACCTTGTCCGCTGCACGATGCACGATCTCGCTGCCTGGAGCGCTGTTTTACCTGCCTCATCCGATGCATGACGCATGGGACGTTCTACATTGCATACGCGAAGTACCTGCAGTTTGGTCTCTTGCAGACTAGATCATGCCATTCTGCTCGCTTGGGCCGTTGTTTGTTGACCCTTTGTCACGATACACCGAGAGCCCAATGATGGCTTACCGCGATACCCTAGGTACCGTTAGTATGGAATTTGACCGCCTACGTGGAACGGCGTCCCGTTCCTGTCGATCTACGTCGTCGATGCTGCACGCCATACCTCATTCTTCGCATTCTCGAACCGGACATCGGGCCCAGCTTGAGTTGGTATGCTGCTGCCTTGGGGTAGGCCTCGTATCCTGGAGAAAGTCTTATGGAAGAGCGTACGCGTTCCTGCATGAAAAGAGCATATATTTGGGTGTATGCACGCTTCAAGAGTAGGGTATGATGTCAAACGTATGATGTCAAATGCCTGTTGCCGTGTGGTGGGACTGAAGGTTCGGAGTCGCCGTTCGGAGTTTTCACCGGGTTTTGCGTCGAAAACAAGTAGCTGTGTTAATAGTGGGATCTGATTTGCATGCATGATTAAACCGAGGTTGATTTTTCTGAGGTCATAAACGCGTAAGGGAGTTAAATTCTCCACTAAGGAGTATGCATCTGATTCTGCACTTAGGCCGCTTCCTAGGGCAAAACCAGTGATAGGCGAGGTGCCACTCCGCATATCGCTCATCATGCTACGAGTTTCAGAATCGTTTTCACAACTTGGTGCAGTTGTTGGTGGTCATCACAGCTATTGCGAATACACCATCATGCCCGCTGCAAAGTGGAACTATTTCGAACAATGAGAATCTGGACTTTGACATGTAGAAGGGGCTTTTAGTCTCACACGTGTACCCAAAGATCCAATTTTGTCCTGGAGATATGTCGGTATCTTATCAATTCATGAATTCTGCATCACGACTTCGACGTCACACGACAAGTCTCTACGGGCTAGCCGAGAGCTAGATTGCTATCAATAGATGAGCTCGGTGACATGCGCCTCGGAGTCCCCAGAAACATTCCCCTAGTAACTCCGTCGCGCTGTTATGTTACATTATAATACATAATACAATACAGTAGGATCGATACATCACAAACGTCGAGTTTCAGCCTCGTAGTTTGCCTTACCAAGGGTCAGCAAGGATTATTGAGACGCGTGTCCACACCAGTTGCAAATTAAGCTTTTCGCTTAGTTGTGAGACGGTCCGCTTTAGGAGACCCGATTATGGCGGATTTCCGGTGGTAGAATGGACTAGGGTGATAGGGGTCGGACTAGACCATCTAATCGCATAGCTTTAGCTTCAACTTGTCGCCGTAAAATGTCTGCTCATTTCCAGACTTCATCTCTATTACCAGCCTCAAATCCCGTGTCCTATTAAGATCTTCTAGTATGCCGACTACTATGCTCACGGGCACTCCTCGACACTAAGTTAGGTGGATCTGACGAAGTATAAATATGGATCTCTTTGCAAACACGTATCTCTTCCTCATCATGTCTCTCACTAAACCAACCATTCATCTTGTATTCTAGCTTGGTCACTATTCTGCTTCGTTGTGTGATTATCCGTTGGTACAATTTCAGTCTTCTTCCCTCACGAATACCTTTATTTTCTCCCCAACTTGACTGTCTTTATGGTACTTATATAGATACACGTTTTAAGCTCCGCTCAACATGTGCGAAACCCCTTGTTTTTATATACTCTAAGTCCTGTACATATCCATACAGGACCGTAACGCTATGCTTGAGGAAAAATTCTCTAGCATAGACTGTGTTTCTGCTACCTTCACCTGTATCCCTTAAGCGGATTGGAAGTTTGGAATTCTTCATTTCTGTCTTTTTCTTGATCATCAAAATAATCTAGTTAAACTTGGGGTCATCTTTACTAACATTAAGATGTCTATATACTGCTTGTGAAAATATCATATTGGATAGTGGAGCAAGCGAGTCACAAATTGCGTAGTAAGCAAGGGGAGACTGACTGTGAACTAGGAAATCGCTACAGGCTATTGCTGTATGCCCTACCTCGAATACGCAGTACAATATCATAATGGGAATGGTTTGAACAAAACTAAACAGTACCCAGAGGGTGACAAGACACTTTTCAGAACGCCGCCAGTGACGGTCGAACACTTGACAGGGTAGCAAGAGATGGTGTAAGCTGCTCCACCTACTTCTCCTCCAAAGATGAAGAACCCCGGACCAGTATCTTTACCTAAATAGGCTGTCTAGGTCACCATCGCTAGCATCATGATTGCCTGCTGGCGTACAGCGGCAATGTTGCTGGGGCGTGGAATCGTAACCTGGAGGGGCTTTTCCAATGCATGCAATGCAGGAAATCCTGTGATATAATACGGCTGCTGGCAATGGAGGTCGCAATCTTTCTGCACGTAATGACTGAATTAAGTACGGAGTGATGTTGCGATTACGTCACGTGTCAGGTTTAGCACTCCACGCGAGTGATTAGCACAGGTCGGCGCGACTCTTCCATCGAACCGAGGATACCGACCAGTTTCCGCCCAAAGCGCACCACTAGCATGTATCATCCCAAATCCATGCCATGCAGGTCTAGAAAGCCTCTCACTCCGCCTCGTACATACTAGCAATGGGCGCATTAGGTATCCAACGTTTCACATGTCATTTGCCTAACGAACCCCTGAGTACATCGAGAAGCACTGAATTCACCGAACAAGTGTGCAACACAAACTCACATGCATTTAGGATGTTTTCGACCCAGGGAGGCTTGTTTAGCTTCCCATGGCGATCTCGTATAAGTTCCCCAAACTCATGCATGGTGAGTCTATATGCGGTTCTATCAAACCACCGTCATGCTTCGCCACTACTCTACGCGTCTGTTGTCGCGATGCGGTCGTGAAGCATTAGTATGGGAGGCATACAATTTCTCTTTCTGGTAAATCCGCCAGACCAATAAGAGGAAGGGTTTTGATGGTGCGGTGACGTGCAGATTGCTTGCAGATTCAGGCAGCAGAAACATGCCTCACAAGGCAGAATGGAGATGAGTAAACGGCTAGCAGGCAGTTCGAGCCACAGCATCGGTCCTAATGTCGAGTCCGTCGAAGTGGAAATATTTCGGCTGTTCAAAGCGTCATATTGTTCGGTCCGTCAAAACGTCCGAATGTCGTAATGCTGGTACAAGGCGTACCGGAGACGTGGAACATAGAAGAGAGTGTGTTGATGGTGTCTGAGCAGGCCAGAGGCGGGGTCTTCGGATACTGGCAAAATTTGCTTGCCTACCCGACCCGCATATCCAGCCAAAATTTTCCACAACCAGCCGAACTCCCATGTAGCATTCCTAGATGTCTGCGATGGCATCGGAGAGTCAGTGAGACATTCGTGTAATATATTTGTTGCATTCTTGCATATTTCCATCGAAAGCAACAACAGCCCGGCTAGCTCAATCGGTAGAGCGTGAGACTCTTAGTTATCACGTCCTAACAGACACGATTGTATCAAATCTCAAGGTTGTGGGTTCGACCCCCACGTCGGGCTTTCGTTTTTGTTGTCCTGTCGTCCATCGTGGGTTGCAGGGTGTGGTGTTGACGTTGGACGGTGAAGGACTTTTTTTTTTGTGCCCCTGAATGCTAAATGGTCTACAACCGCCACCACCACAACGCAAGCAAACGTCTGGTCAAGCTCTCTTTTTTATTTATGCTTAACCATGTAATTCTTCTTGAAGTGTAATCTTAAAGGACAAAATTATGTTAGGTGTGTGTTGTGTCGTTTGCACATCAGACGCATTTCTTAAACATAAACCCGTGTAACCTGAAGCGGCCGCCGATTAAATCTTGGTGCGGCCAATCGATTTTCTGACAACATGTAGGTTTATTGGCTTCCTCAATGGGGCTCAAGTGATTAAGGAACCATATCAGTTATGTACTCATTGCCCTGGAACCGTCCCATGTTTCTTTCACGATTCTTGGCGAACATCGAACAACTTCAAAAATTCGTAACGCAGCCACGCCATGGTCAAACGACGAGAAGATGTGAGCGTCGACTATTGAATCAGACTACAATATACGAAGTAGCTGCGTTTCGTCGGAGACAGCTACTCTAGCTAGAATCTATTCGCAAACTGCATACGCCTGTGTAGCCTAACCGTCCGCACCAACCTCATCTCGCTTTCCAGCAAACTCTCCAAGAACGACAGTGCCATTCTTTCTGGTCGTGCATGTCTTGAGTCCGAGTCGACCACAAGAAGTGATCGATGAGCATTAACAATACGGAATCTGTGGCAAGGGTAGACATCACAGATGAACTTCAACACTTGATTGGAGGACGGTGTCCTCGAGAGGAGCCCTCGAGCTAGCTTGTTTTTGGCGGCGTTCTAGCAATTATGCTTTTGGTAGAAAGTCGATGAGTTGCCTCGAAGACAACTCACTGGCAGCTACAAGAGCTGCTGATAATGTACACCTACATCTATCACAACTCATTGTATATTCTTCACCACCAACCAACATCAGACAGAATCAAAGCGCTCATTCGTCTATTCGTTACATGGTCATAATACCTATTCGTGGTAGCTAAAACGCTCAAGCATACAAATGTCAACAAGGCCTCATCGCCAAAGTAAACAAACGCAAGAGGGCAAGCTCATACAAATGGCCAAGCAATATCAATACACCTCCCAGGATATCCTGAAGCGCGACATATGCGCACTATAAAACTTGGTGGAGGGGAAGAGAGACCTGACAGTAGGAATACTTGCATCCGTGCAGTGGGTATCTCAACGCCATCCATGCAATGCGATCGTCGAGCCATAAGAATAGTGTTGAAGAGAGAAGAGGAAGTAATATCTGATGGAACATTTACTTCCGTCATTATCTCGCTGGATATGCGGGGTACGGTCCGTGTTGGTGGTGATGAGGTGGAGCAGGCATTGATGGCTGATACATGGCGCGCCGGTCTTGTGGGGGGTAGGCCTCGAACATGACGCGTCGTTGAGGCGCTTCAGCTCTGAGTGGACTTGGTTGAGGCTGGCTGCTCGCCGGGAAGCGTTGTGAATTGTTGGGGCTGCTCATGAAAAGCAGTGTATCAACAGCGTCTTTTTCTGCTTGTTGACTTGGCATACGAAGGATACCTGCTCGAGGGGTTGCTGGCGACCGCGGGCCTGCACCGACATCACTGTAGTGTTTCCTTTGGCTAGCTCCGAGTAGTGGAGGGGGTACATGTGAGACGCTCGAGCGACTTCTCCGCCTACTCTGGAAGGTCGGGGCTGGTGCAAGGCCATAGCCAGGATGTGCTCCGGTGATAGAGATGAGGTTTGCCGCAGCATTCATTGCGGGACGCGTACCCGGCCGCCAGTAGGCTGACAGACGTTAGCACTCTGGAATCAGATTCTAAGGGAAGACTAACAAGCTGGGGTTCCTGCGAGTGATCGAGTTGGGTCAGAAGCAGGGGACATGATCATTTGGTCCGATATATCAGAGACGCCGCTTGGTCTTCGTTGGCGGTCGGTAGTACCAGGCGAGTCAAACGCTAGTTGATCACTCCTCCCAGGAGCAGAATTGGGCGAACCGCGTTGTGACTGGCTTTCTTCGAGCTCGTCAAGTGACTGCTTCTCCCAGCCGTTCTGGACTTTGACCATGGCGTAGGAAAGACGCGTCTTAAGCTGTGCGGATAACTGCGTTTGCATCAGCAACCTGAGGGCTTAGTCTGAAGCTACAACACGCACCTCTCCAATGCGAGTACCTGAGTGTGTATCCATGCTCTTGTTCCTCTTGTGTGCGTATGTGCGTACCGATGGCGCTTCGGGCACTGGCCCTGCGCTCTTGAGAGAACCATCTACGGTTCTCTTGGAGCCTTGAGTTGCTGGAGATTCTGGTGTCATGGAAGTGGCTGCTGTGCCACCATTCTGCAGCGCATTGGCGGCGGCTGTATCGATGCGCGGTGCAGCTGGCACGTCTCCAGCAGCAGTCTGGCTCGACGGTTTAGGCATTGGTGCCTCTAGAGGTTTACTTTGATTTGCTACATTGGTCGACGAGAGGGTGGTGAGGTCCGTCTCGGCAGTGGTGGAGGTAGACAGGTTGCTCGAGGAGGAGGGTAGTGCCGGGGCCGAGAAGGTGCTAGAGACGGCAGACTGGACCGACTCTTGCGAGTTGTGGGACACTGGGTCGTCTACGGCAGCAATGGTTGCTGTATGGGCGGTGTTGGCGTGTTCTGCTGGTGCAATGGGTGCATGAGTACCTAGGTAATAACTCGGCTTAAGAGAAACGCGACTGACTTACGCATCATCGTTCGCGAGCGTGGCGGCGGGGTAGTAGGCAACTAGTGGCTCGCGCTGTCGTTGCAATCTCGAGTCGAATGCCAATATACGACTCAGAAATATCGATGCGAGTAAAGATGTCAGGGTAGCAAGCGTTCCAATGGCGGTCCTCAGTGGGAGAGCGATGGTCGGAGACGTGTCGTAGGAGCACCGTGTTCGTGCGCAGCACGCGAGATACGGGAAGACGCGCGAACGGGCGGGAACAGTTCCTTGTTCGGCACCCAAAAAGCAGCTCGCAAGGGGCGCGGAAAAGATGCTAGGAGATGTCAGGGGTGTCGTGAAGCTTCGAGGCGCGTCCCGGTGAGGTGTAAGAAGGCAAAGCCAGGCGTATGCTCGAATGCAAGAGCCTGAAGCCGCTTGTGAGCCGCGCAGTCACATGGTGCCAGCCGACGCGTAGCATTAGCGGGTGGCAATCTAACTCTCAACGAACGAACGATTCCGACATTGGCGGTAAGAGCGCGTCCATTCAATATGCAGGCGAACGGCTGGTCTGAGCAGAGTTTTCTGGCACGACACACGCATAGCTTGCTGCAATGCAATGTTAGCCGTGACTGCGTGCATCAAACACGAGTATCCCACGTCATGCTCTCGTCCATGGTAAGACCCGTGGTACACAGCCGCATTGGCTCAAACGCAAACCATCTCTGCCTATTGCCACGACCGGGCCTGTACAGTTCGATATGGATGCCGCGCGCGTACTTTGTTCGTGTAATATCTCGTCCCGAACAGTTCAGAGGTGGTTGATACCTTGGACGGATGGAATTTCGCCATGTTGAGGTTGAGAGTGTAGAAAACACCATGTATTCTGTCGACGACGTGACGAATGCCTGGAAAAAGCACACATGTCGCTTTTGATGTTATTGGTCACATATACATGCGCTGATCGGCAGTTTTTTCTCTTCATACAACTGAATACAATATACTACACCGAGGTAGATGAATACCAGGTTCGATTACATTTACTACATTCAAAATACTCTGCATTCAATCTTTACATGGCCTTCTCCGCACTAGAGTAGTCCCACTTGGGCAGCTTCATGGTGCCGTGCTCGTTCAAGTGCTTGTGCATGTCGAAGCTGTTCCACAGCAGATGCGGCTCATGACCCCAGCCCTTCCTTAGGCATTCAAACTCTGCCTTGTTGAAGTAGTCTTCGAGAATTGGTACGTAGTCGGGGTGGGCGCACTTCTTGATGATGACGCGGGCACGCTCCTTGGGAGAGAGACCACGGACATCGGCGAGACCTTGCTCGGTGACGATGACGTCGAGGTCATGCTCGGTCTGATCGATATGAGTGCACATGGGAACAATGCAGGATACACCAGTTGGATCGGTCTTAGTAGGACGCGACGAGGGTGTGTGCATGATGGAGTACTTGGAAGAACGAAGGAAGTCGGCGGACCCACCGAGACCATTGAGCATGCGGCTACCCATGACACATGTTGAGTTGGCATGGGCATAGATGTCGACTTCAACGGGCGTGTTCATTCCAATGACACCGAGACGTCGGATAATTTCAGGGGAGTTGGAGACTTGCTGGGAGCGGAGCAGTAGCTTGGGTGCATATCGGTCCCAGTTCTCGTAGAATCGGTGGAAGCCGTCAGGAGAGAAGCGAATTGAAGTCGCAGTTGCGAAGTCCAGGTTGCCAGAGTCGAAGAGGTCAAGGAAGGAGTCTTGGAGAACTTCGGTCCATACTTTAAGGTTCTTAAAGTTTGCACCACCAGAAGCAAGTCCACCAACAACAGCGTTGGCTATGTTTCCAATACCAGACTGAATGGGTAGAAGGTTCTCTGGTAGGCGGCCGTGCTTAACTTCGTGTTTCAAGAACTCAATCAGGTTCGCGGCAATAGCCCTTGAGGTTTCATCCTCAGCGGCGTTGGGCTGGGTCTGATCGGGGTAGTCGCTCTCTACAATCGCCACGACCTTCTCTGGGTCAACAGGGATGTGTGGTGTGCCGATGCGATCCTCCGGAGACATGATGAGATAAGGCTTTCGGCGTGGTGGAAGATCAGTCATAGTAATGTCATGTAAACCTTCGAAAGAAGGAGCTGCGGTGTTGACCTCGATGATGATCTTATCGGCCATCTGAATCAGTTCGGGTGATGCGCCAACACTGGCTCCAGGGATGATGCCACCGTCCTCAGTGATGGCGGATGCTTCCACAATGGTGACGTCTAGCTTGTTGTGAGGCTTGTTCAATGTGTAGAACCCGTACATCAAGTCGACAGGGAACATGCTAAGATGTTTGTCGAAGAAGTTGATGTTGCCGTTATTGATACCCTTGGCAATTTCCTTGCCGACTTGATGCGGCGACCGGCGCTCGATCATATTGAGACGTGCCCATCGGTTCTCAGTCTCTGCACCTGATGATGCACCAACAAAGAGATTGTACTTGAGCTGGCCCTGAAGATTGTTCTTCTCGACATGGTCGGCCATGGCCGTGGGGATCTTTCTGTCATGACGTTAGTCTGACAACTTCATCAACGTAATCAACATTGTTCATCCAAGTCAAGATGCGCGACAAGTGTCATGGCCAAGGCTCTTGACTACTCGTCTCGACCTGATCCATGCGCAGCTCGAATTGTGGAGTCGGGGATAGTTCGGCTTTCGTCGCTTGCTAAACTTCCGTTCCACCTCGGGATCCCAGATCGGACTACCCAGCAGGCCCGATATCGTATGCCATAGTCAAGATCGTGTTGAGTACCCGAAGAGCCTCATGGCTTGGCTGTCGTAGCGCGACAGCAGAGATAATACTTACTTTGGGTATCCCACACCAGTGAAGCCACTCCAGCCAATGTATGCTCCATTGGGGAAGTGATGAAGCAAATCCTCAGCCTTAGCAATCTTCTTGAGATAACTTGGCCTCCTGACCCGACTCTTCAATGCTGCTGAGACCGACATGTTTAATTCAGGGCTTTTTCTTTTTCAACGCGATGATCGCGATCCAAATGATTAGCTTATCGATAGAGCTTTGGAGCTGTCCGAGGAGCGTCAAGCTCAGCGAGAGCGTCGTAAAGTAGTGATGGAGTGGAGAAGAGCCGCGATGGGCGAGATTTGTCAATTAAGGGTTCTGGGGAGAAATGGAGTATTTAAAGTATGGAGAGGCCAAGACTAGACTCGTTTCGAGCGGCGTCGGCGTGGAGTGTTGTTGTGGGCTGATGCTCATGATGACCCACACAAGCATGACGTCTGCCGCAAAACCCCGGTTGGGGGAGGGGATGCGCATGCAAGAACGTGTAATGATTGGAGGACTAGCAGTAAGTTTGTTGGTTCTCGGTGTCGCTCTTTATGGCTTCTAGCAAACGTCCGTGACCGATTATTGTAGTTCCTAAAGGAACTTACGACAGTACTTGCGTCGTGGGTAATTCCTTATTTTTTGAGTTCAAAATCGTCAACAAAACATGTTTTGAAGATATTCGCTACTCTACACTACGTTGGATGTAAACAGTATGTAGACTGCTGATGCTTTTTTATGTCTGTTTTATTATCAGCAAATAATCCGAGAGATGCAAAGTCTTTCGTAACGAGTGTGATCTGCTTGATCAGTTTACACTATGAGAAGATACGAGGCCTAGTAGAAGATGGTGTCTCAGCATACACTACCACAGGAATCACTTAAAGTTAACTCTCGATAAGCCTGCCAATCAGAAATACGTATAGTTCTTGCTGGACTACCTATACCGCAAGTAATATGGCGCGAGTTTCGTGATGCAATCCAAGGAAAACATGTGACATTATACTTATTGATCGCGTTCACGCCTATATTCTTACATATAAATACAACCTCACCACTGGCTACATTGGTTATCCCTGAGGCTGACTCTATAAAACCCTGCTTTATAACTCAATAATCTCTTGGATCTCGTCGATAATGCCACTCCAAACCGTCTTCTCCGGCGCGAAATAGGTCTCAAAGACATCTATCAGCACCTTATCCCCCAAATCCATGTGACCACCCTCTGTAGTCTTGAAGTGTAGACCTCCCTTCGCGTCAAGCTTCTTGAGCCCAATCCAATCCTCTTTGTAGATGTCGCGGTCCCTCAGATCCGTGACCTCATTGCTGGTGGTGTTCGTATACGCGAACCAACCCGACTCCTTCGGTATAACAGTGGTGTCGTCCTCGAAGACGTACATGACGAAGTTGTCCAATGCAGCGAGGTTTTTCGCGTAAGTGACGTTCTTGAGCACCCTTTCGTTGTTGATGTCAGCGAGGAAGTTGGAGGCTTCGAGATACTCTTCCGTAGGTTCGCCGGTGGTCTCGTTGGTGGCTTTGAAGTACTGCGCTGGAACGAGATGGCCTTGTACCCATGCGCCCCAGGTGTTAGCTTTGAGCAAGTTGATATAGCCCTTGCATAGCCAGTCTCCATCTTTGCAGAGCTGGTATTTTGCAATACCGTTGTGTTGGCTGCCAAAGGTGACCAAATTCTTGACGTTTATACGGTCGCCGCAGCGCTCTACCAGTCCGCGAAGGAACTGCCCACCCTGCGAGAAACCTAGCGCGTTCAGACCTGGCGCCCTGCTTAAAACCTCGTGTTTCGCGATGTCGTCACAGACTTGCGCAATCTGCTCGGTAACATTGCCGAGGAACGTCGCTGTTCGATCACTTCCGGCATCTTCGTCGAGCCGGATGTAGTATACATATGTGCCAGGGTTTGTCTCGTTTGCGAGGTCGCCGACGCTGTGCAGACCGTCTGCAGCATAGTTGTCGCCTAAGCCATGCCAGATGAGCAGAGGAAGTGGCTTGGAGTCGCTCCGTGTGAGTGGCGACGCGATTGTCTGCGTCACGAGTAAGAGTGTCGAGAGCGGAAGTAATCCAAGCATTTCAGCGGTTGTCTGATGAAAGTGAGGGTTGTAAGGTTGGGAGGCGCAAGTTGAGTGCATGAGACGCGAGTGTGATCTACGCTGCATTGCATGACGTTAGCATCAAGCCGAGGCAGGTACAGCCGAGCAAGGTCATAGCTCTCCATCGCCTTCATATACAGGCAAAACATAAAGCAAAGATGTATCACTACTATCATAATGCATTTGCAGAATAGAAAACTTGATATTGCAAAGAGCCTGCATTGGTGGATGCCGACCAGTGGTATATTACCATATCGTCAAATAGATCTTTTGAACACCGGAACGCCAATGCCATGCAACGATGCCCACCATGGATAGCTCAACCAGCGATCAATGGTGTCTGCACCGACTGGAGCGCATCTTGCTTCATGGCCTTGCGCTTCTCCTTGCTAATTGAGCTCTTCTTCTCTGTTTTCTTGGCCTTCTTAGCTTCTCTCCTGGCCTGCTTCGCGGCAAGCTCCTCGTCGTCGAGCATCTCTTCCTCCCACTCATCCCACTTCCTCTTGCGCTCTGCGGACTTGCCCTTGGGCGTGCCTTCTGTGATGGCACCATGGTATGGTGCGTCGCGAACTTGCTCAGGCTCAGCCCACAGCTCGTCAGCGAGCCAGATAGGTAGAGCCTTGGTCGCAGGACCCTTGACATGCAAACTGCGAATGTTGCGCCAGCCCTGGCCAACGTGCTTGTTGACAACTTCGGAAACAACAGCGGCAGTGTTCTCAACGATCTGCTGAGAAGTCATGGAAAGGTTGCCGATCTTGATAGAGGTGTTGGCGGATGGGCTCATGCTCAGGTAGGTCGAGTGAAGAGCCGACTCGATCTCCTTTGCTATACCTTGTGGTGTTCCAACGACGTTTTGTGGCTCCTTCGCGTCCTTCTTTGTGCTCTTGTCGATGTATGCACCCGCAGTAAGACGAACCGGAATCGGGCGCTTTGACTTGCTCTTGTAAAAGGTTTTGCCTAGGCATTCTGCGACAATCTTGATTACGCGATCGTCGACCATGAAAACGTCGTACTCAGCGAGGAGTGCACGCTTCTGCTCGAATGCCTTGTACCGCTTCTTTAGCTTGTCCACGCCGAGCACACGTTGCACCTTTCCGCGAAGGGCTTCCGGGAAAGCGTCAGATGCGACAAGGTCTTTGTATGCTCTCTGGGGGTCTTTGGTGAAGATGCATATCCGGACATCGTTTGCGATGATGGGGTGAGGTAGTTTGCTGGGTACTGTTAGCGGTGTGTCGCAAGCGCTGTCATGTGCGAACCTACATGGCTACAGGCTTCAAGCTCTTAGTGTTGCCGATCTGCTTTTTTGTCGCCAGGCTGAGGAAGATGGGCTCGTCAACCTCCTCCGCCTCGTCCTCGTCGGCCGCCAAGCTCTTCTTTGGTGCCTCCTGCTGCTTTTCCTCGACATGCTTCTTCATGTGCGCAACGAGCGCCTTCGCCGCGCGCTCGACTTGCGACGGATCAAGCTGGTAGGGTGTACCATTCGTGGTTTTGGTGGTGAGAGGCGCCTCGGTCGCCTTCTCGGCCTTCTTAGTCAGGGTCTTGGATTTGGCCATTGTTGCTGTGATATGTTTGCGATGTTTCTTGTCGCTGGAAATTCTGGGCTAGACCCTGGACTGAACTTTCCAACTTTTTGCCGGTCATATGGTTTCTCCGAAAGACCGAGACTAATGCGGGGCTGTCTCATTGAAAGCGGAAGGCGAATGGGCATCTTTAACCAATCATCGCGTCGCAGTATCTCCAAGCACACGACAGGTTGCTCATCCTTGCATTGTCACCAGCCGTCCAATATCAATTTCACCTCTCGTTCCCATGCAGTCAGCCGTTTCATCAGCAGCGCGTCAGTGGTACGTACCCGGCGTGGTACATGTGCTGTCATTACTGGCGGCAATGGTTAAGAAACTACTGCGAGATGCATTCACCTCTCGATTATCATTCCAAGTCCTGAGGGATCACGAATATGACAGCAGCTGATGGACTCCCACATGGCTACATGTACGAGATTTACTGGTTCGTGCTATCGATTGATCGAAGCCATCCGGTCACGGTCGAGCCGAAACGCCGTCACCGTGCGCTCGCCTGGCCATCTTCTCACGACGCGTCTATACCGCTGCGTGTTCGCGTCCGTCGGCCCTACAGCTCCACTTGGGTTACGGACGTGTTTGCTCTCGTGTTAGCTGCGTCGATTGCTGCACAAAGTTTTTCTTTTCACTTGCGTGACGTTTGCCTCCATTTGGGCACAGGCGTAGGACAGTGGGGCAATTTGATCTTTGTGCATGAGCGCGCAGTACCTTAAGATCTTGATACGCGTTCACAGTATGCGTATAGATGCCTTTTGCCCTTTATATTGCACTTTGTTACGGACAGTGACTTTAGCATAAGAGTCGCACATGGCACAAGTGCATCATCAAGCGTGATTGACTTTGTCTCAGCGCGTCAGCTTTAGCAATGATGGTGCGTTAATGTGGAATCGGCTGCAGTGTAGAGGGGCTGGCAGAGCGGAGAAAATCAAGTTAGAGAGGCAGCCGAGGAGACAATGTATGTCATAGGCGTAATAATTGTGCTCGTGCACAGAGGCTGGTGAACGCATGTGGCAGAATATGCCGAACTTTGGGACATGTATAGCGAAAGGAGAGCTGGAAAAGTACAGAAAGATACGCAATCGGATTAGCTGAGACATGCAGAGTGCTTTGCATTTGAAAGGATGTTACAAGAGACATATTGCAAGGGAGCAAGGCGTGGTGAATTTGGGTGCTGGTTCTTACGACGGCCCTAGCTTCATCACGCTAGCCAACCCACACCCGCGTCGCGACGTCTTCCACGATCGCGTTCGTGACTGACCCGTAGTTTCGTAATTGACTTGATGGCCTCCTCCTCCTAACCTACGTCTTTCTTTTTCCATACTGCCGTGTGCCTGCCTTCGCGTCTTCAACACTCCTTCCGCAGCCGCCGGCTCGCTTGTCTCCCTTCGAGACACGTCCACCTTACCCCATAGACATCGACACGCCAGGAGCCTCGCGTTCTAGGAGCTCCGCACACAAGATGGACTTTTCACCCACCAAGACGCTGTCCCAAACCCTCATCGAGTCGACAGAGCCGCACTCGGGGCATGTTCGGAAGCCCACCCCAACTCTTCTTCCGGCCTTCGGCGAGGATGGGCCATTCTCTTCATCGCCATTTCCACGTCCGGCGTCCTCGAAACGCAAGTTCGAAGAGGACTCGCCCACCTTTCCCAAGCAGCTGAAGTATTATCCAACCCCGCAGCCCACGTCGTCGACCAACATTATTTCCTCGTCGCCCCGCCATGCCCGGCCGGGCTTCGAACGCACCTTCTCGGCTCTGTCAGAGAGGACCCCACTCGGTGCTGTGCCCACGCTCGACCTTCCTGCAGACGGCGAAATCGTGAGAATGGGCAGGAGCTCCAACACGTCAGATTACCAGCTCTCTACCAACCGCCTCATTTCACGCGTTCACGTCCAAGCCGCTTATCACGCGCCAAGCCCACCATATCCGCATGGATACATTGAGGTTGAATGTCTGGGATGGAACGGTGCGAAGATCCACTGCAAAGGACGCATCTTCGAGCTGAGCAAGGGAGACACGTACATGTCAGAGAACCCCGAGACGGCCATCATGCTCGATGTACAGGATACCCGCGTCATGATTGCTTGGCCATCTATCCCTGTATCAAAGTTTTCTTGGGAATCCGAGGAAGAAGGCATGCCTACTCCGACTCGCAACCGTACCCAAGAGAACATCTGTTCCAGCCCTCCTGTTGTTCCACGGTCACCTGTCTCGCAGAGCCCGATTCGCCCTCCCGTCTTCGCCGGCCTTGGCACCAACCTGCAGTCTGGCCCCGTTGAAGTCTTCGAAGATGCCGATGCCAGCGCGGATAGCCCTAGCATTGCCACCCCAGGCTCCGCAGACCAGACCTTTATCCGCCCCTCTCTTCCAAGCTCCAAGTCTAGCCATGAAGTACGTCCTGTTGTCGATCTCAAAGAGAGTGTGAACTTCGCCGCCGACGACTTCTCCGACAATGATGAAGAAAACGATCCTGTTGTACACTCCTTTGGACCCTTCGGTCAGAACCTCCTCAGTGGCATGGCCTCGTTCAACACAGCTACGCCAACGCAATCAAACACTCCACGTATGCGCGGGCCACTACTGTCGCCGTCCCCCAAACGTCGCGTTACTGAGCCTATCCGATACAAAGAGTCACCGATCAAGAACCATGTCATCAACCAATTGGCATTCTCACGTATTCACTCTCAACCATTGTCCGCTATTCACAGCAACCTTCCAGCTGAATTGAAGGCCTGTGTGAACAAGGGCACAAATGGCAAGGATGAAGAGGGCACTGGCACATCGACTCCCCTCCCTGAGCTCTCTAGAAAAGAGTTGAAGAGGATTCTGGATGACACTCCCTGTGTTGGTGAAATTCCTCGTGCTGGCAAAGATGCCGCTGGGCAGCCCCTCGAGAACGAATTCTACTATGTCCCTGAGATGGACTCCAACCAAATGAGGCGCGAGACCATTACAGCTGGCACTCGCAGCACCGGACTGCGGTCTGTCAGGAAGACGCACAAAGTACGTAGTACGCCTGCTTACCCACGCAATCCCCCACTGACTATTCTTAGCAATATTATTGGAAGAAACCCCGCGTTTGAGCATCTCCATCAAAGACTTGCACCACGCACCAGTCAACAGATTACTTCCCACTACCTGTCACGTCTGCTCCTTATTTCACCGCGGCGCTGCACACGATCAGCACGTCTCGAACGCCAAAGTCTGTATCGACCGCCCATATCATACGTACATCTTTCTTGGATTCTTGTTTTTGTATGCATAGCGAGGCGTTACGATACCATTTTCACGCTCCTCGTTGTATCTCGGAGTTTTAAATTTAACTTTCTCAAGTTTGCGTCTACTATTCTTTTTTCTGGAGTAAGTGGCTTGTTGAATCAAGCAAATGTCTGTTCTCTTCCTGCTAGATACGACATCCTATAAGGTCGGCATCTCCGTTCTACGTTCTCGGTGGCGCTTCTGGTTATGGGGGATTGCGGATACGGACACTGCTGTATTGACGGGTGGGACTTCGGTAATAAGCTATTGCGATTATCACGATTACGATATCAAAGCGCTTTCGCCTACGCGGCGGAGTATGAAGTGTATCCAAACTACCGAAGAGAACCACGGTCAGCGGTGGGCGTTTTGATCTTGCATATACGAGTGTTCACTATGCGAGCAGGAGGGAGTTTGTGTGTACTTGTATATTCAGAATGCTTTGCGATAAAATCCATCAAAAGTACAAAAGTTGTCGCGTGTTGATGTGACGATCCCTATGCGAACGTGACATTCATAACTCCGTCAAGGCTTCGTGTGGCCTGGAATAATCAAAACTGATCAATAGCAACAATGGTTCCGATGGCAATTTCCTTGCAGTGTCCCTAGAGGACCACTGACCGCACTGTGTGCAGTATGGTTTGTGACGTCATACATGGTGCGATCGTGACGCGATCTCACGTGACCTGCCTCCATCAGGTAGAACAACATTACAAAATCACGCTGTAGCAGGGGAGGAAGAATCGAAGCTGGTGGTTTTTGAATTTGAATCGATTCACTCTACATGCCTGGTTCCCTTCATAAAGTCTCAAATGCGAGACAAGACAAGCACTCCATTGATGCCATGTGCCGTGGAAGAAGTAGTAGTGACCTAGCCCTCATATCCATCGCATGCAATCGTTGCAATTCGTATCCACCGACCCCGTTGCTCTCTTCGCCAGACGCCGATAGAAGCGAGTAGTTTACTTCAACTTCTTCTTGGGGCGGAGCTGGTTGGTGTGACCGCACTTCTTCTTGCGCTGTGGTCTTGTTAGTTAAGGTCCGATGCCATGTCCGTTCTCCTTGTTCGATCAAGGAATGGAGTCGTGGTTATGACGTACGCAGTTGACAGCCCTCGGTGGCAGACGTGCGTAGCACTTGCGGCAGATCATCTTGTCGCAGTTGTACTTGGAGGCAAGCGCCTTCAGCGAAGGCTCAATGATACCACCACGGAGACGGAGGACCAAGTGGAGGGTTGACTCCTTCTGGATGTTGTAGTCGGACAGAGTGCGGCCATCCTCGAGTTGCTTTCCGGCGAAGATCAGGCGCTGTTGGTCCGGGGGAATGCCCTCCTTGTCCTGGATCTTGGACTTGACGTTGTCTACCCATACTGTCAGCCTAAATCCTCCTTCTTCGGTGTCGCCATGCAAGCGCCGAGCGATGCGGTGCGGTGCGTTGCGTTGCCGTCGTGTGGCGCTGGGATTTGCGTACCGATGGTGTCACTGCTCTCGACTGCGAACAAGTTAGTGCATGCTCTAATACATTCTGTGCGTATGAGATATACCTTCGAGCGTGATGGTCTTGCCCGTCAGGGTCTTCACGAAGATCTGCATCTTTGGCGGTGTTGCGAGTGTTCCGTGATCTCAGGATCGAAGTCGAGGGCGAAGGAAGACGAATTCCACACACTGTGTGGGTGTCTGTGCGGTGCGACTAGGCTGGTCGGCGTTAGCGTGGTCCCGATGCCCCTCGCGTGTGACGCCTTCCCCAACCGAACTGACACTCATAACAGCAACGAACATCTGCAATTTCTTGCGGAACATAGACTTTCATCATGTCTTGCATTCTTATCTTGAATTTTGTAGAAGTAAAAACTAGTATTACATACGCGGCGCGCGGCCACTTCATCAAGCTTGCCTCTTCTGTGCCCTTTTCCACTGTTCAACCCTTGCCTCTGTGAAAACCACTGCCAAAGTGAGCATATTCACAGATAAGCCAGCTATCTTTGCAGCTTGTTCGTATAGTGTCTTCGCTGCGTCTGGTAAATTTTGTTCCATCTTCCAGATTGGATACGCCTGCCCTACCCTAAGTACCCCGGTGTCCTCAGCTACAACTGGCATCGTATTCATCGCGCCATGAACTGCCTTCACGACCTCTAATCTCTGACCTAGAGGAATCCCACAGGATAGCTCCTGTGGGGGATGTTGTGCCTCATTATCGATAGGGAAAATGTCGTACAACGCGTTTCGAAAATCATCAATGTCCCTGGTGCGCTGTATTTCAGCATTATCCAGAAATGTACTGGCGTAGAAGTCCAGATACTGGTCCATATCTTGGGGTTCCATCGATAACATGTCCTTCTCCTGTAGCTTTGTCAACTGTTCGGTTGTAAAGCGTCCGTTGTCTCCTCGCCTCGATTTCTCGGCGGCCTGCATCTGCTCGCACCACGCCTGCCAGCTCATCACCGCTGCTGTTGGTTCCGATGATGACTTTGGATAACGCTTCTCATCATCAAGTGGGTAGAGTACTTTGATACATATGATGAGGCAGCTCACCAGTTGCGCCTCGGCAAGATGCCGTATACCCAAACGTTTCTTACCGCTGTAGTGGGGAGCAAAATCGTAGCCCAGCAAGTCGCCAAGACGTCTAGTTGCATCGTACAGCTCAAGTGGTAAGGCGAGCTCTTTTAAATAGCGGAATAGCAACAGCGGCACGTTGAGAGCCGGCCAGGTTATACCATGGTCTTTACTGTAGCTAATTTGCAGGTCTGCGAGTGTTTTGTAAAATCGTGTGTGAGTGAGCGGTGCGCTTGGATCAAGAACAGCGTGGTAGGCAGGTGGCAGCCGATCTCTCATGGTGAGTGGCAGTAGCTTGATTGCCCTTCGATATGCCAAATGCCCATCGGTAGCCCATGCATGGATGTCGCCTGGCGTAAATGGCAGCCTTAGTGTCATGATACCAAGATAGCATAGAACTAGACAGTCGTTAAGATTGGGTGCTGCCGACAACCTCAAATTTCTCTTTTCCTTTGCATCTCGGAGGTGACCTTTCTCATTGTCTGTAGCATCATCCTCGCTCTCCAGAGTGCTGAAAACCTGCTGCTGAGATTGGGATTCTGACGAGTCTTCGTCATGACTCGCAATCCTGTCTCTAAGTTGGGCGATACGCAGTGCCCAGAGATCGCGCGTGACGGCTTCAAGTTCAATTGGTAATCCTCGGTCTTTTACAAGATACCAAAGCTGATGTCGCAGAATCAGTTGCAGACACTTCAAATACAGGTCAAAAGCTCGAGGACCCTTGTAAATCCTGCCAGTCGATTTGTCGTCTTCTTCCGTCTCTTTCTTTTTGCGCGTGACTGTTCGGGCAGCTCCTACGTAATCATCATCGTCTTCTCCGCGGACTAGACCCGCCTGTTGGTGGCCATTTTGACAATACAAGTAACCGTCTTCGCCCTCCTCGTAGCGTCTAGACCTGCAGTTTTCGACGCCACAAACGGGGCCTTTAGTCGACATGAAGTAGGCTTGAGCGTAGTCGACAATTCTATCGCGACAAGGTTGATATGATGAGGAGTTGAAGTTGAGCAGACTGCATGCCGTTGTGCGCTGAGTTGTTCATGTTACAATGGCTTTACAGATCGCTTTGCAAGTAGAAGTTCGCCAGCCACTAGCGCGGATCCGGGAACCAGTCACACGAATTTTCTACCAATGAGAAAGACGACAATTGCCGTAAAGTCATCACCTTTTATTCATTGCCAGAAGCGTAAAGGATATATCTAGGAAGGGAAATGAATCGTAATACGTTTCCCACACATGGCAATGCAAGGAACCCAAAACCGTCCGAAGAACCTCGTGCATTGGTCGCCTAGTGCAAGCTAATTGCACGGGAGAATGCTACGCTTGCCGCGGAGCTACAACTTTGCACACGATATGCAAAGAGTGTCGTAGCTCCGTTCGTAATCTGTCTGCAATCCGCGCCTTGCTTCCTGCTAAACAGTCTACGTATTGAACGATGCGCTTATTTAGGAGCCTCCTTGGCGTCGATGCAGGCCTCCTCACCCATAGCAGTAAGGATAATGACGTCTGGTAGCATGTCAGTGTGGTGCACGGAGGCTTTTTCCGGGTTAGAACTTACTGGTGTCCTTGCCGTCCTGGTTGAACATCTTGTCGATCTTGTCACCAACCTCGCCATCGGGGACCTTGACGTCGTCCTTGGTGGAGCCGTCGTCGGACATGAGGGAGAGGAAACCGTCGTCAGTAACGTCGAGCTGGATCTTGTGTTAGCCTAGACTTGGCAATGGGCGACTGGAGCCACTTACGAGCTGGTACTCGCGACGGGTGACGTTAGGAACGTCCATGTTGTGGGTGGAAGGGCAGAGATCTTCCAACTTCTTCTGGGTGAAGATGTCGATGGCGACCAAATGGACCTTGGCGTGACCGTGCTTTCCGGTCTTGGAGGTGGTCATCTCGACAATCTTGCAAGGGCGGTTCTTAATGCAGACGAAACCGTTCTTCCTCAAGGCAGAACACTGCATGGGGTAGGTAAGAGAGGCACCCGCATCGGCGCTGTCGAAGGTGTGCTCATGCTAGAGACGATAGAGTCAGTACAGGGCGTGACGAAGAGGCGCGAACGTGGAAGTCGCCTGGTCGCAGCTGGCGACAGTGCTCCGAAGGGTGGGGTAAAGAGCACATGCGGGGCTAGTATCCGCGGAAACGTACCTGCGCGTCGTTGTCCGCCATGGTGATGAATGAGAGTCGGATGCGACGGTGAGGAAGAGTTCGAGTTCGGGCTGCTGGTCGAAGAGCGGTGGGGTGGGCAGAGTCCTTAAATGGGAGATGGAGAGAGAAGTCTTTTGCGTGGGCAAAATTGGGCAGGCGCGGAGGGGAAGGTGGCGCTAGCGGATCCCTGTCTAGTTCGCGGATTAAACAATCGCCGGCGTCCTTATGTGAATCCAAGGTGCCCTGCCATCGTCCACGACGCCAACATCTAGTACCTGATTCTTAAGCGACTGACTACGACTTGGTAGATATCATGTGGGGCTTGGATAGGCTCTCGTCGTACTCGACACCCGCCGGCATGCCGCCTCCGCGACGCGATTCCCACTCGCCAGCTCCTCGAAGGGGCTACCCAGCTCCGGCGCAACCTGTCAGACCGGGGCTCAATCCACGATCGTCTTCGCTGACACCCCTCATATCGCCCAATGCGTCGACTGCGAGCCTGCCTCTATCCGCGCGTATGCCAAATGGAGGACTTCGTAGGCGGCAGACAGGCGGCATCCCTCCCAACGTGCCAGATCCCATACACGTGTTAGAGTCCATCATGGGAGGGCTACCACGCAACTCGTCTGCGACGAATGGGGAAGAGGTAGCGCGTATATCTGGAAAGCCTGACGAGGTAGAGGAAGATATTGAATTTGGGGAATTGAGCTTGCACGATTTCGTAGCGGTCAAGACTGCAGAACGACAGCAACCCACTTCTGTACATACATATAGTACGCAGTCAGTCGAAGAATGTACGTGTTCATGTTCAGGGTCGCAAGTCTTTGCTCATTGTGTCTGCAGATGACAAAGACAAAGACAAGTTTGAGGACCTGCACAAATCTATATTGGCGTGCGACGAGGTACTCAAGTCGGTCGAGGCAAACCTGACCAACTTTCAGTCCGATCTCGAGGCCGTTTCTGCCGAGATAGAATCACTCCAGAACCGATCTATTGCCTTGAACACCAAGCTGGAAAACCGTAAGGTGGTTGAGAAGCTTCTGGGACCGGCGGTGGAAGACATCAGTATATCACCAGCCGTCGTGCGCAAGATCGCCGAAGGCCCGGTCGACGAGGGTTTTGTGCGCGCCCTTACAGAGGTCGAGAAGCGGTCCAAGGCGGTCAACGATAAAGCCAAAGAGAACCCAGAGTTGGCAGCCATAAAGGACGTTAAACCACTGCTAGACGATCTCATAAATCGCGCAGTCGAACGAATACGAGACTATATAGTTGCTCAGATCAAGGCCATTCGCTCACCTTCTATCAATGCGCAGATTATCCAGCAGCAAGCATTCCTGAAATACAAAGACTTGTATTCTTTCCTGGCGAAACATCAGGCAGAGCTTGCACAACAGATAGCACAGGCATACATATATACCATGCGCTGGTACTATCTCAATCATTTCAGCCGATACAGATCAGCGCTTGAGAAGATCAAGGTACACGCCATGGATAGGTACGACGTACTGGGTGAAGATCCCAGCGCTAGAAGGACTGGAACTTTGCTCGGTCAGTCTCGAAACGCACCAGTTGCCTACGACGCTTTCTCACTCGGACGACGCCGCGATGCACTGAAGAGCTCTTCCGTCAATGCCTTACCAGCCAATGTCGCCGAAGATGAAAAATCACCCCACTATTTGGAGGTGCCTTTCCGCAGCTTTAACCTCGCACTCATCGACAATGCATGCTTCGAGTATACCTTCATTTCTACATACTTCGCTCCATCGCAAAATTTCCATGCAATCTCGCGGACCTTCAACTCAATCTTCGAGCCTACGCTAGCAGTTGGGCAAGCGGTTACAAAATCGCTTGTGGAAGCAACAACGGATACACTTGGGATACTGCTTTGCGTACGACTAAACCAGCACTTTGCATTCGAACTCCAACGCAGGAAGGTTCCAACAGTCGAAGGTTACATCAACGCGACAAACATGCTGCTATGGCCACGGTTCCAGCAGGTTCTGGACATGCACTGCACGTCGCTCCAGAAAGTCACAGCGTCTCTGCCAGGCCGCCCGTCAACCGGGGCTGCGTTGCTTGGCTCTAGCTCGTCCAATGCAACCTCTACTGCGCCAACACCTCTCACACAGAAATTCGCAAACCTACTCCAAGGCATATTGGCCCTCTCGTCGGAAGCAGGCGATGATGAACCTGTCAGCGTATCTGTGGGTAGACTGAGAAGTGAGTACGAGGCCTATCTTACGAAACTGAGCAAGGGTACTAGCGACGCACGGAAGAGAGAACGTTTCTTGTGCAACAACTATAGCTTGGTATGTACGATCTTGGCAGATGTTGAAGGAAAACTTGGGGAAGAAACGAGGGTACACTTCGAAAAGCTGAGAGATGCTTTCGACAAGTAGGCTAGTTTTGAGAATCATCCAGGGACTTGTACTACAGGCCAACAAAGGTTCTCAATAACGCTTTCCAGTTCATGTGACTCTTCCATACGTTAACCACACGCGTACAACCTGCTCTACCCGTGGTCAAATCTATGTGTTTGGGACTTTCATCTAGAGTGTTTCTTTTATTCCATCTCTGTTCAGATCTGACTTCAGAACATGCTACGTCACTCGCTAGATGATATACAAGCAGATGATAGTATACAATCACTCCTCTAACCCATGAGTGGCGCCCAGTCCTTAGCAGCCTGCTCGCTGAAGAAAGGTTTGACGTAGGTTCCCTTGCCAAGAGTGAAACCCTTGCTTCTCAACAGCATGTACATGGCGTTCAGGTGGAAGTAACCTGATCCATGTCAGCATTCGGCCTACGCGCAGCTAACACGGGAACACGACTTACCGTTCGGTACAGCAAAGCTGTTGTAGAAATCAGCCGTGCTAGTCATCTTCAGTGACTTGCCAGCAACACTGACTTCGAGGCCCTTGTCGGCACTCTCGTTGAAAGCCTTCTCATCAACAGCATCATAGACAGCAATGAGCTGCTTGAAGAAGTTGATGAGATCGTCAATGGACGAGAAGGAAGAAGGGTCCATGCTCGGGGAAGAAGCCGAGCTGAGCTTGTGCTGGTCGATGCCTTCGAGAGAGAACTTGGCGACGAGAATGGGTTGCATGCGTAGGGGAAGCATGTCACCGATCTGTGCGTTCAGTACGTCTGCGTCAGAGGGCAGCGAGGTGTTCTTTGACTGCTCATCTTTGGCTGCTGTGAGGAAGCTGACGGCGCTCTTGGCAGTGCCGCGAAGTTGAGGGACGGTGGCCTGGTAGAAGGAGTATGTAGACATCTTGGCTAACGTTTGTAGATTACGTGGGAGACGTGTAAGAGTAGGAGGGGTTGCAAAGTTTGGAGGGGTATGTAAACGGTTGAAGTACGCTTAAAGACTTGTAGAGGTGGATACTAGAAAAAGAAGAAAGGGCGATCGCCCGAGCTATTTGTATATACCCGTAGACTTTGCCCTACAACACTCGCTCCTCGCGTTACACGTCGGCATATTATTTACCCCTCGATCCTCGTATTGGATGCCGGCCCATTGTTTGTTGTTAAACCCGATCCGTTGATCTCGTCTCAGACCCATAGAATGCATATCGCCGCGGTATGCCCGAGTGGGCTCAGCTCTTTAGCCTACCTAGTACTATAGCGGTGTAAACCGGTAATGGAGGCCTACATAGTGTCTCTCGGAGTAAATACCTGTTAAGTCTGGGACCGAGTAAACGACATGAACATCGAAATATAGTGTCTTTGAGACCTGGGCGAGATAACATGAAGCGTAACTTAATTGTATGTAGCCTGAGGTGGTGAGACTGGAGGGCGGGCCTTTCCGCACTAGCACTGCAGGATATCTGCGCACGGACCGCGGAAATTCTACACTCGCCACCACAGACCTCGGCGCGTACATATGGACAAGCCGGACTACCTCACATCCGATACAGTAATAGCTTACACATCTTCGGTGCATACCTTGTTCGGTTTCTGATTGAACAACCAATACTCTGAGCACCGAGCATGGCCAAGCGGAAGCGCAGCGCAAATGCGCAAGCTCAGGTCGTGAAGAAGCAATCCACAGCGGGCATCCCAAGTCCACCACAAGAGGCGAATCCACTCGAACCAGCAAGCGTACACTCTATAATCTCGTCTGAAGAGATTGAGGTCGCTATAGAGACACTACAGACTTTATCTGCGCATCCGCTCCTGATCAAGTCAAAAGCGTGCAAGGACCTTAGGACTGCCGTATACGATTTTCGTCAAGCATGTACTACTGGCCTGAACTCGGCTGGTACGTCTGATTTCTTGAGCTTCGGAACCAAAAACTAAGTGTGAGAGTAGATGGCAGCAACCTCACTGCGCGCATATCAGGTGCACTCACAGACGCCAAATACACGGAAGCCCTGATCTTATTGGCGGAAATGAAGATTCGACAAGAGACTCCGACGCTGGGCGCTCTTTGTCGATGGGTACGTACTCTGGACGTTGTTTCCGGGCTCTCGATTCATGTGCAGGTTCCTAGTCACGAAGTGGTTGGTAAGAATGCGCAAAATGACGAGTTAGTCGGAGTGTTGGATTCAATTCTAAGAGTCACGGGTCCGACGGACTCGACAGCTCATGGCACAGACATCGCATCAGGCATCTCATTACAAGACACTTGGGATCTGCGAGGTACCAACAAGCCTACTCGTCCGATAAGGCGAAGCGTTGAGGACAAGAGCATCTTCAAGTCATGCTCCCCGGATCTTAAAAACCGCTTTCGCATTATCGAAACCACACCTGGACTCCAGCGCAAACCGCCGAATCTTCATCCCGCGATCTTGTACGCTTCCCAAGACGACGCTGTGCTGCTTGGCAAAGGACCCAAAACAGAGTGTTTCAAGCACCCAATTGTGCCTAATCTTCGCCTGATCAAGGACGTGCTTTCTCCAGAAGAATGCTCCGCTATCATCGCGGCTGGAGAAACTATAGAGTTCATACCAGATGCCCCGATGCGACCTCAAGGTGAAGATACGAGTGTGCTAGCACACAACTTCTACTGGATCGTCGACCAAGCCTTCCATGACAAGCTCTGGGACAGAGTGAAGGGCTTTGTGCCGGAGAGCGTGGCTGGCAAGAAAGTGCGAGGTATTAACCGACGCTTCAGAGTGTATAGATATGTGCCTGGTGCGGAATATCGCATGCATATTGGTAGGTGATTCATCGAAATCAACTCGAGTATATTCGTTGACTTCAATAGACGGCGCATGGCCACCTTCTGGTATCGACCCTGTCACTGATGCCTATCAGTATGATGCATCACCGGCCAACGCTCGCCAATCCTCTCTCTTCACGTTCCTTATCTACCTTAACGATGAGTTCAAGGGTGGCGAAACGACTTTCTTCATTCCAAGTGTCAAGGAAGGTGTTATCAACGCCTACCCAGTCAAACCTATCATGGGTAGTGTTGCAGTATTCCCGCATGGCGAAGCCCAAGGCGCAATCCTTCATGAGGGCACTGGAGTTGTTGAAGGCGCAAAGTATGTGATTAGAACGGATGTTGAATATGACGTCGATAGCACGGCATGAGGAATCGTGTTACGTCTTATGCCACAAGATTTTCAATTTCATTACATTGCAGCATACAAAAACCGTCACATAGGTTGCAGGAGTTCATGGAGGCAACGGTGATTGAGCCAATGTGGCAGACAGAATCCATATCATCATTTCCAGTCATCCAGAACGTGCTACATACTCATGCTAAGCCCCAAGTCCCGACCCGATACCCTTGACAATAACCATACACCCAGTCATATTTATATACCTTGGTCCAAAGAATTTTCAGATGCCGTCCAACGCCCCCTAGTAAGAAAACAGAAACCTAATAAGCCTGCGCGACACCACTGACAGTCCTTTGCTTCATTCCGCCCCACGCACCACCGCGTCCCTCTTCAGCAATCTTCCCACTGACATCCCTCCTCCGCCCTGGCATACCCAGGTCTGAGTCGTCAAACTCGTATGGGTTGATGTAATCTACACCAGACCGGCTGATCACTCGCGGTGACTGTCCCTTGACAGGAGTGTAGTTCGCCTCTCCGGTGCGCTTGATACTCGTGTAACTCTTCTTGTGAAGAGTAAATGGCGAGTTGGTCAAATTATGCTGCGGAACAGGCGGAGGAGTGTTGACAGCGTACTGCTTGGTTGCGCTGGGGAACTGGTTTGGCTGTTGGCGGAAAGAAGACCCCTTTGTTGGGGAGCTGGACGGAGAGTTTGAGGGCGAGTTTGCACTTCGGACACCTTCAGTTGCAGCTTTGAGGTTACCGTAGTAGCGCGATTTCGGTGTACCGGAACGGGAATGCGAGCGATCGAAGGTCTTTTCGGTGGAGATTGATGTCGTGGTCAAGGTACGCTGAAGACCGGCTGGCGGGGGCGTGCTCTTTTGGTTGTTCTCCTCGAAGGCGTCGGCCGGTGGGGGAGAGGGTAGAGGAGAGGGCGGGTTCTGGCTGAGAGGGTTCATACGCAGAGGTTCGGGAACCATGGGTACCTCGGCTTCGTCCTCCATGTCAGAGACGTCTTCATAACGTGAGATAGTATTGTAGCCATTTTTACCATTCGTCGAGAACATTGACTGTTTGGGCGGTGGAGATAGGTGATTGTCGTCGTACTCGTCTTCCTGATCAGGATGCACGAACCAATTGTCATTCTTGAGGCTTTGTTGGGAGTTTCGCTGAAGAGAAAGATCGCCGGACGCTTCTTGTTTCAAAGACCGTGCGGTGGCCGGACGACTGTGGAAGTCTTGTTTCGACGAGCTGTTGATGTACGAGTCGGTTCGGGAGTGTCGCTTGATATTAGCTTGCTGAGAGAGCATAGACTTGCGTTGAGCCAGTGTCTGGTTATCTTCATCCTGGCTAAGCAGGTCTTCACGAGTGTTGAGCTCTTTGCGGGACTGGTATGCGGATGGAGGCTGAGAGTACATGGAAAAACGCTCCCTGGATTGGCGCGCCGAAGCAGGCGTATGAGGGGAGTATGTGGTCTCCGAGTCTGTTCGCGTGTGCATGAAAGCAACTTGACTTTTGTTGGGGCTTGGGATTTCGCTGTAGATGTACGAAGGAGTTTTCGAATCGCGATCTCCAGAAATAGTGCTCTGATCGCTGAATCGCTTTTCCTGATCCGAGGTAAGAGGTGTGATGGCGGAGATGGAAGAATTCTTGTGCTTGTGCTTGGTCCTCCTACGCGAGGTCAAGTTGTCCTCAAGTGGGTTCATGTCCGGTGGCAGCTTTGCGATCTTTCGGAACAGGATAGCCAGGTACATGTCAATGACGGCTGAGATCAGATGTAAACCTCCAGTGACAATGGCTGTGATCCATGTTGTCATCAGAACTATGTTCGTCTCATTGTCTGTAGGAAACATAGTGCGCCAACGCCCAATTGTTGCAGCCGTTTCATCGGAGTTACGGCGAGCCATGAGGATGGTGAAGACATAGAACGGGATGAAGCCAGCGTCGGTGATAAGAGCAAAGAAGTGGTAGCTGGCTGAGCTACCCGCTGGTCGCGTCTTGGGATTACGGATTAGGTGGTATATGGCGTATAGAGAAACGACGAGGTCTACACCAGGCTGTCCATGTTAGCGACCCATTTGCACGTTGATCAGAACGTGCTTACCGGTATCCTCAGTATGTAGCCTTCTGTGGCCTGAGCGCCCCGGATGAAGATGCCGCAAAGCAAGACTCCGACAGCACCAAGGAGAGTCAGTATCCTAAGACCGAACTGGATCCATCGTGCAATGTCGATGAAGACCTTGGTCTTGGGGCTCATTGGCTTCGTCTTTGTGTTACCGTAGGGAAGAATGAGGTAGCTGTCCGGGTGTTTGTTGAAGTCGATCAAAGGGCCTTCCTGCTTCTTCTTGGGCGGTGGAGGCGGCATGCGACTGGCCATGGTAATGGCCTTGGGGTTGAAAGTCGGCCGAGTAGGGTCGATGTCAATCATGGAATCCCTTGAGGATGCATACATGTGGGGCTGCCAGCGGCCCGCCATAGTTGCGATGGAGAGCGAGAAGTAAAGAAGGAAGTTCTACTGCACACGACCGTCTGGACAGAAGGTGAGAGATATCTTCTCGCTTATAGCAAAGGAATGCAGATGCTAGTTGATGGATGACATGGGCCCACGCGGGGACCTGGGGAGATATGTATGTAAATACCGGGTTGTCATGACAACAATCAATATTGACCAATGCAAATCCAGAACGCCTCATGACGTGAGGATGCACGGCTGGGACGGACATGTGCATTGACTAGTGATGGCCACGAGCGGCTGAAACTTGAATTAGCCAGGAACATGTGGGGGCCCGATGAGTTGCAGCAGGGAATTGTGGTTAGTTTTACTTTGTTCGTCCAGCTTGGGCGCATCAACGGCACGTTGGGCGGATAACCAGGCCGGATATTGTCGCAAACGCCATCCGAGTAGAACGAGAGAGGTTAGCCAGACGCGTGCGCCTCCTGCTTATGGTTTCGAGGCGGATGCGATGGTCGTGCGTGTACATGGTGTGGTTGGAGTCCAGAGGCTTCAAGCGTCGGGACCTTAGTCATCTCGAGAATGCTCGGGCGGCGATTGCCGCTATCAAATGCAAGGACCTTCACAACATGCACCTCAGCCTGCGCCTACAGAAGACGCCGTATGTCTGCGCTAGCTGCACTCAACGTATAGCAAGCGCGTCGGCTCAGATAAGACACTACCATGGTACTGCCGGGCATTTGAGAGGGATCAGCACGATTCGACAAGGACCATCAGGCACGTTTCCGTTCAACATCGCATCCTTATCACGACAACCACTTCGCAATGCATTCAGCACAGCCGCGACTGTTCGGGGGCGCCTCCGCGTCGCCATCATTGGCTCTGGACCTGCAGGCTTCTACACGGCGTACCGACTCATGAGCAAGAACCAAGATGCCGTGGTTGACATGTACGAGCAACTTCCGGTACCTTATGGACTCGTCCGCTATGGCGTCGCACCCGACCACCCCGAGGTCAAGAACTGCCAGGACACGTTCGAAGAGGTAGCGCAATCGCCGCGATTCAACTACATCGGCAATGTCAGGGTGGGATATGATATCGAATTGGCCAAAATGAAACCCCACTACGACGCGATACTCTTCTCCTATGGCGCAAGTGAGGACAGACAGCTGGGGATACCTGGTGAAGATCTGCCGGGTGTGTACTCGGCTAGGTCTTTCGTGGGATGGTACAATGCTCTGCCACAGTTTGCAAGTCTGAAGCCCAACCTCCAAGCTGGCGAGCAGGCAGTCGTCATAGGCCAGGGCAATGTCGCGCTCGATGTCGCGCGTATACTGCTGAGCCCTGTCGATAGCTTACGGCATACCGACATATCCGAGCAGGCTATACAAACTCTTTCAGGGAACAGGGTGCGCTCTGTAAGGGTGGTTGGCCGGCGTGGGCCAATCCAGGTACGTCTCACGATGATCCTACTTGAACATATCGCTTACCTGAAGTCAGGCTGCATTCACTGTCAAAGAAGCTCGCGAGCTGATGAATATCCCTTCCGTCGCCTTCGACCCCATCGACCGCTCCTTGTATCCATCCGAGATCAAGAAGCTGCCTCGCGTACAGAAACGAATAGCGGAGGTTCTACTCAAGGGTAGCAAGGCAACCAAGGAAGAGACTGCACGATCATGGGCTCTCAAGTTCATGCAAGCACCCAAGTCCATGCACGCAGACGCTGGCCAACTCTCATCCATCGCCTTTACGAAGCAACGGTTCGTCCCCGACGCCGACCCCTTCGACCAACGTGCCCGCGTCACACCTACAAATGAAGAGACATCCATGGAAGCGTCGCTAGCATTCAGATCCGTGGGTTACAAATCAACCGGCCTGCCTGGTCTTTCTGACATTGGCGTACCCTTCGACGACAAACTTGGAATAATACCCAATGACATGCACGGCCGTGTCATCACGCCATCCGCAGGGCCCGGCAATCTGACAGCTGGCCATGTCCATGGGCTATACTGTGCAGGCTGGGTAAAGCGTGGACCTACTGGTGTCATCGCCAGTACTATGCAAGACGCCTTTTCGTCTGCAGACATCATTGCGCAAGATTGGGAGGCCAACGTACCGTTCTTGAATGACACCAGTGGCGACAACAGAAGCACAGGTCTTGGCTGGGATGGTATCAAGGATATCGTGACAAGCGTGAGACCGCTAGCTTGGTCGGATTGGAAGAAAATCGACCATGCTGAACGAGCCAGAGGCAAAAGTAAAGGCAAGGAGAGAGAGAAGTTCCAGAGCGTTGAAGAGATGCTCAAGATCTTGGATGCATAGAGCCATGTTACGACAATTCATTGCTACAGAGTTCTTGCTACACTCCAGCATATTATGTGCTCCTTTTGCGCCCATGTAGCTAGTGCAAAAGGACGCTTCCGCAGTAATAGCTATTGTACATAATCGCTCTTAACTCCTGTGAAGATCTGGATAATACAAAGAATGTTTTCGACGAACAGAACTGAGGGTTCGGGAATATTAAGATTGTATACTCTAGATGCCCCGTATCGGTCTACAGTGGCATCTCGAATTGACCGCTAGTACGATCAACGAACGTCAGCATGAAGTTTCATACTTGAGCTCACCCCCACGCACATCTCAGTGTATATATGTACAGCATTCATTCGTGTTTCTCTATCATACTTCAAGGTTTATGTACGACTCTGTATTGCTTCAGAAGTTCTGCGTTCTATTTACCGGTTCCCAAAACCCATGAAGCTATCCCTTACCGGCACATTCCCATCTATCGGCCTGCTGTACCTACTACTGACAGTCGTTTGAGTCTTCGAGGTCATGTACATTCTCGACGCTTCCGGCATTGGCGGAGGCCATAGATCCTGTACTGTAACACCCGTCATTCTTGGCCCGTTGTCTGCTGCGATTGGGGGACGAGGAGATCGCAAGGGATCAAATACGCCTGATGATGGGCGGCGTTCTCCATAAGTCGCTGACATATTGTAGAAGTCATCGTTGTTCATGCCCTGGGCCGGATAGGTGTAGCCTCCGGTCTTGGGGTTATAGATACCTCGCTCTTGGTAGTTGAGTCGCTCTTCTGGTGACAGGAAAGGGTCTTCTCGTGTATCCATCTCAGTCATGCTACCTTCTTTCCGGAAGTTGAACGGTGTGCTGATGCCATTATCTTCAGAGCCCTTGAGTTCATCCGTCTTTCTCTGTGGAAGCTTCGATTTATTGGATTTGAAGTTGAGAGCGGGTGGTGGATCTTTCCGATCGAAACCAAATGTGGCTATTGTGTCGCTCCGTCCATGACTTCCAAAACCAGTAGCGGTCATTGGTTTGATACCTGATGCTTCTTTCTTGGCGATATGCTGTTCTAGCCATGCTCTGATGCCAACTAACGCTGTAGCACTGATCTGTATCATCAGAACGAAGCTCACAAGACCAGCAACACTTGTGGAGGTGAGAACCGCGTCGACGATGCAAAGTGATATTGCGCGCAGCGTAGAAAAGCCTTGCAAGAAGGTGAACTGGCCAAGGCCTAATAAGAGTTGGGTACTGATACCGCTAATGAGGTAGATGCGTTGTGGCGTCTTGGCAAGCGCTATAGGACCTTTTACGCCGGCGAATGTCGAAGGGTCAGGGTGCGGGAGCTCGGTTCGTAAGCGAACGACGGTAAAGCCAACTGCCGGGAAGATGAAGATGAGGCAGACGAGACCCATGATCTGTAGGTAAGGATGAGTTCAGATCTCTCAAAGTATATCAGTACAAGGAGCTTACCCCATGTGTATCTCGGAAATGACTTGCACTTCCCATACCAGCAATACCAAGGATAATACCAACCACGCCCAGGACAGCGAACGTGATCAAGAACCCCATGCGCCATTTCCTGTTCTTAGCTTCGTCCACTGGGTAGCCGGTGAGGACCGAGAATCGCCAGACTACTCCCAAGACAAGGTATAGTGGAAGGAATGTAAGGAAAGCGAGACCAGCAAATAGTACTATACGCATAGGTTAGTTGCAAAGTTCGAGATGACACATGAAAATTGTCCCATAGCTTACCGTGTAGTCCTGTGATGACTGCAAAGGGAATGAGCGCTAACTCATTTATCTTGAGACTTTGACTCTCAATGACAATCTCGAACATATTTCCCTCCGATGAAAGGACGATAGGACCTCGAGGTAAGGCTTGCAGAACCGTCGAGTCGAGAGGTGGACCAGCTTGGCCCATTGCCATACTCATCATACTAGCATTCGCTTTGGCCGCAGTCATAGCACCCAAAGCTGCTGCTGCAATACCACCAATTCCTGAGCATGTGAAGGTCTCGATCACTTTCTGAGCGCCCATCTGTGCTGTCTCTGCGTCGATAGCAATAGGGAATTTAGCTTGCGCTTCGGCCTGGCGGACGGAAAGTGGGCTGTATGTCACTGCAACGTATCAGAGTGCGTAACAAGGCATTGGATGGCAATATCTTACCTACACTGAGATCCTCATGTGCTTCTTCGATACTTCTTGTACGTGATGAACGTGTCTCGGATTTCGGCATGCCTTGCGTGAGATTTCTGGCAATCTCAGCAATCAGGATCGTCGCCTTGCCAGTAAGACCTCGTGCAAAGCCCACAGCCGAGCCATTTACACTGTCGTTGAACTGTGTCGGCGCCAGGACTGGCACTTCGTCGTATGCGGTTTTCGGGACATTGCCACTTATCAAGTTCTTCACTCCTCCGACAGAGTACATCGCGCTTACAACTCCTTCAATGGTACCTCTAGCGAAGCCTTCCGCCGCCTTGGCGCCATCTATGTTCTGGAACGCCTGAGGCGGATTGCTCGCTATGAACTGTTTGGCTTGCTGAATAGCCGAGCTATTTGTAAGGAGGTTAGAGAAGATGTTTTGCGTGAAACTTTCTGCGGTCAAAGCTGTCTGCTCATCATCCCCAGTGATGTTACCACCCAGTATCGGTTTCGAGTCTGCAGGCTTGAAGTTCAACCCGATGGCGACCCCCATGCCTATACCTGCACCAGCTCCTGCTGCTATAGGCCGCAGCATGCCCTGAAGCTCGGTTTGGTTAGGAAAAACCGTGATAGTTCCAACGCTGAAGGTTGAAAAGTTGCTGTCTTGGATGAACGATTGACTGAGGCCTCTGGCGAAAGCTTGCACAGTTCTAGGAAAGTCCGTCGTTTCCATGACAGTATTCTCTAATTGTCGCTTCCGGTTTTCGGGCGCTGGCGACTTCGACGCGGTTAACTCCAGGCCGTTCCTTGCGCCCTCTCCTATACCTAGCCCAGCAGCAGCAGCAAGCTCAGGAAGCTTTTGTGTCAGCATGGAGAAACTAGAGCTATTCCTCAAGCTCCTAACCATGGCTTGAAGATCAAGGTTGGATATGATGGGCATAGCAACTCCAAGACCGAGATTTCCAGCTACGCCCTCAATGCTCGAGTCTGTCGATGGCGTAAATCGTTGCTGTGTCAATCCAAAGCCCACTGCAGTTGCATTTCCGATACCAGATGCTAGCGCAAAAGCCGCAGGACCAAGAGAGATGTTGTTGCTGCCGAACGAGGGAGTAATCTGTCTAGATAGCCCGCTGCCGAGTTGTTGAGCAGCAAGGTTCGCACCTGTTGCTGAAGCGTTGTATGCGGTTGCAATGTTCGAAGCTATCGCGTTGGCTTCGTCTATGTTGGTCAGATTGAGAGCAGTCGTTGTACCCATGCTGTAGATGGTCAGTCTTACTCAATGATCTGGACGCATACGTACCCTAGACCGATACCCAGAAACAAAGCAGGCGTTCCAAGTGAGCCAACCATCAAGTCTCCTAGACTGCCCAGTACACCCGTCAGCCCACCTGTCATATTCAACCCGCCTATGCTAACAGCACCACCTGTCAAATCTTGGAAGGCCCCGCTTAGGTCATCTTTCAGATCCCGCCTTTTTAACTCTAGCCGATGCTTATTGCGAAGGTTGTTGACTCCGTCCGTTAGATTGGACCCGAAACTTTTCAGACTTTCCAAGCGAAATCGTCTACCGATATCACTGGACGAGTATGCAATAGCGTCCGTGAGCGACAGCAGTGCGTCATGTAAGCGTACGTCTTGGTTGAGCGCATCGATAGTTTGAGGCGTGAAGATCGCCGTGAGACTGTCTGGATATCGCTCGCTCGCGATCGTTATCTGCGTGCTGAACCAGAAGGCGGCCGACGAATAAAGCATAAAGAGTGTCGCAAAACATGCTAGCAGGTGTCAGACCGGCCTTCCAGAAGCAAACGAAAACATTATTACAAGATAGTAGTGGGGTATCTCAACGACATGTACAAAAAGGAACCAAAGCGCGAAAGTGTCAATGGCGGTGGCCTGCCACAACGCTCACTTGAAAGAACAGAAGTAGGCCATCAGCCAAGAGCCACAACGATGCTATATGTCGAGCACGGCCGACATGGTAATGCTGTCCAGGAAGGCGTTTTCGAAACATCCTAGACGTGGAACTAGAAACGCTAGAAACACGCCAGCTCCATGTCGCGCGTGCGGCATGTCAGGAACGCGCATTCTGTGTCGGAGCCTCTTTTCTGCATTACAATGTTCTGCAAAGACTGGCTGAGGCGGACGGGAATACGATTTCGGTGAACGCTGGAGACATACTAGGGACGATAATATTCTAAGTAGGTGTCAATTATGAACCATCATGGTCGAACAACCCAATCACAGCTATGACCATGTCTCCAAGGTTCACAGGGTGCTGAAGGAACGGTAAAACAGCTTCGTAGAGGAGCCTCACCTGTCTCCCGGGTTGTCCTAGCAGATGTGATCATCCCGCGACGGGCCTTCCGGTGATGCGACGATCTTGAAACATGATCTTTGGAGACACCAGCCAGTGATATTGAACAATGCCAAAGCTGTGACAACAAATTGTACATGGCTCTCCAAAGTACAAATGCGAACAGTGCCTGAAAAACGGGAGTGGCGGTTATCGGGATCCAGAAGCGCATGCATCCGAAAACTGCGGGCTGGAGCCAGGATACCTTTCGAGGCTCCAACGCTAATTGTGCGCTCATCGATAAGGATACGTAAAGCATCATCAGGTATTGAATTTGAATTCATGGCACGCGTACCGACTCCGCACTCTCTATGACAAGCACAGGGACAGCTGGTATGAAGCCGCAGTGCTGAACAATTCTCTGTTACGCACGCCAAGTGAGATTTGTATGCAGACCAAGTCTTATCGAGTGCGGGTCCAAGTGCACGGAGGGGATCACCATGACCGCGTTGGAGCAGATAGTAATCGAAAGAGGGCCATGGAGAAATAAAAAGAACAAGTGGTGGCTGGAGAGATAGACGCGTCAACGCGTCAACGCGTCGAGCACTGGCTGACTAAGCGCACCAGTTTTTCCCCGAACCAGCATGGCCCAGATCTATCGCCAAGCATCTCTCCGTATCCCAGCCCTGTTTTTGGAGGGCTTTGCCTCCAGCAGCTCGCATCTTGTTTTCACTGAGGCGGATAACTAGACCAGATATTCGCGACTGGAAGTTATGTCTGGGTGGGCTGGAACACTTGCCGAGCGCTCATGGCGTCTTCTTTAATGTCACACAATTCATCAAAGAGGTAGCGAGAAACAGGCACACGCCACGGGCCAAGAAAGAGGTTGTGACAATACAGACATTTCCTGCGAGGATTGTTCAAAATACCTCTCAACGACATAAAAAACGTCAAATAAATAGGCAGCGAATCATTGCAAAAGCTCCTAGTGTTGTGATGTTACGCTTGTATATTCTAACTTACACCGCATGATAGAGCGCTGCCATAGATCTACCTGATCCAAAGCCATAAGCCATCTTGTAATCAGCAAGATTAACTTGTTCAGGCTCATTATCGTCATCATGACCAATGACAAAGACATCCTGGATTTCCCCCAAGGGCTCATCCAAACAGGTCTCCAGACCAAGGTCGAAGTTATGATTTTTCATGGCAATAGTAGGTTCCCCACGTCGCGAAGTAACATCAGCTTGGTTCTCGATGTTCCGTGCTTGAGGAGCAGTTCCAAGATGTACAAAATATGCTCGACCCGAGGTAGCTGTGTTGAGCATAGCATCGCTGTTGGTGTGGAGGGATCCAGCTTTGGCTTCAGCTTCCATCATAACGATGTTGACTTTTGTTGTCGGGGTCATAGGCGTCACAGGCGGTAGATGTAAGGATACCCTTGGAACGTCTTTCAATCTCACTGGCTTTGCGCTTGCTGGTAGACCAATAGCCATCCCTACATGATTGATGATGTCTAGTGCTGAGGGAAGAGGGCGGCGATCTTGAGAGATTGTGAGATTACCAATAGTTTCGAAAGTACTGATACTGGAGAGGCGATTACTGGATGTGAAAAATAGTTGATTCTCTTCGTCTCGTATAGCCAATGGACATCTCCGACGTGAAAAGGTGAATCGGCTGACTGGGCGGACGAAGTACCAGATTAAACCGATGACTAATAGCAGTGCGCCCGACACAGTAGCCACAATATCCGGATAAGTTAACGTCATATGTAAATATTGTTTTTGAGAAGAGCTGGGTCTACGAATTCAGCTGTCGTAAAAGTATTGATAGTCCGGGGGAGAATTTGAAGATAAGTTGTAGTCGAGGTTAGGAACAACAACAATGTGTAGGGAATCAAGGGAAGTGAGCACGCAAAGTGCTATCAGCAGCCGACTTGTAGAATAATCCCACTGATCTACGTGTAGCGGTCGAGTCCCATATCATACGGGTTATGGGTCTGCGTGCACTCTCTGAAGTTCATCTCTTGGAATGTAGTGCCCTGATGCACAGGCATTATCGTATTCCTGCCAGAGACACCAGGCAGATGTGAGTTTAAAGAATTTCTGCTAGCGCTATGGAATCTTACTGGGCCGAAAGCACTCATTCCAGAGCTGTAGATGCTTGGAGGAGCAGTCCTGACCTGAACCAACGGCGCAGATGGTACCTCACTGTACCCGGGCAAATACGGTAAGGTGGCTCTGATTGCAGGCCTAGTCAAATCTTTTGCGTGTGATAGATCAGTATCTATGGTGAGTATTGGCCTCCGAGCTCGTTGTAGACTTTGTTCAATATCTTGTTGTTCGCGATTCTTGCCATGTTGCCGCCGGCGTCGTCGGCGAATGAAGTGTACGCATCCAATAAGGATGGTCAAGATGAGTGTGGCAGCTAGCACGGAAGTGACGATAATGAATGTTCGTTCGGATATAACTCGAGGTTGGAAGTCGTCGGATGTTGAAGGCAGGGATCCAATATCTGTGTCAAACGAGGTGGTCTTGTTTGCGCCTGATGTGAGTTTTGGTGCTGACATTATGATGGTTTCAAGCAAAATTCGAATTTCTAGAGGTGACGTCGAGCTAGATAACTGAACGGTATCATGTTCAAGGCGAGACGACTGCTGTAGTTAGTCGAGTAATTACCTTTGTTTGCAGAATGCATCAAGAAACAAAGCCGTTACTATGAAATGCCCAACTCAGCCTCCACAGGCTGTTCCGCTTACAAAGGCGATGACGAGCACCATTAGTACTGCTATTACAGTAATGAGAATTTATACGATTAGGCTGCGATTGAAACCTGGCTTGTCTAGCGTACTCATGATGGTTGATCTGACATTGACTGTTGAGTAGTTAGAGTGATGGTAATCCCGTGATAAGCCCAGACAAGGGGAAGTGAGCGTGGACAAAGCGATGCGACGGCTGCACAGTAAATTGACAATGGTAGGTAAGTTTTGTCTTAGACGTATGGTTAGTAAGAGGAAAAGAGTAAATGGCGCTGTATTTACGAAAACCATGGTGAATCTGGGCACGATGCTTCTCAGTGGGATTGTAGTGGTCTGAGGGCTGGTGTGATGCATATGGCGGTGGCGAGCGCGTGATGGTGTGCCGACGACGTCATGAAGCTCGTCCTAGTTAACAAGACGTCTCCCGCCCAATCCTGCAACCTTGGTTGCATTTTTCACCTTTGCTTTTGGTCGACCGCCTCAGTACAATGCCTGGTAACGCCTCGGAAACCGTGGTGGAAAAGTATCGTTACGAGATCCTTTTCGGTGCGTGGCTTGCCGTCACAGGAGCGACATTTCTTCGCATCAGACGCCAGCCCTACTCGACGCGTCTGAAGATTGAACAGTACGAGAGCATCTTCAAAGGCACCTCTCTGGGCGCAGTTCTCATCGGCATCGGAATCACGCCTGCACGGAGCACGGCAAGGCGGTTCAGTGGCAATTGAGTGAGAGAGGCGCGCTCGCTGTTGATGCTACCTACCTAGGTCTTGGCGCTTCCCCGCAACTTTCACATGCGAAGACGTTCGTCATTGCTTGTACAAGACAACGAGTCGACGCCATGTTGCTTCGACTGGGCTCATGCAGCGTGGAGCTCAACATGTGGAACCCAGTCTACGCCCTCACGCCCCTGATACTACTGTTCGTCTCCATCCCGCTCGCCATCTTCGCCGTCGTCACCACGTCAGTCGCCATATCGCTGCTCTCCTTGCGCGCATTGGCCGTGTATTTCCGCCTTGCAGTAGCCATCGTTGGAGCATGGCTCTCCCCCTCGCCGCCGAAGCCCATGCCGCTTCGCCGTTCCTCTCTCATGCCCTCATCCGCCCGACAGTCTCCGACCCGACAGCGCCATCGCCGGGCCAGCACGGCCAGCACGACATCTTCACAAGACACCGGCATACATTCGGCACACACGTCGCGTCTTCTGAAGCACAAGAATAACTCTCTCACGGCGCTCATTGGTACAAGCGAGTTGACGCGCGACTTCGAAGGTGTGGGCGGGTGGAGGATGTCTGGCGATGATGACGAAGAGGCACTGTGGATGGGCATCAACTCAAGGCTTCAATTGCCTGCTGAGACGCCTACTAGGAGACATGCTAGAAGCCTGACAGGCGGCGTGAGCCCAGGCCAGAGGTGGAGTGCCGGCTCAGAAGCGTTCCGGATGAGTCCGGTGCAGAGCAGGGCGAGGACACCAGTGCGCTTTGCCATCGAAGACGAGTCTGGCTATTTTCCTATGCAGCCAGTCTCCGCCAACCGCCGTTCAAGCGTCGGTTCCGATTCTATAAAACACCACAAAAGAAGGAAGAGTGGCAGTGGTGGTAGCATGTCAAGCACTACCTCGGTCCCCCGAGAACCCACAACTTACGCCCTCCATGGCTGAACACGAAGAACAGGCTGACGCTGTCGCGCACTATTGTGATCGGCCACAACTGGCTCTCATTACCGCTGGTGCTACAGCCGCCCTTGCCGTGATCGCCAAAACCAACGGGCCCATGGTCCAAAAAACACACACGAGAGCGCTCGCAATCTTGTTGAAACGCTTCCACGATATAAGGAGCCACCATCGTACAAGTCGAACAACAGCTTCTAGTACGCAATCTAGAATTTGCAGCTGACCTGGTAATTAGCTTATGTTTGACTTTAACGACAGTATGATGTTGTGCCAGGCACTGAACGGGGTTCGACATGATGATAGAATGTTCAATGACAGGATGAGCTTTATCGCTCCTACACTTTAGCCCATCATTGCAGAAATATCATGTAGGAGAGATTGGTCGGATTGAATGGAAAATCCATTAGGCAAAGTAGAGAGGCTTTCCATCATGCAGTGTGGATTGTGTATATCTGCGGCACTTTCAACTGAAATTTACTCATCATATCGTTTCACAGGCATCGTACCGCTCACGCCCCACATACCAATGCTGCGAATTGTAGAGTGCAATGCTGACAGAGTTCCGAAACGGTAGGTTGAAGTCGCACAACATTCAGTTGACCCCAGGGCTTGCAACTCCCGGACCCCACTACAGTCAGCGTTAGATTAACTGCGCACTCAACAGTATTTGATTGTGGGTTGAGTTCGAGGGGTGTAGAATATCAGCGAGGGTGACATGTATACATACGACTTGGCTATTCTGCCGTGTCTCCTTTAGCTTCTCCGTGTTTTCTTCTTACGCCATCACCATGGTACGCCTCGCGATCACAAGAGTCTGGACATCCCTCTCTTTCTTTCTACTCTTAGTTAGTCATGCCTCGAGCCAATCCCCATTGGACAGACCACCTATGCTACGCTTCCAATGTTCGCAACTCGTCGTCGAGAGGTTAGATCCCCTCGTGAATCCCAACGTCGCCCCATCTCCACATCTCCATCAAATCGTTGGCGGAAACTCCTTTACTGCATCCATGCCACCGGTAACACACGACCTCGCCAACTCTTCCACTTGTACCAGTTGCACTTTCTCCGAAGACTTTTCAAACTACTGGACCGCAGTCCTATACTTTCGTGCACGCAATGGCACCTACAAACGTGTTCCGCAATTTACTAGTGAAGGATTGAAGGGCAACGGAGGCATTACCGTATACTATATACCAGACATGGATAACCAAACGGCTGTCACTGCCTTCCGTCCCGGATTTCGTATGCTGATCGGCGACGCAACAGCGACCACCCAAGTATCCTCTGCACGCAAAGTGTGCTACCGATGTTTACCAGAAGTTGGCGAAGAAAATCGCCTTAACTGTGTAGATCCGGATGCTCAGACATTCCCCAAAGGTTTCTGTCCTGGTGGAATACGCTCTGTCATTACCTTTCCAACTTGCTGGGATGGTGTCAATTTGGACAGTCCAGATCACCAAAGCCATGTAGCTTATGCAAACGGCTCGCTAGATACCGCCGTTGGGCCCACGGGAAATTGTCCAGAAAGTCATCCCGTCGCTATACCGCAGGTTATGTATGAGGTTATGTGGGATACAAGGATCTTTAATGACGAAGCGCTGTGGCCTGAGGATGGAACACAGCCTTTTGTGCTTAGTACTGGAGATGCGTAAGTCACCTTTTGCCTTTCTCTTCCTGCCTCTTATACATCTCTAGCATACAAAGTATAACGCACCAGATCTGACTTTGTCATCAACAGAGATGGGTTTACCCAGCACGGCGATTACGTCTTTGGTTGGAAAGACGACTCGCTCCAGCGAGCGATGGATGCGCGCTGTACCGGAGATGTTTGTTCGGTGTTAGACTATCAGTCTACTGAGGAAGCGATGAAATGCACTGTACCACGGACCATTGACGAGGATATTGATGGATGTAAGTTCATACACGGCACCCTTGTGCAGTCTTCAATCAGCTGACAGCTTGACCCAGGGTTGACCGAACTTCCGGGAGGACTTATGAAGATCTGATGAGGGCTGAAATGAAAATTTTTAGCATGTTGCAGATGAATCTATCGAGAAATTACTAGTGACATGAAAGTGTAGCCCCCACACTCGAATCCTCCGGTGTATATCCTGTGAGTGATTCCAACATGTTCAATTTAGCCTTGCTGATGGCATCACCGAACCAGATCATAAGTTTGAAACGATGATCATTATCGCGAGCCTCCGCTATGAGTACAAGCTTGTTGAACCCCGGTAGAAACGTGAACAAAACAAAGCTTTCGCCATCATAAAAGTTAAGGTGATCACATGCGTACGCTGCTCGGATAGTTTGGCCGATCGCTAACAGCTTTTCACCACGTTTCTCCAAACGCTTTCAGGCCGACAATGTGATGATTCTCGAGTTGGTGTCTTGATATATCAGGTCTTTCGTCGGGCTGAGTCCGTTGTTTTCAGACGTTTCCGATTCGGCGGCTGAGGAGGTATGTAGTCCGTGTAGATCAGTCTTCGTATTTGGCTTTCATCTAAGGTAGCTGCCAGGGATTGCGCCATGCCTGTGATGGAGCATGAAGAAGCTTCATACGGGGTTGACGACATGAGGTCGAGGTAGATGGTACTGGCGATAAGAGATCGAAGACGGTGAACAAAGGTGCGAGACCGTAAGATTTGATTCCGCAGTGCCAAATGCTCTTGAACGTGTTACCATCAGAGTAACTAGAGCGAGTTAAGGTTTTCAGTCGAGTCACGCAAATGCAATTTGACGTCAAAGTTGAATTATAGTTGGTGCAGTGTATTGAGTGTTGACGTTGGTAAACATAAAGTTGAAGCAAGTGGAACCTGTATAGTCTGTACATTATATAACGACGAAAGAGATGGAGTCCGCCTACTGGAGTGGAAGGAGGCATGGAGAGAGGTTGCAGTCCCATCTGCAGATGGCTCCAGGCATTTGCACTCACTGACACTGCCTGCCGGTTTTCCAGCTCTGAGATGAGCGCGCTTGCCACGATATTTTCCTGATAATGTTGCCCACTTAGCAGCCCCGAGCCTTCGTAATGGCGTGTCTTCCGGTTTCGATCAGGTCGAAATCTATATTAAGCCACCATTTCCGCGGCTCCTCTGGCCTTGATATGGGTATGTCTCCTCCTATTTTCTTTTTTCCTAGTTTTGGGAAGCAGAGCCATAGTACCAAAAGCACTACGAGAACAGTGAGAATTGTGGGCTGCAAGACACCAAGACCCTTTGCTTGAGCCAGTGATCCAATAGCAAAGGGTAATGCAGCGCCGCCACCGACACCGATTGCGGCAGCAAACCCGATCACGGAGACGTGGAGATATGGCGGGAGAGCTTTTGTTGTTGCAACGATGACCGCTGGGAACAATGGGCCAAGGGAAAACCCTTGTAGTGCAACAAAGATAGCTGAGATGTGAAACGACGGGACAAGCCAGAACATGAGTTGGCAGAGGATGGCGATGATGATATAAACCTGATATAGAATTAGTTTATGCATCCACTTTTCCGATTCCTACCATACCAGGACAGCAAACTTCTCACCAAGCTTTGGAGTGACGAAGCTCAAAATAAGACGTCCGGCAGCGATGCCAGTCCAGAATCCAGTAGCGACAATACCAGACTCAAACTCGCCACCGGCTCGTTCTCGGCGCATGAAAGTCACGATCCAACCTCCAAGCGCTCCCCCAGCTCCAACATAACTAAAGAGAAAGATAGAGGCCACCCAGGTGACGCGGCTCTTGAGCGCTTGCTTAAGACGGCCTTCGCCCGCTGCATTCGTAGCAGGGTTCTGTTCGCGATATACTTGACCTGATCTTGACCAAAAGGCCCAAAGAGATGTTGCAAGCTCAATGGTTGCTCCGCCAAGCTACTGAGAGTGAGTAACGGTTCACGCGCGGCCCGAATGACTAACCAAAATGTAGTAAAACTGGTACCACTGCCATCCGCGCTTTGCAATCAAGCTTGTAGCAGCGAGCGGACTAAGCAAAGCCCCAAGACCATAGAAGCCATGCAAGAATCCTAGGACCTCATTCGCATTGGCCAGACTACTTGCCCAGGCATTCCAGGCTGCGTCCTCGATGCCGTTGCCAAAACCAGAGAATATAAACAGAACCACCAGGACAGGGTAGGGCGGATGGAGGGATATGCCTACATAGGCCACAAGGTGGCAGATGGGTCCAACGAAAGCAATTCCGCGCTGACCAAGACGGACATGCAGCCAGTTGTTGCAAAGGGCGGCACTAACATAGCCACCCATTGGAGAGAGAAACACCAGGGACACCACGACATACGTGAGATTGTAGTAATCTTCAAGATAAGGAATGATGGCCTGCGTAAGGTCAGCATCCTACGTGAATAGGAAGGACAGGGTTGCTCACACCATAAGCGGCATCATTCGCGCCCATGATAGTAAAGGCGAACAGAATAGCAAATGTGCGGTATATATTGGCCTTCGGATGGTTCCATCGTTCAACTACTGACACCGCAGTTGATGGCTGAGGAAGGGACTCGATCGGATCGATGCTTTTACTTTCTTCGTTACCCAATACACGTCCTTGGTCGCGCAATGCTACTGGCACTGTAGATTGCAACTCGATGTTCGTGTGTGAAATACTACCTGAAAGTGTATTGGTGCTTGCTGTGGTCTGTGTTATAGTGTTAGTCGGCGACATGGTTAAAGAGACTGTACAACGAAGCCGACAAGACCGTAGGAGGATACTCGCGAATCAAGCAGAGCTAGGGGATATTCTTGAACAATTGTGCCTTGCGCATGTATTATATCGCTCTGACCCGAGATTTGCATGTCTGCTGTAGCTGGCGACGCTTGGCGCATACGTGCCGAAAGCGGAGATGCTTGCGAGGGCTGGCCTAAGAAATCGATCACGTGTAGTTACCATCTTAGTATTGAGAGCCCCGCCAGTCTTCTAGGGAAAGGTATGCGGGAAAATATACAATCTATTGCATCGTTGGATTCAAATTTTTCATCCCAATGACGCGCATCAAGACAATTTCCTTCTGCAAAGCATTTCAGATCATCTCCCTCTATCCTGGGAAAGGATAGACAGCAGGGCTCTTATACCCGTTCGTTCCGACGGCCCTTACGCCAAAGATAACATTGTCCTTGCTAAGCGGAAGAACGACTGAGCCGACCTTGCCAACATCGAGCATGCGAGTCCACAAACTTGCTGTAGTGGATCGCCATACAATCTCATAGCCTGCAACATCTGTGCTATTGGAAACTATCCACTTGATGCGCGAATCGTTGTCCAAGACTGTGGTATCGATTGTAACGTTGCGTGGCATCGCAGGAGCCTGAGACAGGGACCAAAGCGTCGCAAGATTGACTTTACCGACACGTGCTGTGAAGTCAAAATCGACAAATTCAATCAAATCGCCGTAAACAGTGCCATTTTCGGTACGCAAATCTTGATGCTGATGAGCGAAGTTCTCGTTAGGCTCTGTGTACCGGATGGCTGGATAACCCGCCTGGAGAAATCCAGTATGGTCGCCTCCGCGCAGGAAGCGATCTAAACGGTAGATGATGGCTACGTTCATGCCGGTGGCATTGTTGGCAGCAACTTCGGCAGAGAAGCGCGCAAGCTCTCGTGCCGGACTATCGTTCTCGCCACCAATTTGGAGGCGTCGTGCTGCAGTGACGTTGTTCTCGGCAGATAGAGGAGGAACACCTTGTGCGAAAGCACGAATAGTATATGGATCTTTCTGACCTCGATCCCCAGTTGAAGAACCAACAATGTCGCAGTTAAGCATACCTTCGACATTGGTGCTGGAGTTCTTGAGGGTTTGTGCGAGATAGGTCGAGCCATATAAGCCTTGTTCTTCGCCAGATACAGCACCAAGAATAATCGTTGATTTCGGCTGATGCTTTGCGAGGACACGCGCGATCTCCATCGCAACTTTTAGCCAAATCAGCCATTGTTCTCCGAATGTGCATCCGATATTAACTTACTGGCAACTCCGCTTGCATCGTCGTTGGCTCCAGGAGAATCGGCTTCATAGTTGAGGACATCCGTAACGCGACTGTCGTAATGTCCAGTCATAACATATACTCTTTCCGGGTTCTCACTTCCTTTGGCAGTTGCTAGCACATTCGAGATGTACACGGGAAAGGGGATTCTGCTGGCCACTCCTTGTAGATAGCTTTGTACTTCGACCGTCATCGTGCCATTGCTCTCCGCGGCATACTTCCGCATCTCAGAAGCTATCCAGTCTCTTGCTGCATCAATCCCGCGCGTCGAACTGTTGAATGTAGCCAGTGTATGGCGGGTTCCGAACGAGACTAACTTGGTGATTGTGGCTTCGATGTTGGCTGGGCTGATCTCGTTCACAATGGCTCGCATCTCATCGTCCGGTACTTGCGGAATCAGCTCCACGCCAACGTTTGATGGAGGCCATGCGGCATTAGCACAGTCGGTGTATGACTCTGCATTGGCTGCCACTGGCAATGGAAGGTCGCGGCCAAAAAGAATCTCATGCGCGCAGGCTGTCGAGAGCAGCGCGCTGCCGAATAGAGCCGATTTGAGGTACATTGTCGATGCGACGAATAGCTAGTTATCCTTCCAGATCTTGCGTTGTGGATTGCCGTCTTATAGTGATGACTAGATGGCTTGTCGCCCAGGACGTGAGACGGCACGCTATAACATGGATCCGCATATCGGAAGCAGCACACAACGAACTTCCCATGCTAGTTAGCATACCGGGTGTACGATAGACGCTGCTCATCATGTTTTGCGATCTCTTTTCGAGATGCACCTGTTCCGCGGCTCGGCAAGCGTTGATACCCAGGCTTGCTACATGCCGACAGGGTAGATGCTTACCAGAATAGGCAGGTGGAATGGAGAAGACGACGTCAACCACGGGACATTGAAAGCTTGAACACGCCAAAGAGAAGCCGATAAGGTGCGGAGCGCTGTGCAATGACTAAAGGGACGAAAGGGATATTGCCACTAGGCAGAGCAGACGGTTGTGGCCTGTGCAGATACATACGTACAGCAGCAGACATGGCTGGGTAGCATAGGCGTCGCAAACACGCGTAGCGATAGAAGCTCGAGAACATTCTAGTCTTCTGTCTTTACAAGACGTCGTATTGTACCAGCAGTCGCGGCATCGTCGAGGAATTCAGGCTAGCAGGGAACGGCTATCTGGGTGCTTAACACTTGGAGACGATATGATGTACTTGTCGAAAGTTACAAGGCCCGGGACATTCACGTGGAGTCTTGGGATGAAGCTGAGATTTATATGCTGCGACGGAGTACCCAGATGTCAAACTCTAGGAAGTGAGAGGGCCTCTAGGTATGCCGCTAGCGCAGACAGGCTAGAGGCTTGGCAATTCACCGAGGTTCCAGCAGTCGAACTTCGCGATGATGCAATGTGTCAAGTCACGAAAGTCTGCCTACAAGGCTGCAACATAACACCAGCTGCTACAAACATCGCGCTAAGACCTAAGCCTAATCGCAGTGCCTTTGACTCGTCGAAACATTGCCGCAACTTTTCAAATCCACAATGGTTTGCTTCCCCGTTCACGTTGGTGCAACACAAGTTCACATCGCACACAGAACGCGCTCTTCAATTCCGCCTTACGGCAGTCGACGTCGATACGAAAAGATCTGGACCAGTTTGCCGACTCGGCCTCGCCATCACCACATCTCCAAGCCCAACTGAACGCGTCGTTGACTTCCTTTGCACGCACCATCGACGATTATGGCAAGCTTGCAAAGCAAGAACCTGTACAGACCAAGGCAGAAAAGGCCCAGGAGCGATTGAAGAACTTCCGAGCTGAACTGGAAGAATACAGGGCCAACTTCAAACGTATTAAGAGCGCAAATGAGGAGATTGTACGTTTCGAACCAGCGTCCTTGGACCCCTAGCTTCGGTGCTGACTAGCAATAGCAAAGTACAGAAGCGCGCACAGAACTGCTAGGCCGCCGTCCGCACAACACAGCTACGCCCGAAAACCCCTACGGACAACCTAATCTCTCCGCCCAACATTCGGCCTTTGCACCCTCCCAACCCTACAACCCCAATGCTCCCTACCGACCGAACCCATACTCTGCTGGCGCACCTCAAGGCGGTGACTATGATCGCGAGGGTCATGTGCTGAGGGAAAACACTTTCTTCAACAAGACGTCTGAGCAGTTAGATGAGTTCCTAGACAGAGGGAGGGCTGTGCTCGGCGACCTGGGCCAGCAGAGGGATATGCTCAAGGGCACACAGAGGCGGCTTTACACCGTTGCAAACACCTTGGGTATTAGTGGTGATACCATACGTATGGTGGAGAGGAGAGCGAAGCAGGATAAGTGGATCTTCTGGGGTGGGGTGGTGGTCTTTTTCCTGTTCTGCTGGCTGGTCATCCACTACTTGAGATGATGGCATAGCTATAGTGAGGTGTACAAGCGCTCGGCATGGTCTCGGACGCTCAGAGAACATTCGAATTAGCGACGCGCATGGAGCATAATGAACATTGCAAGTATCTGTGATACTTTATGCAACAACCGGATACAGTAACGCAGTGGTAAGTTTCTACAGACGCTCACGTCACGTTGAGTCTGGCTAACCGCTCCAGCCACCAACAAAGATACACTGGCATAACTCAACCAGGGAATCAGACACAGCAGTATACATACGATTGGCGCACAATGACGACGACATGAAGTCCCAATTCTTTCGAAGCTCCAAATTCAGATCAAGTAATCGAGCTTTCGGTCTATGTGGTCAATCTTCATGTTCATCTCCTCTTGCTGATACTGCATTTTCTCGACCTCATCGAAGCGTCCGTTTGGCTGAACCCATGGGTATGCGAGTTGAAGTTGGCGATGATAACGATAATGCTGCCGGGGACGACCAACACACAAAAGCCGATCCCGCAAGTATCCAGCTGAATCTTCGAGTATCAGCGGTGCCCTTCTTCGTGGATGGTTGAGCAGCGAGTGGTGTTGCGCTTGCAACATGTATCTCATTATAGTCTTTGCGTGTCGGTCGTAGTACGCAGGCAGCAGCCTGGGCTCGTATGCTCGATCGACGAATCCGAAGAAGCAGCGCAATAGCCCCTTGAGGATCTGGTGGGGTATCAAGTCTCGCAATTCAACGATGCCCATGCACCACTCTCTGAACAGCTCGGGTTCTTCACCGTGAACGATCTCCCAAACAAAACAGCGGAGGAAACTTGCCATAGATTCCGCTAGAGCTTGCGATCGGCTAAGTCGCGCTAAGAGGCAAAAAACCATAAAGTGCTCTCTGCTACGCCGAAGACCTGCGGTATTTGCGACACTTAAGTCCTTCCTAAGACGAAGTTCGATGCTTCTCTGCAGAGTCTTTCCAATAGGAGGGGCGAAAAGAGGGTTCAATTCTAGCTGTGTCATAAAGTCGTCCAAAACTGTTATGATCGTTTCAGCTGTAATGGTACGGTATACCTGGCCATCGAAAATACCGGTCATCTGTCTAACCAGGCCACGGGCGTCAAATCTATTGAAATGGACCAGATGGTGGATTTTTGGAAGCCATCGCTCCAACTCGCTCAGCCGGATTTTGAACAAGCGGCCGCTATCGAGGTGAATGACGCCGATATCCTCCATGAATTAGCCGTGTGGAGTTTGAAGATTTGCAGTACGTATGAAGGGATTCTGAGAATGCTTGGAGGGACTTGTGGTCGCACAGGAACGCCCAAAGATCCTCTCAACGGTTCGCTGATGTCTTTATACATCAAAGGTCGGTGAGCAGCAGGCTGACACGATCCTCTGCGATCGATCGTTGGTCAAGCGGCTGAATTCAAGTGTCGTACATGTTTGCTTCGACAATGCGCGTGGCCGCCTCATAGTATTCTAGCCAATGACTGTCGATACCATGGCTCAGCTTGGCTCAGTATCACTGTGATATGATAGCGCAAATCAGCTTGCTGCCTCCCTCTCACAGGCAGAAAAGAACGGGTTGTATACGCAATAGGTAGGGTAAATCTTTCAATCGGCCGCGGTAGTACACCACTCAATTCGCGTTTGAAAATCCTGAACTTGTAAACCATGGTAGGGAAGGTAGAGGGTGCTCAGTATGCTATATAACGCTTCTACCTAGCAAAACACAAACTATCGAAATTGCAAAGAATACCTAGATGACCATGACGTAGGCCGTCGATGCAACACCTCGCTAAAACGCTCATCTGTCTCCTGAATCATAGAAAGTCTGAAGCCTACCCACTGAAAGACCTTCCAATAATCAATCCGAGCCTCGCATTCCGTGTTGAACCATTTCAACCCTCCCCCTTTGCCAAGATCAGACCCTCAATACTAGCAACCGGGTGCTCGCTGTTTTGATCCGCAGCTAGTCACTACGACAGCCCACCCCAGAACGATAGATTGATCCACTCTATGCTCAGGATCCAAAAGCGCTGCTCTTGATCACTAGTAATAGCTAGCAAGTAGAAGGTCAAGCTTTCCATCGACGTTGTTCAACTTCATGTTCATTTCACTCTGTTGGTACTGAAGGTTGCCGAGCTCCTCGAGATAGTCGTCTCTCGGATAGCCGATAGGTGAAATGACTGGCGAGGTCCAGGCAGAGCTGGGATATGAGGGACTGGCGAGACGCATGTCTGCGTTGTGACGATGTCGAATTGCTGGTAGTGACCGAGCTCTGTGCCCTAGCCATGGCAGTGCTAAGGCGCGAGGGGATCGACGACGATGCATCTCAGCGTATGGAATCATCGCGAGTGCTTCAAGACGCAAATTGGGAGGGCCTTCCATCAATTCCCGGATCTTTTCGAGAGCTTTGCGCCAGTCTCCGTGGTATTGCTGTGACTCCTGCATTAGATACCGCGTTCCTTGCGACCAAAATCGAATCAAGGCTTCAGCAAGGTAGATGGATTGACCCTCTGATGCTAGGTAGGCCAAAACAACGAACATGTGCCGCGATTTTCTAAGGCCCCTGGCCTTCCACACCTCTTGCATGTCTTTCTGCACTTGGTTCATCAGAAAACCAACTACGCGTATCCGTGTCTGGCCTTCCAACGAAACGAGACGATACTCCAGTTGTTTGAAGAATGCGAGCAGCGTGTGTTCAATGTCCTCTCGCGTTATGCCATACCTTCCACCAATGCGGGTGTTGATGTCTTCCACGAGATCACCGTCAAATCCGGACATATACGACAGCTGAGGGAACCAAGCCCGAAAGGTGCTACCGTCCACATTGACCGTATCGAAGCCAACGTTGATCTTCATGTTTTCGATTGCAGAGCTTTGAGTGACGCTAGTGGAGAGGTAATGTGGCCGCAGGCTCGACAGTGGATGCTTTGATTGTTGTTCAGCAAGTTGATTTCGAAAGAAAGCAGTAACCAACCCAGAAATTAGATACTATATACCCATAAAACACCGGTGAGAGCGTCGTTACTTTACATGTGTGCTGACCCGCCGTGAAGGCATTGTTGGAACTCCGCACCACTTCCATGTGCCACAAGGGGATCAAGATGTTTGCTTCCGCGATGACGACGAGAGAACCTCAGAAAGCACGCTGACCCAATCTAACCTTGATTTGAAGCATTATCTATGACACGTCATCTAATGCGTTCGGAAATTGGTTCCAAACTGTGGAAAACCAATCAAGGAGTATGGCCCATACCATTCTCAACGTACACTCGGCGGTCTGCCTTGTGTTACACCCTGATGTAACCTCACTCATATTCGTAACGTACCAACGTCAGCGAGTCTGCGTTGTTGGGCTCATTCTCTTAAGATTCATGGAAACAAGGATTTCTAGATACGTCTTTTCCGTTAATCGATTAGTTAAGATCGGCTAGGAAGCATACAGGATTTCAACAAGAGACAGTGTACATTAGATGTCAAGCGGAGCACTGTGCATCCTCACACGCTCGCTGCGGATAATTTTGATCGCTATCTTTTGCATAATGTGGTTCCACCATTGCTACACTGGCGCACTTGGCTCAAGGTGGCCTTCAAGGCTCGGCGTACTGGCGGTCAGCATGGCTTGAGCTTTACGTGAGCGCGCGCCAATATCGGAGCAAACTATGATACGATGGTGGGCAGACACTTTCACGGCTAGGGGCTGTCCAACGTGATCCAGAGAGTGACTAGTCTACGGTAGGTGCACCCGCCCCGCCAATACAAGGCTATCGCCACTAACCAATCGAACAAGCAAAGCCAGATATCGTACTAGTTAATGCCAGGGCTTTCGACACTGGGGTAGTGATGCGAAATACATCATCTGATCCAGAAGATGTCGCGCCTGCAATAAGCTGATTTCTTGGACACTTCCCGTCTGATTATGCTTAGGAACGGATGCTACGACAACGACTTTACACCCACCATACTCTAATTTATACATTTAAGAGCTATGACATCCGACATGGAGCACCAAGCGTTGTAGAATCACAAAGAGAGCAGTGAAGATCCTGTCGGGTATCATCGTGAGCATAGTGCCAAACTACCTGTCGTTGACTGCACCCATTATCAAGGCTAAATAACTGTGGATGGGACGGCTTCTCATGTAATCAGGGACTGGGATTGTATCCACTTTGAAACAAGACATTTGCGATCGAGTTGATGGCCATACAGAAGTGAAGACTATATTAGTGCCAGCAACTACATTGACGTTGCAGCCAATTTGAACCAAGTTATAGGTACCACATGTATACCAGCACCATGGCTAAGGCTGACGTATCTACTGTGTGATCATGCGCAGTTGGAAAGCCACCTGCCACCACTGAGACGAGAAACCCCTAACCCATAGTGCGGTTTTCTCCTGGCACTGCCATCATGCGGAGGCTGAGGCGATCGCACGATTCCGGAAGTAACCATTAGAGCCGATGACGACAAGCAAGACTCTCATGTGTGGAGGCACTAGCATGCTGCACTGAGAGTCCAACGTACAGCGCATGAGAACAAAACTGCAATCGAAAGAGTCATGTACCAATTCATCTACATATCCAATGATGGGAATCATACAACAAACACCACAACGCTAAACCAAAAGCGCCCTGAATCATACACGGGAGCTACCAGTCTAAGCCTCCAGCGCCCCTCTCTCCACCAGCGAGTATTTGCGCCGCCTTTGCCTTCTCCCCTAACCCACCCTCAAGATGAGAAACCTGCATCCCCTTCCTCCCTTTCAGTTGCAGCCTCTGCAACTTCTTATCTAGAGCAACGAATGGATCTTCCGTCTCGCTCTTCTTGATCTTGAACTTACTTGTACCAAGTACACTGTCCAGCTCCTCTACACTAGGCAACTTGACATACAGCCACCCATCACCGCGCTCCTCAATAGGGAAAACAGCGATGTTGACGCTCTCATCGTTGGCGCATTTTCCTGCGTTGTCGCCCGATAGTTCGTAGTTGCGCTTATGGTACGGGCAGCTGACCCACAGTTTATTGTTGGCAAGATCGTCGCCGATAAGACCGTCGGAGAGGACGAAAGCACGCTTGTGCGGGCACATCTGCTGAGTACAATAGTACTTGCCACGGACCTTGAAGACAGCGAGTTGGGTGTCGCCGCGCTTGATGGCCTTACTATCACCCGTGTCGGCGTCTTTGAACTCTTCGGCTTTGACGAGGGGTTGCCAAGACAATTCTGTCCATTTTGTGCCACGGAAGTCTTCTGTGATCGAGTCTTTAGGCCAGTAGGATGGGCGTTCTTGACCACGCTCTTGGGTGGGTTCAATGGTGTCAACGATGGTCTCGGAAGTGTTTGCGAATTGTGAGAACCAGGAGCGCTTCTTGGGATCCTTGAGAACTTCGGTCCATTCGCAGAAGAAGGTACCAACAAGGTCTTCCATTTGCTTCTCTAGGTCTGCGCAGATGCCTAGCTTGTCTTCGAGGATGACCTCCTGTAGGTACTTGATGCCGCCGGGTAGGTTCTCCATCCAGCGCGCTGTCCGTTGAAGCTTGTCGGCTGTGCGAATGTAGAAAGACAGGTAGCGGTCGAGAATGGGCACTACATCATCCGGTGGGACGTCCTTGGCGAGAAGTTCCGAGTGTCGAGGCTTCGCACCACCGTTGCCACCTACGAAGATGTTGAAACCCTTCTCAGTAGCGATGAGACCAAAGTCCTTGTTCTGTGCCTCGGCGCATTCACGTACGCAACCAGATACTCCACCCTTGATCTTGTGAGGCCCACGGATGGACTTGTAGCGCTCTTCTAGACGCACTGCCATACCAACACTGTCGCCGATACCGAATCGGCACCACGTGGTTCCGACACATGACTTGACTGTTCTTAATGACTTGGCGTATGCGTGACCCGACTCCATTCCACCATCAATGAGTTCTTGCCAAATATCAGGAAGGTCTTGTTTCCGCGCACCAAACATATCGATACGCTGACCGCCCGTAATCTTGGTGTAGAGGTTGTACTTCTTCGCAACGGTACCGATAATGATGAGCTTTTCTGGGGTAATCTCACCGCCAGAAACTCGGGGAACGACGGAGAACGTGCCGTTCCGCTGGATGTTGGCCAGGAATCTGTCGTTCGTATCTTGCAGACCTCTGTTGTTGACCTCCAGTAGATGTTTGTTGTACAGCGAAGCGACAATGTTTCCAATAGTCGGCTTGCAGGCTTCGCAGCCCAGGGAATTCGTATCTTTTCCGGCTTCCTTCATGACAGCGGCAAAGTCCTTCAAGCCCTTCACATAGATGATGTTGAAGAGATCAGCGCGGGAGTACTCGAAGTGTGGGCAAAGATGGTTCTTGACCTCGTTACCCATAGAAGCCATGGTCTTGTTGAAGATTGTTTGCACAAGTGGCATGCAACCTCCACATCCGGTGCCGGCTTTGGTGCATGACTTGACGTCGCCGATGCTTTTGCATGTTCCGTCCTTGGTAGCATTGACTACATCGTCTTTGGTGACGTTGTGGCATGAGCAAATCTGTGTGTCGCCAGATAGATCTGAACCGTCATCATCGCCCTTCTGTGCACCCACGATAAGCTCGCTTGGCGCCATCTCCAGCTGCTTCTGGTTCTTCACCAGCGGCACGAGCTTGATGTAGTCTTTCGTATCACCGATCATCATGCCACCCAACAAGTATTTCCCGTCCATGGTAAACAGATATTTTTTGTACACCTGCTGGAACGGGTCCTTGTAGGTCAGCGCCTTGACAGGTGGTGGTGCCGGCCCATCCGTCAGGTTCTTGACGCGATCTCTCGGCGTGGCTCCGTTGGTCTCCTTTTTCTCGGCTCGTTGCCGTCCAGGCATATTCCTCGGCCCATCGCGGTCTGCGAAGAAGTCACCGAAACTTGCCACTTCAACACCAAGCAACTTGAGCTTAGTGCTAAGATCGGGAGCTTTGAATTTCCGGGGCGCGTGCGCTTTCGCTTGAGTGAGATTGAAGGCCAGGACGTCTGCCATCTCAACACCGGGAGCGATGAGGCCGAACGTTTGGTTCTCCCAACTGGCACATTCGCCTACAGCGTAGATGTCAGTTTGCGAGGTTGCTAGGTCGGGTCCGACCACAATGCCACCTCCTCGATCAGCACATTTGATGCCTGCTTTACGGGCGAGCTCGTCTCGTGATTTGATACCAATCTGTCAGAGTCAGTTTCCGCTGCTGGTTCAGAATTCAGGAGTACTTACCGCAAAGCATATACAAGAGCACTCCATCTCGTCACCATCCTCAAAGACAACTCCCTTGACGAAGTTATCCTCTGTGGTCAGGATCTTGCCCACTCTCTTGCTTAACATAACGTCCAGGCCTAGAGCTCGGACCTGCTCAACAACCATACCACCAGCATCCCCATCCAGTTGTCTTGACAAGACCCATCGATTCCGCTCAATGAGCTTCACTTTTGCGAAGTCTTCAAGGTCCATCATTGCATGTGCAGCTTCCAAACCTAGTAGACCACCACCTACGACCGCGCCTGTAGTACCTTTCCTTGTTGAGGAGAATTCAATCAGTCTTTGAAGGTCCTCTATTGTGCGGTATACGAAAACACCGTTTGCGTCGTGGCCGGGTGTATGTCGAGGAAGAAGGGCGTCGGATCCTGTTGCTAGTACCAAGATATCGTAGGGTACTGTTTCGCCGGATGAAGTCTTGACGTTCTTTCCGGCGGAGTCGATCTCGGTAACGAGGGTGTTGAGGTGATAGTTCAATGAACCTTCTGGCATCGACGCATACTACACCGGGGTTAGCTATAAACGCCTTCTCTTGAATGTGCTAGAACATACCCATTCCTTGGGGTTAAGATATAAGTTCTCAACTTGCCGATGTTGGAAAAAGCTTGTCAAACCGACCCGGTTGTACGCAAGATGTGGTTCCTCGCCAATAACTACAACATCATACTCTCTCCGCTTAACGTCATACTTCATGAGTTTCTCGCTTGGACAAAGTCAGTGTCTTCTTCTTGTTCAGCTCAAAAGACGATTGACTCACATGAACGCTATGCCCACCATACCCAATCCAACAACCACGATCTTCTTCCGTGGATGTTGATCGTTGATCTCGCCCTTCTTCTCTAAATCAGCTACCTTCTCAGGCAGCTTGTTGGCTTCCGCATCGTTCCATTCTGCATTGGAGATGTTTCCGTCCTTCGATCCCCATGTTGCTGTGATATGGCGGTCGCCGGGTGGTGAGTGTGATTCGCCGGATGAGGGCTCGATGCCTTGTGTGACGATTGGCTCCGTCTCGGCCATGGTGTGGTTTGAGGCCGCCGAAGCCTTGGGTATCTAAATGCTACAATGAAAAAGGTTATGTGTGAAGCAATTCGTCGTACTAGTACACTCAATCAAGAGGGCACAAGATGATACCGCAGTCAGTAAGCATAGACTGTTTACTCCAAGAGGTGTAGGAAACAAGACTTGAGAGGAAAAGAATATGCAGAAGACAAGAGACAGCTCTAACGAGTAAGATCGATACCTAGTTGATAGACCTCAATACCTGCAAGCTACAACTCCGTGGCACGACATCTCCCGCAAGCTCACCCAACACGCTTCATCTCTCCCGCGCCAACCCTCGCGCCACAATGAGCATAGATAGCCCAACTACCGATCGAACCACTCATCTCCAATCACGCGTGCCCCGCGGTGTTTACGGAAATGCATCGTGACGCAGCGGGGTTCTATGGTCCCCCCATGCCCATGCACTGGGCCTGCAGAGCGCATCCTAGCTCCCGTTCCGCGGCATGCTGTCAGAAGGCATGTGAAAGCGACAAGGGTACAAGAGCGCGTCCAGTCAAACAATTGACATTTCTCATTATCGTACAGAAATGCTGCAGGCACGAAGTTCTCCGTGGAGATTAGAAGAGTTCGCGTGATGTGGGCTCTCTGTGGAGACGCGTCGAGTGGCTGGACGTTCCTTATCGCAAGCTAGGCGGCTTGGCGACAAGGGTCCCGGCTCGCTTCGTTATCAGGATTATCTTTCACGGAGATGCGTTTTGGTGTTGCTAGGTTTCCGGCAGATGTCATTATACAGGTGATGTTTCGTTTGACGGTGATATGAAGGGCAGGATCGAGATGGAGGAATGGAGTGCCATGTCATCGTTAACTAGTGCTCGTTTCTCGCAACGAGCTAGGACCTAGGACGCAATGTCGCTAGGTGCCATACTTGTGCCGCTCTACCATTGGGAATCTAGGAAGCTGATCACCTAGATATGCTGTATGGCTCGAGTTAAATTCGTTGCGCGTTATTCTATGAGCCATGGCCCTATATACAATAAGGAAGTCGAAATATGTGTATCCAGATGCTGTCCCCCAACTCCAGACGTTATGAACGAAGATGCCGAAATCCTGAGCTGCCTTTAGAAATGAGCATATTAGAAGAACATCAACTCCTCGTCGCTCCAGCCCTGCTCATTTAACGCCTTGTGTGCAGCCTTCTCCAAAGCCTCCGGTCCGCAAATAAGCACCAAGCTCTCACCCTCATCTTTCACGCAATGTTCTTGCAGCAACGGCGCACCAATGCGCCCCCTCAAGCCTTGCCAGTCCTCTGGCCCTTGTGTCAACGTATACAGCAACTTGCACCTCTCTGCATTATCCTTCGCAAAGTTATCCAGGTCCTCTCTGCACAAAATGTCCTCGACCAAGCGGTTGCCGTTGAGAACAGTGCAATGTGTGGTATCCTCTTTATCCTGCATGACAGCGCGCAAGACTTGGAAGATAGGCGTGATACCACTGCCACCACAAACCATGAAAAAGCGCTTCACTCTCCTCTCTTTGCCATTGACAGCGCAGAGGCCACGACCAAGGTATTCAAACTTGCCGATCGGGCCTTTAAAATCGACCCAATGGCCCGTAGGAATAGAATCGAGTGCTTTCGTCATCTTGCCACCAGCACGGCCGGGAGTATCGGCGTAGACTTTGATCAAAACGTCGCAGAATCCCTTCTGTGTCGTTTGGCTGATGGGTGTGTAAGAGCGGATTATGGCCTCGCGGGTCACGGGGTCGCGGAGACGGATCATGAGATGTTGGCCGGTGGGAAGACCAAGGGCTTGGTCTTCGTGGTCGAGTTTGAAGCGGAAGATGCGTGTGTCCCAAGAGACCTTCTTCTTAGAGTACAGGAGTGTTTTGCGCCATGTGCGGGAGTCAAGGAAGCTAGGCCGCGGCTCGTTGGATTCTTGGACGTGTTCGCCTTCTGCTAGGACTTTACGAGATGCTTCGTCGAGAGTGCCGATGTGGTAGTCTGGCATCATGGCTTTGGCTGTCTCGCTATCTGCTTATTGTTAGCCGTCATCGTCGGACTCCATGTTGCTGCGAAACTCACGGATTGCCATAAACTCGTCAGTGGCATCTAGGCCTGCAGCGCTGATAATGCTCTGCGCACCACCTGGATGACCTTCCAAGAAAGCAGTACCGTCGTAGACTTCGCCGTTGACCACGAACCATGGATTCTCGGCCTTGTCATGTTTCCGCAACTCATCGATCTCAATGATCTTGTCGACACTATCCTTTGTCATCTTGATCTCCTTTGCCTCCTCGATAGCAGCATGCTCCGGCTCTTCGCCGCCAATCTTCTCACCCCAGTATCCGTTTGTGAGATTTCCGCCAACCTTTTTGACGCGCTCCATCCAGCCACCAGGCATTAGTGCGGGTTGTGTGGGATGCTCGAAGCGGAGAGTATTGTCTTCTTTGTGTATGACAATTCGAAACCAAGGGTTGTTCATCATGCCCAGCACACTCCAGTACATATCCCTTGGCTGAACACACATCGCTTCGTCCATCACCCGCACCACAATGTCATCAGCCTCTTTTAGCTCGGCGGTGGCGATCTCTAGGTTCCAGAAACACCAGCAGAAGCTCGTCTCACGCCAATCCATGTCCAGTCTTCCACCGTAGAGTTGTCGGTCTTCAAATGCCCTGTACTTGTCTTCTGCGTAGTCGATCTTTGCGAGTCGCCATGTCTTTCCCTTATCCAGAGAAAGTTCGCAGCGTGTTACACGTCGTCCACCACCACTATAGGCATAGCCGCGGACGTTGTACGATTCAGGACTCGAAGAGAGGGTTAGCTTCTCTTCATGTGCAGGGCATGCAATGGCTGAATTGGGCGACAGGTCATAGATGGCGTAGCGATCGTCCATCCACCATTTCGCATTCTTGGCTGCCTCGTCTGGGTCGACTGTCGTAGGGAGTACGCGGTTATCGTAGATGTGATACCAGTTATCGCTAGGCTCAGCCGTGATGATCAGCTTCTTCAGCCACTTCACACTTCGACCACCAATCTGACCCGGTATCACAGCTCTTAACGGCTTGCCATGATCAGGTTTTAGCATCTCGCCATTCATTTTATGCGCCAACATGATACCCCGATTTGGGTCCATGACCCAGTTGAGCTTGACGGAAGTGCCATAGTATCCGTTAGGCTGTGCATAGTGTTAGACCTCGTATGTTGACCATCGACATGTGACTTACAAGTTTGTCAGCACCTTCCATGCACACGTATTTCGCTTTTCGCAATGGTTTCGCTCGCTCGATAATGTCTTTCATGACCACACCAGTAAATAGTGCTGTTGAAACACCTGCTGGGCCCCATGAGAAGCCCTTGCTCTTCCTCACTACATTCTGCTCTTTCCGCCTGTTACCAGCACAGACCAAAGTGACAGGATATGTGACGTTTTCGTATTCTTCCAGCAACTGTCGTAGAGTAATTTTGAGGGGATTTGCTACTAGACTATACGAGATTTAGATTCATGATGTCATTCTACACTTGGACGATAACATACCCTTCGACCGAGAATTCCCAATCCAGACACTCGGCGTCATGTACCTCCGGGACTGCACCATGGTTTCGCACATAGAACAGTTCTGGGCTGGTCAGGAAACCCTCATTGAATAGGTCTGTCAATGGTGCTTCGGTGTTGAAAGGGTGAACGCCCGTTAGCCGGATTAGTCTCGGATCTCGTGGCACATGCGCATCTGGTGTAGGCTTGTCGACATCCAGAACTTGCGGTGGGGTATTCGCTGGTGGTGGAAGCGGAAAATCTGGTTCTGACGTCGAAGTGGTGGACTTGCTGTCATCTCCGTCTACCGTCTCTGGCGGCGATGGCGGTAATTGTATCGACTTTGAAGCAGCATGTGGCTGTGGTTGGTGTTGATTTGCAGGAGGTATGGGTACTCCCGCCTTGTTCTGAGTCGCTACGCTCATGATGCGTGACTAAGAGATGCGGTACTGGAACTTGGGATGGATTCAGTGGATGGGTATGGTGCTTGCACTAAACGGGACGACTCTTCCAACCGAAAAGTTACGACAGGTTCATCAAATTCTGCTGGTGCTGCGAAAAGGGTATTGGTAAAGAAAGCAATAGACGACACGATGCTGAGACTCCAAATAGGTTTGAATCGGACAAAAGGCAGGAGTTGCAATCGGGGGTATCTGGAATTGCAGATACTAAGTCAAACCCAACGTGTTCTAAGAATGTAGTGGCACCCTTCAATCAGCTAGTGGGACCAGTCAACGTTGTAGTCAACGTCAGTCGCTAAATGGTAATACCGCGGAAACTCTACCTCGATCTGTGGGGAAATCCTCGAATCATGCATTCCGTCATCATCCTAGCTCTCATCGAACGCCAGGCTCTGATCATCTCGAATTACTTTACACACTCGCATGCGACCTTATCTTTGACGTTCGTATTGGGGATAGCGCACGATATGTGTGGCAAGGGAGTAAGCGGGCCTTGATGCCACTAAGAAATGTTCCTGGCCGGACCGGGTAGGCTGGATTTGGTGTGGGGGCTCGGCTTTCCCATGTAGATCCGGCATCTTTCCAGCGGAGATGTCAACACATGAACAAATTATCTCTCTGTGGAGATGCTTGACCTGCACAATCTTTGACACATCTTGAAATGCTGTAGTCGCCAACATCGTGCAAATTACTGGAACTTTATAGTGCTTACGGGGCGAAGTTCTGTGAGACCAATCTCTCGTGTAGACTGTGCATGCGACCATTGCGAACAGCCAGCCGAGGACAAAGTTGTGATCATCGTCCTTTCGTGCAACGCCAAAGGCCTCGGAGAAGCCTCGGTTGACCTTTTGTCGTATGCGAAACAGACGGGTCGAAAATAAGCATTTCCGGAGAGACTGGGTGGTGTACTAGATTTCGGTGCTTGAGGCTGAATATCTCCGCGGTCCCAAGGGAGCTGCGCGCGCTTGCCGAGACTAGCCACCTGGCGCAGTCTGAGCCTCTAAATTATTCCCGCAACACCTCAGTCGTGTTTAGAGAAACATACTTTTGCCGGACATGTGCAAAGACCTAGCTGTTCACCCAACAAGCTTTTCCTTGAGCGTTTGACCTTGCTCCAAAGGCCCAACTTTTACTTGTCCCTGGAGTCGTTGCTGTATCGTCTCTGCGCGAGCTTTCATGCGCTGTTCGGTCCTTTCCTTTACACTGGCTTTGGCATATCGACCCTTGACTCCATGTTTAAGACGCGTGATCATATCACCCGCTTTGCCCTTGCTGAGATCCTCTGGTTTCAATTGGTCTTCTCGTGGGCGAAATTTGTTGAGGAAGTCAACTTGAGCTTGTGATGCACGACCCCGACGCCATGGCTGATGCTTTGAGATGTAGAAGTGTTTAAAAGCTTCACTCGCGTACGTATCAGCTGCGTGGACAACGTGATCAAAAGAGTCTCCTTCTGCGATGACACGCGGTGTGCCATAGGGACTTTTGACGATCTTACTCATCGGGAGCTTCCAGTAATACCTCGCTCTAAAGTGACCTTCAATGTCGTCGGATGGCTCAATGACTAAGTAGTTGCCAGTGTTGCCAGTGAGGACGTACTTTCCATCGCCAACACCGACCCAAGCATTCTGGCTAATGTTACGTATGTATTGATCGGCGGAAGTGTCTGCTATTAGATCGTGTACAGAGTCATACTCGGTGAAGGAGATAGTGCCAGGTAACTTCTTCGCAACCGTTCTCTTCTTGAGGTCAGAAGCCTCCTGTTCACGTTGCTTTTCAGATTGCTTCATCTCTTTGAGCTTCGTCATGGCTCTGGTGTCTGCTTCGTCAATGATTTCACTTGGATCAAGGCCGAACAATGTAGGTGTTGACACTACTCCAGTGCTCAGTGCGGCGACCATGTCGATGATGTGGCAATTCTGCTTTCCCTTATGTAAACGCATACCACGTCCGATCATCTGGACAAGAAGATTTCGAGACTTTGTGGGGCGAGCTAGCAGCACGCAATCAATATTAGGAATATCCGTTCCTTCTGTAAAGACACCACAGTTTAGCAGCACCGGAAACTCGCCGTTCCTGAAAGCGTCGATGCGCGCGCTGCGGATCTTTGCTGGCGTGTCACCGGTGACAAATTGAGCATTAATCCCGGATGCCCGGAATCTAGCGGTAAGGTCGGTGACATGGCTAAGGTCAACACAGAAGATGAGAGTCGAGTGCCGGTCCCTTGCCTTGGCTAGCCATGTCTTTACAACGAGATCGTTGGTTTCCTCGGTGTTGATTACCGTAGAGAGGGCGCCGGTCTGAAAGTCGCCACCGACGCCAGAGCCCACTTTGGTCAAGTCGGCCTTGATCTCGACAGTGGTAAAGACAACATCAGAAAGCCAATTTTCGTCAATCATGTCTACGTAGTCGCGGTGGTAGACGATGTGGTCGATGGCAGACCCAAGCTTCCTGCCGTCGAAGCGTGAGAAGGTAGCCGAGACGCCGACTAGGGCAGGAGCCTTTGTTTGAGTCCAGTCAGCTTGATGTCTCAATCCAAAGTGCTCCAAGACATCGAGATATGTCTGGCTGACGATGTGGTGTGCCTCGTCTACCAGTACAAGCTTGTACCGTGGGGGGTCAAACTTATTCAACCGTTCCCCCGATGTGATGCTCTGTATGGAGGCGACGGTGATGTCGGCGGCACCCGAGGCCTGATTGTTGCCCATTTCGATGTCTACATGCTTATCGGGGTATGCGAGACTGCAATGGCGGGCGGCTTGCTCGACGAGTTCGCGGCGATGGGCGAGAATGAGCGTCTGAGAAGCGTCGCCATTGGCGGGTATGCGATCGATGAGGTGGGTGAATATGACGGTTTTGCCCGAGCCGGTTGCCAGAGAGACACCGAGACGTTTGTGTCCGGCATTGAGGTAGGAAAGGACAGCTTGTACGCAGTCTTCCTGATACTCGCGTAGTTGGATCTTGGGCGGCGGCGGCGGCGGTGGTGCTGGCGAGCTGGCAACCACGTTCCGGGGTCTCTTTGATCTTGTTGAAGCATGTCGGCTTGTTGCATGAACAGGCGTGTAGCCTACTCGCCTGCAGTGTCTCAACGCATGTTGGGCGAGAGGGAACATCAAGACGCGCTCCAGGGTTGCGTGGAAGCGAAGATGTCGCGAAGTCACGATGCATGACGCAGGTCCAAGGCGGGCTGCTTCGTGTGGTAGGCCGAGGCCGAGCCCCACCCAAAATGTTTCCAGCCGTCTTCATCCAGTCTTCACCTCTTCACCCTTCACTATGGCCGCTATATGCGCGCGCATGCATGACTCGAATCAGCACATATGCCACAGAGGTACAGAATACGCGTCTAACCCACCGCATCCGCCATGAGTTCCGCGTCCGACTACAAGCATTCCGAACCGTCTGAAGATTCTAGCCATGAAAGCTCGCAACCGCCTACAGTGTCTCACACACCGCAGAAGCGACGCCGCCTAGAGTCGATCGATCCTGCCCGTGTACGCAAATACTATCTCGAGGGAAAGTACAACGACGCCTACCGCGTGCTGTTCAACGAGGACGTGAACCGAGCGGCGGCGCGCTTCGAGACGCACTCCGAGAACTTCCAATACTACAACAGGCAGATTGGTGCATCAAACTGGTCGCCAAGGGAACAGGCCGTCTTCTTTGGGGCTCTTGAGCGACTAGGAAAGGACGACATTGCCGGTATAGCAGGTGCTATCGGCACCAAGAGCATACCAGAGACGCAGGAGCTACTTTTACTGCTCCACGATGCTGCCACAAAGCAGGGCGATGCCAAGTTGACGCTTCGCCATGTCCCCGCGGCCATCGAAGTGAGCGACGAGTGCAACGAGCAGCTGCACGTTGCGGCCGAGGCTTTGGCCTGGTTCCAGGAGGTCTTCGAGGCAAATCAGGAGCGAGACAGGTTCGGCGACCACTGGCTAATCACGCCTGCGGTAGCCGACAAGATCGAGAGCGCACTCGACGTCCGCAATCTGCGAGCCACAACATCACCGCTTGCGAGCGAGTCAGAGCCAGAACCTTCACGAAGGGGTGGCAGAGTAATCATAGGGTACTTACAACCTACTGACGATAAAGATGAGTGTGCTGACATGTTCCAGAGCATGTACTTCATGCAAAAAGTTCAAGCAAAAGTGCGATCGAGCAACACCATGCGCCAACTGCGTGCGACGAAATACGGGCGAATGTATCTACCCAGAGCAATCTATCAAACCCGATACGGGCGATCAGTTTGACAAGAGATCGAAAAAGCCCAATCCCAAGGCTGGTATCCTCCAAGACATTCCCGAAGCCGGTCTACTACAGCCACAGGTTATGCTCACCCTCTCCAAGACACTGTTCATGAACCGCTCGCCTACAATACCCTCGCCCTGGCCACACTGGTCTGAATACACCTCTGAGTTTGCTCAAGAACCAAGCATCTATCGTAGCGCCTTCAACGATCTCCACACCCTGGTGGTCTCCGTTACCAAGCGGCTCGTACAGACGGCTATTATACAAGCAACTTCACGTCTTCGAGCACAAAGACAGCGAGTAAAAGGCGGTGTCCCCCTAATAAAGCGAAGAGACGCCTTGACTGCTATCGATGTTGTAGGCATGCCACGGAACAGTCAGGAGAGATGGCGAGGAGTAGCCAGACGATGTGCGTTGAGAGTGTACGAAGGCAAATGGTCACGTTACCGACGTAATAAAACCAGACGAGAGGTGCCGTGGGACGAATTCGAGCGAATTATGGCCCCAGTTGAGCCGTCAGCAGAGCTCTCGACCACAGACGCAGAGATGTCCGGTAATGACAACGCCGGTTTTAGTGCAAGAGCAAAGCGGAGCGGAACACCACTTCCTATGGATCAGCTTGGGCTATCGGATTCCGACGATGAATCACTCCTCGAAGATAGCGCACCTCCTTCCCGAAGCACATCCCAGCCCAGAAATACTGTAGACCAGCTTGCAAATTCACCACCGGCCACGGATTCTGAGAAGCATGGACCCCAAAAGTTGACATTGGCCGACTTTGATCGAGAGACAAGTCGAAAAGAGGAACAAAATCTCTGGAAAATGCTTGGTCTTGAGCCAGTCATCAAAGCTGAAGAAACGAACATCGATCGAGATAGCGACGAGGAAGATCTAGATGAAGATGAAAAGATTAGAACAGTGCCCGATAGTTGGCGCTCTTGGACAAGTTGTCGTGCCGAATGGGAGGAACTCGGCACACCTCCACCTGAATTTGCCTTTCTGGCAAACCAGAAACCTCTTGACGTCCCGCCTATTCTTCAAGGAGACACTTCAGACACCACCGAGTCTACCTCCGACAGTGACACTAATGCGCCGACGCGAAGGCCCAAGCCTCAGAGTAAGCCGTCAATCCAACGAACGATCGAATTGCATACCCGTGGCACTCACGCTTATGCTGCTCTGCAAGGACGAAGCTCAGAGCCTGTCAGATCTACAAGCCGAACCAGCTCTCAGGACAATGACATCAGCGACGAAAATGCAGACGTCCGTAGACTACCTCGACCGCCCATCGAACTTATTAGGAAGGAATCACCAATTTCGGAACTAAACGATGATCCGAGCGACAGCAGCGAACAGCTGACGCAGTCGATTGGAATCAAGAGTACGCCAGTTCCTATCGCATCATCAAGCGATGAAGGAAGTGATATCGAGATGGAGCAGCCCATACAGTCGATTGAACCCCGCAATGATCCGTTGCATGCAGTGTTGCCTTACGACGAGCCGAAAGAAATGGATTGGGGGTCGTTCATCGACTAGTTCTTACCGTATCTAATCACATCCTAAATTCAAGTCCATCTTGTTTAAACGAGCGACATGCCTTGTGTAAGCTGGAGTTATTGAGATGTAGTATGCAATGTCGAGTTACATGACTTGACACCACGTACTGGAGAGCAAACGTCCACTTCAGCCGTTTGTTGAGTCACTCACCCATATTCCTATTTTATCGTATGTTCCCATCCACTCGAATGCTCGCACGTCATACTCTTTAGTAAGTCCTCTTGTATGGTCAGTGACTGCCAATGCGCTAATGGAGCCAGCATGCACATTGGTGACACACCCAGTGAGCAGGCGGGTGAATTGTACATTACACCTAAGAACGGGTCAAGCTCGATGTCAAATCAGTACTAGGCGCCACCACTGTCACCGAAAGACCACGACCAGTCCCTTCACTACAGCTATGATGCCGGACGCACCAATGCTAGACAGAACAACACATTTCACTGCTCAAACATTGATGCATTTGGTCCACTTCTCCACAGCCCCAGACTTGCATAAGATTCCTCCTCTGACCTTTCTATTCTCTAACCATACCACAACTTGAATAGAGTCTCATCACCTTGACTTTACTTTACCAACTTCCAACTTCCAACCCCACTAGTCCTCAGATTTCCAACATGAACTTCTTCACAACCATCCTGATGGTCCTAGCCGCCCTCGCTTCTCTCACGATGGCTAATTCTGATCACAAGGAGCCAGGAAAAGACCCAAGTAAGGAGCCGAGCTGTGGCGCTCCCTTTTGTAAGCGGGCTGAGGCTCTGGCTCGAGCCAAGGCTTCTGTCCTCGCTGAGCATGAAGCAAAGATGGCGGCTATTGCTATGCTTACTGCTACTTCCCATGTCGCGGGTTCTGAAGCAAGCAGTCTGGCTGACTAGCTGAGATGGATGACGGGTAAGTCATGGTTCTCGTGAGATGACCAAGTGTTTGGCTTACTGGCAACAGTCTGATGGTGTCCATTACGATGTCGGCTCTGAGGGCAATGCCCTGGGAATGAGGATATTTGTGGAGCATCACGATCTCTCTTGGGGTTTGATTCGTCTTGGGCGGAGCCTCACTTAAGGCGATGTACTGGAATCAGCTTTGGTCGATGGTAATTTGACTTGACTGGCGGCTATATCGGCTCTTTCGGGTGGAGCCTTCAATATGTGTATGGAGCTATAAGTAGCGATTTTACGGAACGATGAATGTCCAATAGCTCACATTTGACACCCTCGTCATAAGATGTTTCTTACCACTTGAAATCCGAATACTGATAAATCTCCGGTCGTAAAGACGATAGGCTGGCGCGGTGGTAAACAACGACTGGCTTAATCACGGCGATTCTTTGATCGATCTGCCGTCGTTCAGGCAAGGTCCCCTGCTCTGTGATGAGTCGGACTCGCGCATGTCCCATTTGAAAGACTGTCTGTTTTGATTGATGGGAAGCACAGTGAGTCTCATGTGCCGTTCCGAATATGTTCAACCTTAGTATCAATCCTATGCATACAACTCCACTCGTCCAAGTAGAGTTCCTGCACCAGATTGACACTACCAAACCACTTCTCGCCCAGTCCAGCGCCTGGCAGATCTGGATTGAGCTTGAGTTCCTTAGTATTGCCAGTCGCTGCCCCATATTGTTCAAAATGCTTCAACGAGTCGATGGCCCATATCATTTGCTCGTCGTCGCGGTAATGCTCCTTCAGCCTTGCGCGCCTGATGTCCTTCCGTATCTCAGCTTCGGCGGTCGACCAGGGCGGTGGGTAATCGGAGGGCATGAGCTTGTCACCCTTCTTGAGCCGCGCATTGTTGGCTTGCATCTTCTTCGCCGTCTTGATATGCCACTCGTCTTTCAAGACACGGAGTCGTTCTCGTTCGCGGAAGAAGAGCTGTAGCATGCTCTTCCAGTCGAATTCGATCTCGCGGGCTGCAACATCAATGCTGAGGCCTGGCAACTCGGTATCGTTCACCAAATTCCCAATGCTGATTGTGTAATTGGGCATCTCAGCCTTCCAGTTCTTCACATTCTCTTCCCATCGACGTGTGACTTTATGATAGTGCTCGCGATCTTTCTTTCCTTGCCCTTTCTCCGAGCCAATATCTGGTCGCTCATCTTTGAACCAAGCCACAGTCTTATCTTTGCCTTTGCCGCGTCGCGCGAGCCTTGTAGACACCTCCGGCCGCTTACTCTTCCCACCCAGGTTGTACTTTTCGAGTTGAAAGTCTATGTGTATTTCCTTGAGGAAGTGTTCGCCGAATGCATGCTCGACGCACGCGCGGAGTGTTGGAGAGACGCGTCGGACGACGTTCCAAAGGTGGGCAAGGTCGGTATGATAGCGGAAGACGTTGATCCACACCTCAGCCGGTAGAGATGGACAGCATGTTTCGCGTGCAGTAACACGGCGTGGAGCTTTCGAAGCCATTAGGACTTTGTCGCCAGGGGCCTTTGAGCTACATGATGCTTCAACCACTACCAGTCTTGTGCGAGCCGCGTTGAAGCCCAAGTTCGCGAGTAATGCCAATGACGTAAGCTGACCTCACATGACTCTAGCATCGCCGAAGCTCCCTCCTTCCCCCAATGCTTCATGCATAGGCTTCGCTGACAGGATATCAGGCTAATAATGCTGACGTCTGCAAAAGACAAGCTACATACGCCAAACATGCGATTAACTCAGCCTTGCACTCTAGACTTTGCATGCTAGTAAAGAAAGAAGCCTACTGCCCGTTGCTTGAAGTTTCCGTACTTACCACTTGACCAAACACCTTCCTACTCGACTACGGCCTGTACCAGCTACTTGTCACCGTCTTGTCTCCGAAACTGATCTTGCCTTGACACACGTCCGCATGTCTTTCGTACGGTTGTCCGGCCTGTATGTTATGTGCATTCTTTTCTTTCGTATTCCCACTCAAGCTTCGAACGACACAGCCACATATACAACCAAACACACAGGATGGCATAATGGCCCAGCGGAGCGCACCACAATGATGATACTTTGGAGCTGCTTGACAACCATCTCCGCCTGTACTTGGACCTTCCTTAGCCTTCCGGGAGCAAGACGAAAGGCTATGCGAACACACATGGGCGTGCTTCTTGCCCAACCCAGGATGAAGAGGCAATATGCGCAATTTTCACTACGGTGACCAAACGTATCTAGCAAATAGGTATTATACCATCAGCTTAGTTGACTGTAAGGCTATACTCACAGGCACCTAACGCATCCGTCCATCCATCAACACACTCAACGAACGTTTTGGATGTCACTGACTTGGAGGCATTTCAACGTAAGAATATCGCATGTAAACGGGGAAATACTAGTATGTAGAATCTAACATTCTATCTTTGACATACTATGAATACACCGGCGCTTTTAGTTCCTTAAGCGCCGGTGAACGAACGTCCAATCTGTGTTCGTGTTGCCACATTCCCTTCTGTTTCCCATCCCAAAGTAATATAGAACAAAAGGCAGCCACTCAAGCCTGATTCATTACCACGAAAGCAAGACAACGAAAGCGACAAACGGGCTCAGCCCTTCCGAACGAACAAAAAAAATACAAGAGTAGGGTAAAGACAAAATACATGAAGCGTAAAATAGATAGAATACAACGAAGAAGAAATCGCGAAGACAACGAACATGAGAAAGGACAATCAAGAGCAACGACGATATAGCAGATTGGTATCGCGCGACAAGCAAGGAATTTTATCGGTCGGCATAACAGGGACGTAAGAAAAGGCGTGACGACGTGAACGACCATCCTGGCAGTTGTTAATCCTCCTCTTAAAAAACAATCCGAACGCCAGCGGGTATAGACAATATCGATAGTAGTAACATTTTTTAGATTGCCGAAGCACGTAACGCAGCTTCCGGTGGTGTAGGCGGCAACGGCATAGTGGGTGGAGGAGCTGGAAGACCCATGCTCGGTGGCGGTGGGGGAAGTGGCATATTAGGTGGAGGAGTGGGCGAAGTTATGTTGCGTGGTGGAGTAGGCAATGCCTTGTTTGGTGGTGGTGCGGGTGGTGGCAGTCCCATAGATGCTATACTACGTCTGGGTGTAATGGTCTTTTGTTGTGCGAACGCCTGCTGTCTCAGCGCTTCGATGCTGGGTGTTGGTCTATGCGCGGCAGCGTCTGATGAGGGAACAGGTGCATTAGACATTCTTCGGCCGGGAACGAATGATGGCGTAGATGCAATGGCACGGATTGGGCGGGATGACAGGAATGGCGCGGGGTCAGCAGAACGGATCTGGACTGAAGCAGGACGGCGCAGAGCTTGTGATGCTTGAGCAGAATGTAGACCATGAGGGTTAGTGGTGGGCTGCATGTTCGAAGCTGCCGAAGGTGGCCTTATGGGCGCAGTTACCGATCGGTTCATGTGGACACCCGGAGGCAAAGGCGAGGGTGTGGGCGATGGTGTAAGAGAAGACTGTCGCCTCGCTACGATTGTGGATGAATCGCCATGTTGTGCTTGTGGTCGTACTGGGAATGGTCGTAGAAAAGGCTTTGGTGAAGCAGAAGTTCGACGCCGAGTCTTGGAATCGCCAGCAGTAGAAGCGTACATGGGGGCTGGACCCATCATTGATTGACGTTGAGCAGGAGGCGGGGGTACTGGGGCAGGGTCCTTGGGCGGTGGAGAGATTGCGTCCCGTCGTGGTAGCGCACTGTATGCATGCGCATTGAACCGTACCGGACTATCTTCTCGAGTTGATAGAAGATCGTTGTCATCAGCCTGACCAGATACTTCGGTCTTCAATTGAGGAGGCGATGAGCGTACAGCATCAGTAACCTGCGCGGTAGCGGGCGGAGCATCGGCTTTGTTTGGTGCTGTTTCCTTCTTTAGTGGTGCCGCTGGACCTGCAACGAAAGGCTGGCCTAATTCTGGGACAGTTGGGGAGACCGGGTTGTACAGGGAGTGTCGTTTACTCGTAGGGGGTGTTGTCACAGTCTGGCTCAAGTCCTCATTTGTGATTGGCAAAGGCTGCATTGACCTGCGGCGAGACGACATGGTGTTGTTGGGATTCATGTGGAACGACCGTAGAGACATTGCGCTCCGGAGAGGCTCACTATCCCCAGTCGCAGTAAACTCCTCTTTGAGGGGCGAATGTGGTGCTGGAGATGACTCTCGCGAAGTATTGCGCGTGCCGGCACCTGATGCTGACGTAGCTGTTGACATGAACGAGTATCGTGATCGTCCGCGAAGCTGGTCCAACTGCACCTGATGTTGAGAGACAGGCGTCGAAGCGACAGATGACATCTCCACTGAAAGACGGTTGTTGGTGTTAAAGCGAGCGGACTGTCCACTAGACGAGTCGATACTGTTCTTTGTTTGATCGTTCTGGTTCGCTTCCCACTCAGAGGCTACAATCTTTGGCGATGTGGAATGCTGTGATTCAACTGGCACAACCCTGCTGACGATGTGTGGGTCCCGATTGACTCTGTACCGATGACTGGTAGTCTCTGATGAGTTCTTTCCACCAGAGTCATCAGTAGAAGAGGACGCTCGAGCGAAGTCATCCTTTGCCTTCATGCCGCCAAGGTTGTCGATCTCCTTTCGCACAATGGTCATCCACTCATCCATCTCTTCCGCGCTCTCGAGAACCAGAAGGAAGCTTGTGGCTGACTTGCGCATGGTAGCATTTTGTGTTCGTAAGCGAGCAAGAAGAGAGTTCTTTGGCCCTGACTCGAATGTTCCGTCATCGCTGGCGTGACTGGAAATCTGTAGCACCCAGTGCTTGCCAGGTATAAGATCGCACGCAAAGGCCGCTGATTCCTTTCCCAGCTTTAGCACTTTCTCAGGCAGACGATCGAAAGCCCCATCACCAGCGTACTGGAGCACGAATCCTGCAGTAACCAAGATGTATATTTTGTTGACAAGTTCTGGAGTCTGAGGGTTCAATACAGAGTTGGACATGAGACGCTTGTGTGTCTTCTCCAGCTTCTTTGTCTCTGTACCGTTCTCTGCGATTGTGGAAAGGTCGCGCTGATTGTCCATTTTCTCACGTATCGACTCAGCTTGCTGCCTTTGGCTCTGTGATCTCATCAGGATCTCTGGAGCGAATACACATGCTTGTACAGTGGCATGCTTCAAAGACTGTGGGAAAGCCTGAAACAGCGGAGGGGGGTCCCAATTTCCAAATTCGTGATGTTGTACAGCTGGTCGCATGGACATGGGTCGGAACATCTGGCTTGAGCGTGCGCGAATGGTCTGTTGAGCGGGCGGGGAAGGGTTCTGTCTCAGGGAAGACTTCGGTATGGAGATAGGTTGAGTAGGTTTAGGCGGAGTCTGTGGTCGCATCGGTACGGCAAGGCCGACTTCGGTATGTCCACGAGCCTTCTCTACTTTGGGTCGACTGAAGAGGCTGAACAGCGACATCTTAGATGTTACGCGTTCCAGCTTCTTGGGGGGTACTATTGACGGGGTCTGAGATGCTACGGACGGTGACCGTGCAACCGGTTCCTGGAGGTTCGCGGTGGATCGAGTGAAGCGCCATCGGGAGTTCATCGACGAGTTGTGAGTCTTGTTTCGCATGTTGCCGATGGGATTGGACGAGGCAGCGTAGATCTGGCCAGAAAGATCGGACATGATGGGCGACCTTGGCTTATGAAGCCGGTAGAATACGGTTGACTTCAGAGCAACGTTGGGCTAGGCGGAAGACGTGGACGGGTAATCCAGGTCGTGCAAATTGGTCGCACGCGCGGTCCAAGTTGTTCCTAAAGACCCTGACAGGGTAGGCTTGCATTCAGTGTAAGCAAGATCTCGGACCGATGTCAAAGTATGTAAATCGTAGGAAGTGGTTTATGGTTGGAGTAGAAGTTTGTCGAGTATTGTGAGATCAGTGCGTCGGTAGAGAATGTGGAGATTGCCAGGTGAGTGGTAGAAGGAGCGTGATATAGCTGGCGGGACTATAATACAAGGAGAGGGGAAGATCAAACGAGAGGACAGGACATAGGCCCCTAGAGAAGCAGAACGAGCTGCAGATATGACGGAGCAGAGGGAAGCAGACGAGACTGAAACGACTTGTCAACGTTGAGTTGAGTCGTGGAGAGGAAAAGTGGCAAGCGTTAGTTGCCGCAGATGAATGCTCCCTAATCATGGTAGCGTACAGGGGGAGCCGTTCCCAGGTTCCGTCGTGTGTGATGCGAACGCGCAGGGGCTGCATAAAGGCCCCTTTCCGGTCATTTTCAGAAGAAAGTTGGGAGGGATGCGATGGCGCCGCACACTAGCGCTCGCCTGGACGATGTTGGCGTGTTTGACCTGGCTAGCCGGTGAAGGGTCGGCACAACGTCTTTTGACAGTGCTCGCGAGCTACATAATAGACTCGACGCCAGCTGCGTCGAAGAGGTCTCTGCCCGGACGCAGCGGAAGAGGGTGGCCTCCATCATCAGGCCCCGACGACGATGTAGATTAACGAGGTACCGCCACGATGTTTCAGCAGCGGCCTCTCGCAGTCGTGCCCAACGCGGTGGCTAAATCTGCCTGGCCCAACGTGGAAATTTGATTTGCACGGCGTGGTGACTGGAGTCGAGGCCTGCACGATCTACGACATGTCGGCAGGCGTGCGGAAGCGGATCGCCGACAGTCAATACTCGGAGATATTGGATGGGGTTATGGCATTCCTTATTGCGGAACCCATGGCACGGCCAGCTCAAACGCGATGCTGGGAACGCGTGGTGATGGCGCAAAAAAGCAGAGGGTCACACTGCTGCAGACGTACCCGGGGTGGGATTTGCGCGGAGAGACACAACTCTTGTTGTTTTGCATATTGGTGATATCGTCTCAGGTGTGATGCAGGCGGCGAGGTGCATACGCCTATCGATTATGGAGCGACTCTGCCCATCAGCTGCACAAGGATGGCATGCATAGTGCGAGTAGTGCGAAGCTTATTGCGGCGCGACATTGCACGAGGCTGGAGCGAAGAAACAAAAAGGCGAAATGAGGCTGACGCTGGGGAGGATTGGGGGGCGTGGTGTGTTCCTGCAGTAGCGCCAGGCAGGGCGAACTAAGTGAGCCCTGGCTGCTGGAGCTGTTCTGGTGCTGTCATGGCTACCCTAGCCCCGCTCACCCCACCAACCTCATCGTAGCCCATCGTGAGATCAGTCAGCGCAGGGTCACGCGCTTTCGTTGCTTGTCCAGTACACACCTATAGGCACGTCACACCACCTGAGAAAGAAAAACATGGCGCCCGACTTGAACACCCTGCCCGCTTCCCCTCATGCATCGCCCTCGCCCCGCAACCAGTCGCCGACAAACTCACGCACCATGGCTACTTCACCGCACTCGCTCGCTGCCACTGCCGCCATGAATGCAGGCATCCACAATGAAGAGACGCGCCGACCCTCTTCAGGTAGCATGCGCAGGGACGTAGAGCGCGCCCGTCGCCGATCAAGCATCCGCATGAACCTCAACTTGAACGACCCAGCTATCCCAGCGCCTGGAGAAATGCAGCAGAGTCCATCCTCCCGCAGCAGGGGCCCATGGCCGCATAGCCCGCACCATGAGCGCACTCCTAGCCTGGGCGAGCTCCACCAAGAGCTAGAGTACGAGCAGGAAGGGCAGGTGGTAAGTTGGTCGACATAGATTCTGGTCGTAGTAGACGGCACGAATGTCTTCTATACTAACATTGCTAGAACCGCCTGCTCAACATGATCCGCAGCCAGCAAGCCCAGATCAACACTCTCCAGGCCAACCAGCCGCAACCTTCTGCTTTCGCTGTAGATGATGGCACACCAACCTCGGAGCGCTCCATGTCTATCCCTCCGTCGCTCTCACATTCTACACACATTTCTCCACCTGTCACTTCGCCTTTGCCGTCTGCTGCACAACCACGGTCTCGCTCGCCCCTTGGCTTTGGTACCATCAGTCGTCAATCGTCTTTTGCGGACCGTTCCCGCCACAGCAGCCATGCCGGCTCTCCGGCTCTACGACCTGTACCAGGCCAAGCAGGACCCTACGATTCCCATGATATGCTCCCCAGCCCAGCAGCGACTTCAAGAGACGAGAGTGCCTTCTACCAGGCCGAGACCCAGAATCTGACCCGGGAAAACCAGATGCTAAAGCTAAGGATAAGAGAACTTGGTACGTACCTACCACGACATCACAATCAAGTACGTTTACTAACTCGACAACCCTAGAGCGCCAACTAGCAGACCAGAACCCCACCAGCCAAGTCACCCATTCACCCACCGTCCACTCCGGTCTTGCTCCTGCTTCGACTCACGAAAGCACAGATCGGAGTAGCGAGGGCGGTCAGCCGCCTGCGTCCACAGAGTAGGACTTTTCGCTAGACTGTGTTTCACGGGCGTTCGGTTCAGGTGCCTCCTCTCATGACATTGATGAAGCGTGTTGGCGTAGGAAAAAATGATGCTGCATGGTTAAACGGCGTTTGAAGTAATTCCGAGTAACGAGTGGTGAGCATGAGCTCCTTCCTAGCAATCCTCCAGGTGCAGTCATGGTTGTGAATGGCAATGTATCCTCTCCACTTTTTCTTGTTCTGTGTGCGGAAGAATATATTCCTTACTTCTCACGTTGCTCCACGGAACGGCTGGCCGATGTGTTGCTACATGGATGATGCAACCGATGACTGATCCCAGCGCCAGGGAAAATCCATGCATCTGTCCCGACCCTTTCTTGCCATCTGTTCATTCCATTTTCTTCATTCTCCACCTTGGCGTAAGCGATGCGCCAATATATCGAAATCGCGGTATGGGCTCCCGAGGTGTCTAAGACATGAGTCGGCCTGTTTGATGTACATTAAGTGTCACCTCCCACCAGCAACATGACAAACAACGACCCCACTTCAACCACTCTGAGAAATTACTAGTACCCCGCACCGATTGCGTGTCAACGTTCTCGATGCATTCTTCATCTGAGCCTGCGGAAGCGGCAAAGCTGTCTCATGTACAGGCTAGTCTAGGTTCCAAGGATCTAGTTTACCCTATCATCAGAACGTATCTTCAGTAAGAACGAATGCAAAATTATGGAGAGACATAAACGTGTCGAGTAGTTCGCAAATGCTGAAGTTATTGGTTCGAACATGAAGAATGTTAAGCGCTCGAAAAGAAGTAGCAAGAACGGTAGCTACACCAAATCGTGTACAGTGACCCTGGGATCCGCCAGAACGCTTCGTACCATATGTCTCCAGAATCCATAAACGCTCGTACGATGTTAGACATCTCAGTCTAGTATTTGCACATGTGTTGATGGATGTGAACCGCTCTCATGAACGCCTATGCTCCGTCCTGCTAACCCATGCAAAGTATCAAACTACCTTCAGTCCGCTCAAGAGCACGTATCCTACTCGTCCTCCACCTCCTCGACTGTCGCACGCGGTGCTCGCTGCGTGACAGCACCCTCTGGCGCGGCTTCTGAACCTGTGGGCTGTGGTGCCGAGTCGACAGGTGCAGAAGCAGGGGCTGCAGCGGGCGCTGGAGCGGGCGCTGGAGCAGCTTGAGCAGCTTGAGCAGGTACAGTATCGATAGCGCCCTTCTTAGGCTTTCCACCTGCGGCCTTTGCTGCTAGTTTGGCAGCCTTCTTCTCCTTCTTGGCAGCCTTCTTTGCCTTGACATCTTCAGGGGTCTGGGATTGTCAGCTTTTAGTTCATAGAAATCGAGGGGAAAAAAACGTACCTCTTGCCACGCCCATACTGGTCGGAATGAGTCAAAGAAACCAACATCTTCGAACAAGTTAGGGTAAAGCCATAGACCAGGAGGCACCGCGAAGATAGTGATCATAAAGATGATGAGTCGAACGATTGCCATGGCGAAAAACAACCCAATAAGGCCAAGCATGCCCATACTCAGGTACCAGACACCCTGTCGCAAGAAAAGCGGCCAAAGAGGGAACAAGACTATTGCGATGACAAGAAGCAGGGCACCAGCAGCGTACAGCTTCTGCTTCCATTGCGATCCTTCGTATAGCCAGATGTAGTAGTTGTCATCGTTTGCGTCCTGGTGCTGCTCGATCTTTACTGTCCACAAGCCCTTGACACGCTTAGGCTTCGCATGGTTGTGACCTTCGTGCGCGTTCTCGTCGACCTTTGTGACTCGAAGCGCAAGGAGAGAGAGGGGTAGGAGCTTGAAGCAATTCTCGGCGGACGCACGGTCGTTGACTTCGGGGAGGAGAGGGTTCTTAGCACGGGCTTTCTGGTATGCAGGCGACTGGAGCGCGCGGATTGCTCGCTTGACTGTTACAGATTAGCAGATATCCTCCTAGAAGTAGGTTGTCGTATCTAATGCCCACCTCTGAACATATCCTTCCTCTTCTCGTCGTGTACAACCGTCCGAGGTTTCAGGTCCTGCGACTTCAGCCAGTTGGCGACCGCAATCGCTTCTGGTTTTGGCGGTCCAGGCTGAATAGGCTGCTGCTGAGCCCGCTGTTGCGCCTGCATTTGCGCCTGCTGCTGGGCCTGCTGCTGAGCCATTGCTTGTTGTCTCAGTCTTTGGACGTATTCTTGAACTGATATTCCGTGTTTCTGTGCCTCTGCTTGAAGTTGCATTTGAATCTGTTGTATCTGCTCGGGCGTGGGCCTTTCACCATTGGGTCCTAGGGGAATGGGAATAGAAAAAGAGCCTGGTGGTGGCCCGCCTTGAGGGGGACCTTGCTGTGGTGGGGGACCTTGTTCGGCCATGGTGAAGGTGAAACTCGTGGCCGCGGGCGGGATAAGTTGCAGCGGTGACTATGCGAAAAATCGCTTATGGTGGAAGGCGTACGGAGAGATATGGGTTCTGTGACTGACAAGAGGGACATTCGTAATAATGCCAGATTACATCAAACCGCGACTGCTTTCGGTTAGTCGACCATCCCAGCCGCGGCGAATGGTAGGGCCGGCTTGGCAGCCGCCGATGCAACAAAATCTCTGCGAGCTACAGACCTTTGCTTTCTTCACTATCATACACGACAACTTGCACCACACTCCCTTGGACGCCTTCACGACTACACCCATTGGTCTGCACCCTGCTCATGGCCATGACTATCCAACGTCGCCGTTACGCCCCTGTACTGGGTGAATACTAGAGACGCAGTATATGTCGAAAACTGCGACCTAGATTATCTCAAACTAATCGTAGCTACTCAGTACCTGCATCCAATCTACGTCTCTGGCTGCTATGCGCCCGAGGGGCAAGCCTGGCTTTTGCGACACGGCGTCAAAGTTCGCTTGGAACGGCGGCGCCTTGTGTCGCTTGAGCGCACGCAGTGCATCGATAGACAGTCCCGACAAGCAAACTTGGATATCAATATCAAGTCAGCTTGATAGCTCGCTACCTGGCGGCGATTCTTTATGCTCGTGATGTTCACTTCACCAACACTCTGGCCCTTACTTCCCTTACTGTATAGGCCTATTTTGGTGTGAAGAAGAGGAAATGACCCATTACTCACCGCGTTGTCTTGCCTTTTGGTTTGGCTCCAGTGGTCCTTTTTCGAGGTCAACATACACATACATGGAAACATGTCTCTTGATGAGCATGCTGTCAACTATGCAGCTTACGCTTCCGACCTATGTCGGTTTCTTGGTACACTATGCGGATCGACATGCGCGTGGCACATGAAACGCGGCATCAGTGATGACTTCCTCTGCTGGTGATTCGACATGTGAAGGCCGACATAAGCATGCGTGTGGCGTTTCTGTCAGCCATGACGAACAGCCAGCCGTACGCGGCGGTAGTCTTGCCTAAACACAAGAGGTGTCCGGGGCGCCTCATCTTCTATGCCCTAAGCTCAAGCAGAAGGCCCGGCTCGACGAAGTGACAAAGAAAGGGCACGGCGGGCTGTTGGGTCATTGATGCATGGTGGTGGATATTGCGGCACCTGCATTGATGGACGCGCTGGTCGATTAGAGGGCTGATTGGCGTTGGAGATCGCCGTGAACGTTGGAATGGACTAGGGCCCTTGCAAGCCGCCGTCTCTCGCGGCTTGATGGCTCTGCAGCCCGCCCAAGTGGAGTTGTGGACGCGCAGTGCGGAGAGCATCAGGACCGACTTTTCTTTTCAACGAGTCGGTGTGGGAGAGATCGGTATATTGCGCGCCATCTAGACATCTGTCCGGAGACACATATCGTGAGGCCCGGCCGTCAAGCTCGATCATCGATCATCACCGGAAACCCCCAGACGCCTGTCGTGCTGCGGCAGGGATCGCTCCAAGCCACCACTCGAACGACTGAGTGCATACGGAAGTGGATAGGCCTGCCGCTGCTTGGTCTCCGCCGCACCACACCTCGTCATCTCTCGCGCCCGCCTATCCGCCGACAGTGTGAAAAAGCAGGCATCGCCGCCTGTGCTGAGCGCTGACATTCTCGCCCTCCGACTCGGGCGCTGGATAGCTGCAGACACGCAGCCAGACAGAAACGACGTGACGGACCGCTGCTGCGCCCCAGGTCGCAGCCCGTACCACGCTTATCCTGTGCTCGAAACCCGCTGCTGTGCGCCCTCCGCGCAGACGACTCCCGTTCCGCGACACGACGCCCAAACCGCGTCCTACATACGACCTACGATCGCGCAAAGCAGCCGCCAGTGAGTGCGCAGCCAGACAGGCGGCTCTGGTGCATGCGAGTGGGTACATTCCAGACAGACACGTCTAGGGACCCGCCCTTACATAGACACCGGACACTGCTGTCCTCGCATATCCTCATCCATCACACGCTGACTGACGCCTGAGGCGACCGCCACACTCCTCACCTATCCAACCCCGTAAAACACCCGCCATTGCCGACGCCGTACACAGACGCCCCTTTGCTGCTCCGCGAAGCCTTTACACGAGCGGACAGCATCTGCGACCACCGTATCTCCAACTACCGCCGGGGTCTCTGCTGGTGACGTGCCAGTACGGGGACGCCCGGTGCTGAGGAGTCTTAGTCACGCCCCAAAAGACATGTCAGTCGTAGCAGACGGGCGACGATTTCGCGAAGGCATCGGCACCAGTCGCTCCTGGTGAGGCTGTGTCGTAGACCAATCCTACCCTACCACCTCTGAACATTACACCCACAATCTCTCTGATACACTGTCATCGCCCCAGAGTCCCTCTAGCGGCTCCCCCACCATGACTATGGTTCGGCAGTACCCCCCGCAACCGCCGTCGCAGCTTCCCTCGACCGTGGCCTACAACAACATCGCACCTGCCCCATCTCACCCCTCGTTCCTTCGCAATGCCACCAACCTCGAGGGTCATAGCCTTGCCCAGCACGCAAGACCGCAGCAGTACGCCCATCCGCTATCGAGACATAACTCATATGGCTCGCAGCCTTCCGAAGCTGGCCGCACACCTAAACCTGCAGAGCACATGCTTCGCCGTAAGACGCCTAACGGAATCTTGGCAGCTGCGTATGATGGCACATCTGTTGAGAAGAACGGAGAGCCACATGCAACCAAACACATCCTTCTTCCCGTGACAGCTGAATCAAAGTTACCGTACGGTGTCAAGCAGGACCTTCCTCTGCGCTCACCGGGTATCAACAGTGGCCTAGGACATAACCCACAGGACACGTCAGAATGGAGTCCCAGTCGCTACTTCGAGACCGGCACAGGGCTCCCGGGCCAGCATCTACCCCAGATTGATTCTATGCTCAACCAAATTCCTCCATTGCAACCTCTTCTACCCTATCAAATGTACGGCCATCCCTTCTGCGGACCCATGGGCCCACCCTTTCAGACGCCGCTGAATCCAACTGTTTCTAATGACCAAGGGCCGTTCGGACCCTATTGGCACGACGGCACTTACATTCCCTATCGCCCTGCTGCTATGCGGGATCCTCGCTTCTTACATCATCCCAGTCATAACTGGAGTCACCCTCACAGTAACGCCTACAATAGCCACGCATACAATGCCATGCCCAACTATACTCACTATCAGCAAAACCCCATTCACCTAGATTATGGCCAATCCGCGTACAACCATGCAGGGAGGCCGTCAGTAGACTTCCCACCCTATGGACAGCCTCAAAATCATGTCGCGCTAGACTACCAGAATCAGTCGCTTCCTCCTCCGCTTACACAACGTGCCCAGGACTATCTGAACTCTGGCCAGACAACGCCAGTCCAAGAGTTCACCCCGGCTATACCGAACGACGAGTACGGGCTGCAGTCACCAAATGGCCAAAGCAGAGAGAAAGTATTCGCTTGGGCTCACGCAGTATATGTCGACCTACTCAGGTACCTGCAATCAACACGCAAATCAAATTCACAAAATGCTCATGGTCGCGTCAATCACAGACCCCACATCTATCCGAAGCCACCACGACAACCTGGACTCAGCCTTTCGAGTTCTGCTACTGGTAGCATGCCGTCTCTAGAGCGACGTGTCTCGTATCCTGTTCCTACCCAATATGCTTCCCAATCCAGAACAGAGTTCGCATCCAGGAGACCTGCAATGCCGCATTCGCGCTCTCTGTCTGCGTGGTCAATAGGCAGTGCAGATCCCAATGGTCAATCTTGGCAAGGCATGGCGCCACAACACCCCATGCTCCCCCCAATGCCAGGCATGGAGCCACCACGTACCCTACGGCGAACTTCCGGCTCTGTTGCCAGCGCTCATCAAAACCTCCGCCAGGGTTTGCCTCCGAGCATGACGGCTGCCTCAGCACTCGAAGCGATCACCAAGCATTGCGAAGAAAGTAAATGGAGCTGGATAGATGGCATTCTTCTGGGCGGTTGTCTAGCATATGCACTAGGTGACTACCAAAAAGCCCAGGATTGGTACAAACATATCCTTACGTTGGATAAAGAGTGAGTACACTACGTTCTGAACCCGAAACACACTAACACGACTTAGTCATGTTGAAGCAATATCGAATCTTGCGGCCACTATGCTTGCTCTCCAACAGAAGCGCGAAGCAGAAGACTACTGGAGACGCGCAGTCAAACTTCGACCCAGTTACTTTGAGGCAGTTGAACACCTGATTGGCTTACTTTGCAGTGACCATAAAGGTCGTGAAGCGGTTCAGGTCATTGAAGAAGTCGAACGCCAACTGAGATTCGCCAAAAGAGCTGACGCTTTGAAGAGCCTCGAAGCCGAAAACGAACGGGCTGCTTCCGAATTGAGCGAGTCGAGCGTCTCGGAAGCATCAGATCGGCCCATCTTTGAGTTTGAAGGAGAGGACGAGGCCATCTTCAAGGATCTGGATGAGCTTCCTGGCTCGGACCAGCCGGGCTTCGGTTCAAGCGGATATGCTGTTGCTGGTAGCGACAACGGTCGTGTTCTAGCTCTAGTACATGCCAAGGGCAATATGCTTTACGCTCTTGGTGACAATGCCGGTGCTGCCAGAGCTTTTGAGAACGCAGTGCTCATTGGAGCTGGACCCCACCCTAACGGTATCGATGGCCTCATTAGGCGCATTCTTGCTGTTGTTGGGTACGATGTGTCGGAACGCTCTCCAGGAGGCCGTCGTATGTCTCCATCATCTGATCCGATCCTGTTACCGCCAGATGCGGCTACTAGGACGGCTCAGCTTTGTTTCCAGCCGCACGGTCAACTGCCTGGTCTCAAGCACGTTCCTAGTGAAGGACTTTCTAGAAAAGCGGCTATATCGACCACAAGCAACTCTTTGCTGTCACTAGCGAAGATCTTCCAAGACGGTATGGCAACTAATTCACCCAAGACTACCGTGTACCAAAGCAATTACGGTGTGCGAGAAATCCTAGCACTTTACTACCTATCGCTCTCATTACAGCCTAGTCCGTCGACAGCCAACAACGTAGGCATACTCCTCGCTAGCGTACAGCAGTCCGCGCCTTCCAAGGCCAGTCCAATGTCGCATGCGTTCGCACATCCTCAAATTCCTGGACTCGTCCCCGGCAGTGGAGTAGCTCTTGCGCTTGCCTACTATTATTACGGACTCCAACTGGACCAGTCCCATGCACACCTCTACACGAACCTCGGAAGCCTCTTGAAAGATATTGGGCAGCTAGATTACGCCATAAACATGTACGAACACGCCGTGAAGTGCGATTCTAACTTCGACATCGCTCTTGCCAATCTGGCCAACGCTGTTAAAGACAAAGGTCGGATCGCCGATGCTATCTATTACTACAAGAAAGCCGTTAAATCCAGTCCTGACTTCGCTGAAGCTGTTTGTGGGCTTGCCAACGCCCTCAACTCTGTCTGTAACTGGGCTGGTAGAGGTGGCATTGCTGAAGATGGTGGCTCGAGAGATCGTTGGCACGTGAACGATAGCGGCATGCTTCTGGACGCAAGGATCCCTGGTGCATCAAGCTCCGGTTGGATTCATAAGGTTGTTAAATTGGTCGAGAAGCAACTTGCCGATGGTGAAGATTGGGGTCGAGGCATGATGAATGAACAGTTCATTTATGATGTTGTTCGTCCATTGTCCCTCACAGGGAGCGTACAAGATGTAAAAGAGAAGGAAACCAGCATGGTATCTGTCTTGCATAAGTGGAAAGGACAAAAGTGGGAAGGCGCTCGCATCGTGCGACTTGTCGAGCGTGCTATACGATGGATGACTTGGCAATGGTACCAGGACCGCTACATTACTGGAACGCAGCGACCGCCGATGTCTTACAAGAGGCCCCAACTGCCAGCAGCTCTAACGGTACCCGCAGCACCTACCGTCCTTCCTTTCCACACATTTACGTGCCCTATGTCAGCTAAACAGATTCGTCTCATCTCGCAACGCAACGGACTACGCATCTCGACCTCGACGTTAAGGGTCCCTTGGCTGCCGCCAACCGTCTACCAGCCTCCTGCGCCACCACAACCATATCTGAAGGTTGGCTACGTATCGTCAGATTTCAACAATCACCCATTAGCCCACCTAATGCAGTCGGTATTTGGTCTTCACAATCCAAGCAGAGTAAGGGCATACTGTTACGCTACTACAGCGAGTGATGGATCGGAGCATCGCAAACAGATTGAAAGAGAATCGCCGGTGTTCTACGATGCCAGCAGTTGGTCAGCGGAACGACTTGTCCATCAGATAACTCACGACGGTATACATGTCCTTGTGAACCTGAATGGTTACACTAGAGGCGCACGAAATGAAGTTTTTGCTGCCCGTCCTGCACCCATCCAGATGGCTTTCATGGGTTTTGCAGGCACTCTAGGCGCCGAGTGGTGCGACTATCTACTCGCCGACGACACCGCTGTACCTCCGGATACCCTCCGACAGTGGCGCCGTAACGTCGATCTCGAAGATGCCCTCGTAGATGACAACAGTGGTGGAAGTGATGAGGAATGGATCTATGGAGAGAACATTGTCTTCTGCCGAGACACCTTTTTCTGTTGTGACCATCGACAGAGTGCTCCGGATTCACAAGGACGACAGCCCAACTGGGAGGAAGAGCAGCAACGACGATGGGCCATGCGCAAAGAAATCTTTCCGAACCTCTCGGACAATGCGATCATTCTTGCAAACTTCAATCAGCTGTACAAAGTAAGTTTATTCATGCCATAACTAGCAAGTCGGTCGTATTCTAACATTTACCGTTAGATTGAGCCTACTACGTTCCGTACCTGGTTGCGCATTCTCGAAAAGATACCTAATGCAGTCCTGTGGCTCTTGCGATTCCCCGACCTTGGCGAAACGAACCTCAAACAGACAGCTCTTCTCTGGGCAGGTGCAGAGGTGGCAAGTCGCATCATGTTCACCGACGTCGCGCAGAAACATCAGCATATCTCCAGGGCCCGTGTGTGTGATCTCTTCCTCGACACACCAGAGTGCAATGCACACACGACTGCTGCCGACGTTCTTTGGTCTGGAACACCGCTGCTTACGTTACCCCGCTATAAATACAAAATGTGCTCCCGTATGGCAGCCTCGATTCTTAAGGGTGCGCTACCGAAGACGCCAGCGGGTGCGCAAGCGGCAAAAGAACTCATTGCCATCAACGACGATGAATACGAAGCCATGGCTGTTCGCCTTGCGCGTAATTGCACCTACAATGGGCACCGAGCCCAGGGCCGCCTGAGTGAGCTTCGCCGTATGCTTTACGAATCACGATGGACAAGTCCACTTTTCGACACCAAACGATGGGTCAGAGACCTAGAAGACGCTTATGAGATAGCATGGAAGAAGTGGGAGAAGGGTGAAGGTGGCGATATCTGGTTGCAACATGAACAACCCTCGCGCGCTTAGCGATTTACATTCATCCTTCTATTAGACCGACGGCATAGCGTCTCTCTGAGACGAGCATTACACATACACCTGGGTTAGACCCTGTGGGCATATTTTCGAAAGGCTTCTGGATTTAGCGAGCACGTACGTTCGTCGTTGTTACTGTTCTTTGTTCCTATACCCCATATTGATTTGGATTGGATATTATGGATGTTTAACTAGGTTTATATGGCACCATTTGCCGTTTGTGAACGGAGTAGATAGCTTCAATCGCTTTCTCGGACCGCATTTTCTTCGGCGTTGGCTGGACGGCATGGCATTGTGGTAGAACCAAATATCACTCACTGATCGCGTTCACTTTTTGCGCTTGTCATAAACTGGAAACGTATCCTAGCTGCGCGCGATGCCCAACGTTGGTTCAATGGGGTTATTCAACTCTAAAAACAGAATCAGCTCAGTTTCTTGAATGTCAAGGTTTGACGTGTACGACCAACACTTCTCCGCCTGCATGTACACATCGTCGTTTAACTATTCGCTTTCTTCAATAGACAACATCGAGTGTGAACCGGCGTTTTACGGTGATTCTCCTTATTCTGGATAAGGAGCTGCGAGTTCGATCGCGACACTAGCAATGCTTAGCGCGATCGCACCTCCACTGATCCTTTCCCCTTGGATCCGACCAGACACACTACAGCCAACGACATCAATTGTTTTCAGATTTCTTGGTTGACACAAATACCATCTTTACTCACATTCGACGCGCTATGGCTCCACGCAAAAAGACCGCTATAGCAGCCAAGTCCAGCAAGACTGCGAAAAATAGCCAAACTAGCATCACTGCCCCGTCAGCTTCTCTGGTAGCAGCGCTACCGCCATCGCGCGTGCACGATACGTCATACCACTATCCCTTACTTCTCAGCGGCCAGTCTGGATGCGACGCGCTGTTGAGTTGGTTTAGTGGCGTCGCGGAGACACGTAGCATGCCATGGAGGAAGAAGTGGATTGACCCGGACGAGTATGAAGACGAAGAAGAACTTGGACGCGTCTTATCAAAGAGGGCGTATGAGGTTTGGGTGTCTGAAGTTAGTAAGTACGCGTTTTAAATGTGGGTGGTTGCAAACATTGGGCCATCAAGAACGCGTAAACGCGCTGTCACGTGTTCTTCCGGGAGCTGTTGCCGGCTCTTTCTCATCACTATTCCACACGTCTAGCCAGCTTCGGATTGGGTAGGATTTCGACTGACCTGATTTCAGTGCTCCAACAAACTCGCGTTTCGACAGTTATTCCCTACTTCAATAATTGGATCGCAAAATGGCCTACGGTTCAGGATCTTGCCGAGGCAGACCATGACGATGTCCTCTCTGTGTGGAAGGGGCTTGGTTACTACTCACGTGCCACACGCCTTCATGAAGGTGCGAAAGCCATGATCGCCAAATCTGCCGGTGCTTCTTGTGCTCTTCCGAGTGGTGCCACAGAGCTACAAGAATTCCCCGGCATTGGACGATACACTGCGGGCGCAGTGTCGAGTATCGCATTTGGCGAGGCAGAACCCGTCCTCGATGGTAATGTGATGCGCGTGCTTAGTCGACAGCTGGGCTTGTACATGGACGTCAAGGACAAGAAAGCTACCGACGTAATGTGGGATATGGCGGATCAACTCATCAAACATGCCTCTAACTTTCCGGAAACGCGCACAAGTGCCGTACCAGGGTTATGGAATCAAGCGCTCATGGAGCTGGGTTCCACTGTCTGTACGCCGCGACCCAAGTGCGATGAGTGTCCTATTCAGGCGACATGCAGGGCCTATAGCGAAGGCAAGGCGTTATCTGACAAGCTTCAATCACCGGCTGTAGTACCTGACATCGAGGATGCATGTTCTCTCTGCGCGTCTCTGGACACCGAAGATTTGGTTGCAGTTGCTGAAGATGCAGCAGATGATGAGCCGCCGCAAGCGACCAAGAAAAGAAAGGTGACTACAAAACAAAGCAACAAAATCTCACAGTACTTTGCTGTTGGCACACCCAAGTCAAATGTGGACACCGAAGACGATGAAGAGGATCGTGGCAGTCCACCTGCTGAGGATTTGAAGAAGCGGAAGCTATCGCTACCTACCAGGGAGTCAAAATCGATCCCGACATACTGCTCGCTCTTCCCGAAAAAGGTGGCGAAGAAGAAGTCCGCTGAAGAAGATTGTGTAGTGTGCATGGTAGAGTTACGCTCAGCAGATGGCAGCAATAAATGGTTAATAGAGCAAAGGCCCGCCAAAGGTACGTTGTGCACCACCATGCTAAAGCACTGCTGACGAATCTGTGAAGGTCTCCTCGCATCACTTTGGTACGTAATAAACACATGCTATCATGGAGACATTACCAGGTAGCTTCTCGGGTACTTCCCAACGCACATTACCGTGCAGCTTCGTGTCATGTTTCATGATAGGCCCAATCCTCGGGTTCTCTTATCTTGGTAGTGCAGGGGGCGTTCGCTGACTGTGGCACAGGCAATTCCCGCAGAGCCCGCTGACTGCATCACAAAAGACGCCCCAGCAGCGCAAAACATTGGCGCAGCAGTATACCTCAGGTCTCGACGCCGGCACAACTGATATGAGCAAAGCGCGTTATGTTGCGAGTTTTCCGCCATTGGTCCATGTCTTCACCCATTTGAAGCTTACCATGCATGCCTATCAGTACAGGATTGACGCCGATAACGCCGACCATATCGAACTTATATGCAAGGGCCCGCCCGCCCGCAAATGGGTAGACAGTGGATCCATGGACAAGGAGACGTTGTCCACGGGTATGCGCAAGTGCTGGGACCTTGTTTCAAAGAGTCTTCATTGATGTGGTGAGTATTTGCGACCGAGGGAGCTGCGGATGGGTCCCACATGCGAAGTACCCCACGTCCCGTTATCTTTTGCCAAGCGATACACATGGCTTCCGCCTTCCGCCTTCTTGGCTGTATCCACTCCTCCTCCTAGTGTCCTGGGGAAGTGGAACGATAAGGAACGTTAGGTGCCTCTAACTATGCCAGTCAAAGACATTCCTTCCTTCCCATGACTACGGTTCCGCTAGTGGAGTGCTGATTGGATGCATACGACGCGCTGCATATCATGATATCCTGGGAAAGACATGGTACGCTCGTGCGACCGAGATACGGGTGGAAAAGGAAGGCCTAGATATAAACATGGTAATTCCCCGGGGGTTTGGTTCTACAAATTGCTCCAGGTACACAGATCTTAGTATTTTGCTCAGTCGAGCGTAAGCAACCTGCTGCTAACATGGCGGATGTGCCAGCACCAACCCCAATCACTGAATGGCCGGATTATGCTGTCGACCCTAACGGTGGAAATGTTATGACCACTGACCTCAACGCGCTCTACGACAAGGGCGACCTGTGCTGGATGCTGGTTAGCACAGTACTATGTTGGTACGCTACTTGCTTTTCACATCTACTGGAAAATACTAATTGTGAGTAGGCAAATCACACCTGCGATCGGTTTCCTTTACGCAGGAATGCACCGCCGGAAAGCAGCGCTTACCATGATCTTTCAATCCCTTTTCTGCGCATGCGCGGTAGGCATCCAATTCTGGGTGTACGGTTACTCCCTCTACCAGTCACATACCACGGGTCCTTTCATAGGAGATTTGTCCAAAGCAGGTTTACACAACACTCTTGGCTCACCTTCGCTCGCGAATGCGGATATCCCAGACATCCTTTATGCCGCCTTTGGTTTCACGTTTGTCACCTGCACCGCAATGATCTTGGCAGGAGCGATGCTTGAGCGAGGGCGTCTAGGGCCGTCGATGATATTCTTGCTCTGCTGGACCACTTTCGTGTACTACGTGCTCGCATATGCGGAATGGAATCCTAGTGGTTGGCTTTACAAACTCGGAGTCCTCGATTTTGCGGGTTCTGGTCCTGTGCATATTGCGTCTGGATTTTCTGCTTTAGCATGGGCGTTGATGCTGGGCAAGCGTGTCGATCCGCACAAGGAGTCGCATCATCCCAGGATTCCGCACTTCAAGCCTCACAGCCCTTTTCTTGTTGGGCTCGGCACGATATTGATCTGGTTCGGATGGTTTGCGTTCAATGGTCAGTAGCGAGTGTATGTTTAGATTTTGAAGAGACAAACTGACTATGTGTAGGTGCCTCTGGTGCTAATATCACCATTCGTTCTGTTTACATCGTCTGCAATACCAACCTCGCAGCCTGTGGCGGCGGTATGGCATGGGTCTTACTGGAGTATATATTCACCCGCAAGTTCTCGATTATCGGCTTTTGCTCAGGCATCATCTCCGGCCTTGTCGGTATCACGCCGGCCTGCGGATTTGTTCCTGTCCAGACATCGGCGCTGATCGGTGCTCTCACTGCTTGCGGATCCTTCTTCACAGTCCGATACAAGTACCTCCTCGGCATTGATGAGGGTCTAGACATCTTCGCCATACATGGTGTTGGCGGCTACATCGGCGACATCATGACCGGTTTCTTCGCTGCGCCCTACGTACCCGCCATGGACGGCGTAAGCAATTTCTACGAGGGTGGCTGGTGGGCTCGGAACTGGAAACAAATGGGATACCAGCTGGCTGCTGCGACTACATGCGCAGCATGGTCATTCGTCATTTCGGCTATCTTGCTGTTCATTATCAACAAAATTCCTGGTTGTCATATTCGCGCGACCGAGGACGACGAGCTGAGGGGACTCGACTACAAATATTTTAGTGATGCGGACGAAGACATGATGGTCTTGACCGGATATGGGCCTAGGACTCCTGGATCAACAGCATCGGGTGCTGCGAGTGGATCCGATAGTCATCAAGACGTACCTGTTGTAACGGAGAAACAAGATTGATGGGGAGGATGTCCGGAGATGACGCTCTGTGCTACTCGTACAGGTCGGTGGCATGCCTTAATTTTCCACTCCCGCAACACTGGCCGCTCGTTTTCACTGGGTTCGAAAACATCCTGCTAGATCATGCTCCTGTATTTGAATATTGTTCCAGTCTTCTCGATAGTCTTCTGCCTTCCGTATTCAGCAATAGAGACGCCATTATTTCGTCTGGTTTGTCTTACTTATTCTTATCACTTGCTTGTCCCATTCTAGGCATCTTCATCTCGCTTCCTGAACGCCACACATCATTCAATTGGCTAATCATCATCGGGTTGCTTTAATGTACCGCGGCATAACGCAGGTCCCAATCGTTAAATCTAACGCGCTTTCCTCTCGCACGGCGCAGCGTCCTCGGCTCCACAAGCGACGCGCTTCTTGTCACTTTGTCGGAAAATCAGCAATCCAGCAAGCATCCAGGATGAAGTCAATCGTCGCAATGGCTATCAGTTCCACTACTGTAACGGTTACTGCCGTGCCAGATCCACTTATCACCCCACGGGCTGAACTTGCACCCCGGCAGACATCATCCGGAGATGATCCTGCGCTGCTTGGCTGGGTGGACGCGACGAATGGACAATGTAAGCCGCGCCACTAATCCAACATCCATACTACACCATGCTTCGCCTCTATCAGCACATTGCCGCTAATTGCGCTTCAACGTAGGGTCTGATCTCCGCTCTTGCGATTACCCAGCCACCTACTCGACCTCTGGATCGTACGCCCAATGTTGCGCGCCCGGCAGTTCGGACTGCATCTTCTGGTCATCTTGTAGTGCCGCAACTCTCTTCTCACCACAGACAAGTTTATTCTGCGACCAGGGATATTGTAACACTGCAGTCGTGGTGCCGACCGTTGGTGCTAGTGGGGGTGTAAGCTACCTGGGTTGTTGGGCGACAAGTCTGGGGCAGGAGCCATTTACGCTGATCAGAGACATTGGAGACGGTACGTATGGCATGAGCTTGCGTGGTCCGGAAAGATGACGTGCTGATGTTTTTGTAGTTGATGTTGCGCCGTCTTCATCGACTGTGTCTAGCGAGGACAGCACCGCGAGTGCCTCACCTGATTCTACTACCGCCTCTGGATCTACCTCTGAAACGTTGACTAATGGGGCTGAGTCTTCTACCAGTGCCACTCCGACGACGGGTGCTGCTGCGGTTGCTATGTCGGGGTCATTTGCTGGTATGATTGGCTTGCTCGCGATGCTGTTCAGTATGATTTGAAGCGAGACACGACATTCTGAAAGAACAACATGATCACGACTCATGAGTTATTTCACTGTAATAATAGGAAATCAACTGGTGTGTGTTGGAACATATTCCCATCAATTTTAGAAGTCGCCTGCTGAGCCGTGTCATCTGGTTGGGCCGACGGTAAGCTTGTGAAGTACCCACCGGCGACAGCTATGCGGATGCAAACTTTGGTGGTAGTACTAGCTAATCGTCAACACTGTCGTTACTGTTGTCGACTCAACAGGTGTCTTCTTCAGTGATCGTGCTCACAGGCACTAGTAGCAACCGAGGTTCCCGAGCAGCTTGTACAATCAGCCTTAGTACCAACGTGACGTCGCACAATCTTTATATAACCGCAACACCGCCACATCGACGGCGAATCGACTATGCAGATCGCGCAACACTACATAACTTCATCCCTGTCATATCTCGTCATCGTTCGGTAAAGCATGAGATCGCTTGAGATACCGGGCGCTAGACAATTCACAAGTCACTTCCATCGCAGAGTTCTAGAAAATCTCGATCCACAACGAAGGCTCAAGCGTCCCAAAATACTTTTGCGTTCTCCACCTCTGCCACATGTGCTGCAGCCCACAGTAAGCATGGTCAACAAGTTCTGTGGCTTCGGAAGCCATGTTGCCAGGCCGGTCCGACGCCGAGCAAAAACGAATGTACTCTTCGATGTTCACAACTCGCCGACTCAAGACAGCGATTCTGTGAACACAGCCATCGCTGCACATACCAAAGATCCAGAAGAGTGCGCAGTCCGATGTCTGTAGACATCGCTACCTGTCGTCGATCAAATAACCTGGGGTTGATCTACCCAATTTTGCGGTTCAGGGACAGGATGGAGACGTAAAAGCGATTCCTGGTTCAGGAGCACGATAGCGCGCGACTGAGGAAAGGCCAGGGCCTCAGATCACCGTAGTATGGGTTGGACCCTTCTGAGTACATGCACTGCGAACAGTGGTCTGACCACTGCAAAAGGCTAACACAACGTAGTTTCTCAACATTGGGCTACGCAAATTTTCATGTCCCCAACAACATTTATTCCGTAAGAGAGGGGCATGAATGACATGCGACTTTCGAAACTTGATTGCTATCCACACGGAATGGTGTCTGCAGCACATATGGTATCATCAGTCGGGTAGCCTTATCCTATCCTTCTCGCCTGATACGAGATAATGCCGGTGGTTGTAATGCTAACTATGCCGCACGAGTCATAGCAAGCAAGATGTATTGCCTCTCCCGTACTAGTGGTACACTGCTAACCTAGAATAAACACGAGATCTGTGGATATACAATAGTCCCAGTCGCTAGGGCTGCAGAGCGTTCGAACGGTTTGTCAAAAGAGCATGCGCTTGCAAGCATGCGTCTCTGCACGATTGTGGTTCTTCACCCACAGACATGTTCAGACAGGATCGGAAAGAGCTTCTGAATACGGGGGGCTCCACTGGCAGTTTGACTTATCTTGTCGCGTGTTCTTGTTTGCCTTTTGACTTCTTTTTTTCGTTACGCTCTGCCATCTGTGTAGCACTTGTTCGTTCGCTCGGCCATCAACACTCACTTCACTGATAAGATCAGAGGGATATAGTTAATGCTATACCGTTCTTATAATACTTAATATCCTCACGATACTGGCTATTCCATCTATCGTTTTCTCATACACCACGCCATCGACGTTTCGGAGCAACGAACAGTCAACGCCTTATTCACGAATCTCAACATGCCCTCAACGACCACCATGAAGCAAAGTCTTGCCACTGCTGTTCTTGCAGCTCTCCCATTAGCCACCCGTGCTCAAGGCACTACACCTCCAAAGGTCGCTGCCGCCTGTAATGATGTAGCAATTTTCATGGCTCGCGGCAATGACGCTCCATACCACGATGGCCGTACTTCGCCTTTCATCGATGCCACTTGCGGCAAATTCCAGGCCCAGGGCAACTCCTGCGATTATATGGATATCGTCTTCGATGCTACCCTCGGTGTGGAGTTTTGCCCTACAATCCAAGAAGGTGCCGTCAACGGCATTAGGCAAATTACCGAGTACAACGCCCAGTGCCCGGACACATTGATTGTAATCAATGGTTACTCGCAAGGTGCTATGGTTTCCGGAGCTCTTTTGAGTGGTGGAGGCGAGGATGCATGCAACGTCGACTCACAAACTCTCGGACTCGACCCTACCTCACAGGCTGGCCAGGCTGTCAAGGCAGCTCTTCTCTGGGGCGATGTTAAGCACACTGCGAACCAGCCTTACAACGTTCTTGATGGAGCAGACAAGCAGGCTTGGCCCCGTACCGGCGCCAACCTTGAGCGCCTGAACCGCTACTCCGCTGTCTTGAGGTCATACTGCGCTGCTGGCGACCCAGTCTGCGCTAATGGAGATGTCATTGCCCAGCATTTGAACTACTTCGAGCTTTACACCGAGGAGGCGTCAAGCTGGGTTGTGAGCAAGCTCACACCTCTCCTGGTCAAAGCTTCATCGTCTGCTGTGCCCTCCAGCTCGGTGGCTCCAGCTCCCTCATCCACAGCTATCCCCGAGGACTCTACGACTGTGGTCACATCAACTGAAACAAGCACCATGGAGGTACCGGTCACTGTCACCAAAGGCGCGGTCAAGCCATCTACTATGATCTCATCATACGTCCCTGTCACCATCCCTCACAAGCACTACAACGCAACCGCTCCGTACAACAACTTTACAATGCCTGTTTCAAGCACTGTCATGACCGCCGACAAGCCTTACGAGACTACCTACCTGCCGGTTGAAGAGTCGCACGCTCCCGCTACCACTAAGGCACCAGAGTACTCAGCCGTTGCTGCTGCCTGTCCACCAGCCACCGTTTACGAGACCGTTACCAATATCGTGACCAAATATGTATAAAGCAGCTAGTGTAGGGAGGTTGAATTTGGGGTGGAAATCCTAGGAATCATGCTCGATGAATGTATATAATGCCTATTACAAACGAAAAGTGTTCATGTCTCACGAAAAATTATGTCTTGTATCTCATAATGAAGCTTAAGCTGTATTTATTATGCCTTATTTTCTTGTTGATATCCTTAAATGCCCAATGCCTTTGCGATCGCCTCTCCGACCGCTGTGGCACTCGTCGGGTTTTGTCCGGTGATCAATCGGCCAGAAACGGCGACCTTCTCGCCCCAGGGCTCCGCTGCCTTGACAAACTTGCCTCCGCTCGCCTTCTGCAGCGCATCTTCAGGCAAGAATGGTACAGCCTTGGTCAAGCCCACTTGCTCCTCCTCAGCGTTTGTGAATGCGGTAACCTCCTTTCCAGCAACAAGCAGACTTCCGTCGCTCAGCTTAGCGTCGTAGAAGACAGCGGGTGCATGGCATACGGCTGACACGATCTTGTCCGCCTCCCAAAACTCCCTGATAAGTTGTTGTGACGTCGCGTCGTCGACAAGATCGAACATAGGTCCATGACCACCAACGTAGAAGATGGCATCAAACTCCTTCGCCTTTCCCTTGAAGTCGCTCAGCTTCTGGGTATTCTTCCAGACCTGCTCGTCGTTCTTGAGGAAGTTGACGGATACATCGTCTTTCGCGGCTTCAACGGATGCAGGGTCGAGGGGAGCCTCACCGCCCTTGGGGGATGCGACGGTGATGTTGGCTTTGTTGCGTAGGACGTGGTAGGGGTGGGCGAGCTCTGGCAAGTACCAGCCAGTGGGCTTGCCTGTGTCGCCGAGCTTGTTGTGCGAGGTGAGGACGAAGAGAATGCTTGGCTTAGACATTGTGAAAGTTGGATGATTGATAATAGGTATGGTTGAACTGGCGCGCAGAATGGATATACTTTAAGACTTTTGGAAAAGTTCGATGGCTTTCTGAGAGTACCCTGCTTATGTGACGACATGCGGGGTAGCTACGAGATAAAAGGCCCGATTGTGCGGACAGCTTCTCCTGGCCCCTAGGGCGTCATCTTGGAAAATCCGTGTTATCTGTTCGCCGAGGATGTACCTAGGCAGTATTTCAAGGTGGAATAGAGGATACGATCAGCCAGTCCCTAGCAGCTTCTGTGCGATGCACTGGACTACTCTCCACTAAAATCTCGGAGTAGCTTGCATTTCGAGCGAAATTAGGATGACAATGACGTTTTTGCAGATATAGTCTCCTCTTATGCATCCAAGGATTCTGTCTCGGAAGCATATGCTACCTAGGTAGGGACTTCCATCTTGACCGAAGAACCTCTAACCAACTACTGCTCCATTGTAAAGACGATCATGCGTCGGATGACCTCATGAGATATGGTGAAGCAGCATGTCTTCCAATAGAACCAAGTGCCAGAATCAGAGCGGAGCCTTTTTGTTACACTGATGTATATTGACGCTCCTTAACAATCACCTGCGGTAGCTTCGCCCACCTCAGTTTGACTCTTTGCTAGCCCTGTACTAGATGAAGTTGATATGTTCAGTATCCACGACCCATATTCTTGATTAAGGACGTGATGAAACAGCATGACCGTGAACTCTTTAGATAACGTCAGCCCCACGACTCAATGCATTTTCCTTTTGGTCTCCGCGTAAGCTTAGCACCAGAAAAGGTTGCAAGCCATCACGGCATGATCTTCGATGCGGTCGTTTTCGTCGGAATCACCATATCAGTAGAGTCCAATGACTAGTGAGTTGCGCCAGACCAGCCGCAGTACACATGTTGCAGAATAATATCGGGATGATGTTGAGGTAGAACCGACGCGACTTCAAACGCGTCTGCGCGTTCCTAGGCTTGGCGCACGTGGAAGTCAACCCCTCCGTTCATGACGTCATCATCGCAATTAACACTTGCCGACTTAACAAGCTACTCAAGTACTATCACCGCCGACCTGAAGCTCATCAATAAGCCGATTTTTATGCCGTTGAAAGGTTGGAAATGTAGATGGGCTCTCGGACGTGCTCGCGTTCTGAATCGACAGTTGTAAATCGCATTCCGCTGCTTCAAGCACACATGTACTTATACGGTATCATGGCCGACCTCGGGTATCTGCGACAACCACCTGATTTCCTGAGTATCCATGCCGTACGCTTCCAATTTCGGCGGTCATCCCTACTTCGACTGTACGCGTACGGGGAAGCTTCTGGTTGGTCGACTGTTCAGCTGGGTCGCGCAAATAGCCCGATTTGACCTCGCTTTGCATCCAGAGTGTGGAACACCACGAAGGGCCCACGCTCTGTACGGCCTATACGCGTTCGCGTGAAAGCCACATATATATTTTCCGAATGTGTATAAAAGACGGAGACAGTAGACAGAGTGTATGATTTCGAAAGTACTGTTCAACGTTATGGCCTCTTCCGAGAACAAAACTGTCATCATAACGGGTTGCAGCAGCGGCATTGGCCTAGCAACGACCCTGGTGTTCCTCTCACAAAAGGCGCGAGTCTTCGGTATCGATATGTCGCCCTTCACTCATGAGTTTGACGCCATCTACAACGATTCTTTTACTTTTCACAAAGCCGACTTTTGCGAGCCCGGCGCAGCCGAGGATGCAATATCTGCTTGCATTGCAAAATACGGCCCGAGCATCAACGTGCTAGCCAATGTTGCGGGTATCATGGATGCCTTCAGCAGCGCTGATACGGTCAGGGACTCGGAATGGGAGCGCGTGCTTACCGTCAACCTCACAGTACCTGTCCGGATGATGACGGCTGTATTGCCTAGCATGAAGAATCAACAAAGCGGTTCCATCGTAAACGTTGGAAGCTATGCGAGTCTCTCGGGTGCGGTGGCTGGCATCGCATACACAGCCAGTAAACATGGGCTTGTCGGTGCGACCAAAAACGTCGCGTGGCGCTTTCGGAAGGATGGCATTCGATGCAACGCCGTACTTCCAGGTGGTTCGTATCATCCCTGGTTCTAGGTCCGCGAAAATCTTTTCCTGATGCACTCTCAGCCGTTCCCACCAACATCCGCTCATCGATGGTGCAAGAAAATGTCGATCAGGCAGCAATGGAAGTATACCGGTACGTTATCACGATGCCGAAAGACGCGCACTTACTGACAGGCTCGTAGCCCGGTGCAGGTATTATGCCAGGGCCTCAAGAGGGACGACCTTCCATACGGATCCGTAGGCCCTGACGATATTGCGCAAGGCATTGCATTTCTTGCCTCCGATGCTGCAAAGACGATCAGTGGTGTGGTGATGCCGATAGACAATGCTTGGTCGACTATCTAGGTTGTGATGATGGGCCTGATATTATGAAAGGTGCAGGCTGTTGGCAGGACGGGACGGGAGGCGAAGAGGGACAGTTTCAAAGAGTATGATCAGCCTTTACACATGCGTACGCACGATATACTAAAATGTCTTCGATTATGTGTGCAGCGCTAACTACAAGCGGTGACACATGATCACAAGGGTAGCATACCTACATTATTCTCGTAACACATTTCACGCATTACTCACAATATGATGGCCCTCATACGTCCGGAGACGGTATCGTCCGTACCTAGGTAATCGTGCTTACGATCGGACAGCGGAACATCAGATATCTCGATATCGAGGCCAGGGCAGCGCCACTATGTCGATACATCCTACAAAAGTCAGACCCGCCTACGTTTGTTCGCCTTCAACGGGTTCGATGGCTTCGCAGCTGCCTTTACCCAGTGTTTCGATGGTTGTATTCATGGATGTAAAAGCTTCTTGACAGCAGCTAGACCGAAAGTTAATCTCATGAGTGCTATTGGCATAGACATTGACAATTAAGCGTGTGCAAACGCTACCTACTGAAGAGAACTAGATGGTTTCTTCTACATTATCAATACATCGGACCCGAACTCCTAACAAGGCCGGTAACTCGAACGCGACAATAAGACCATGGTGGTTTGACGTGTCAATGAGTTTGAATTCTGCTGCGATAGTCATCCCTCAAGGGAAGAAGCAGAGGGCTGAAGAGGTTGCAGACGAATTCCACGCAACCAAGAAACTAGATAGACAGGTTTGAGATTGAGGCTTGCTGACATTCAGATCGTCACATTTTATTCATTGGCGCTTTAACAATGAATTTTGCACAGGTCAATGGCCACTGTATCGATTTAATGTATTCTTGGCATTAGTCGCGTCTCGGCTTGTATCTATGCTAAAATCTTCCCTGAATCATCCATCAAATGCTTTATTCTCCACGTCTTTGGATCTTCGCTAAGACTTGCACCCGGAAGAACGAGCTCTGAGAGGACTGGCTGTGAGTACTCAAAGTTCGTTTCGTCTATTGACTCGGTGTCACTTTCCGGCTCTTCTATGGTCACATAACGTCCGACAGTATTCCGAATCTCGGCACTGAGTTGTTTTCTCATGAGAGCGAGCATGACAATAGCGATATAAGCACTCTTTGACTGCTCATACAGACCGTTAAAACATAGAATGAGTGTTGAGAGAAGTGCCTCGCTTGTATCTTTCCGTTCACTGGCTGGGTCTTGCTCGAGTTGTCGGATGGGTTCTAGAGTCAGGTTGGCGAGGTGGACCAAGAAGATTGTGAGCGTCGAGTCATAACTTTCGAAGCTATGGCGAAGGTAGTATATACGTAAGGTGCTTTCTAAGTGAACGCTGGCTTCTGTGACAACCTGTTGTGCCGTGTTGAGTTGGTTTTGCGTCAATGACCGTGCACCTCCATCTTCAGAATATATCTGAGATCTGAACAGAGTTATCAAGACAGCATGATATTCGCAACTATAGACGTATTAGCTTCTATGATGCGCATGTGTGAGAAGGCCACTCACTGTAGTAGCAGGTGAGAGGGGTGCACAATCCACCGAGGTTGGAGTTGAGTAGGCAAACCGCGATACCAAGTTTCCAGTTTTGCTTGAATGTGTAAAGCTGCGCCCCACGGCATCTTCTTCGAGTCTTCAAATCTACTAAAGCACATCACACCAATCTCGTTTTGGACCACACGCAACTCGCTCAAAGCTTTCATTCCATGACCGAAGTCGGTCATGTAATGGTTTCCATCTGCCGGATAATTTAATACTATATCCCCGTACCACTCTGACTTGCCGTGGACGTCAGGAAGCGGATCTGCTGGGATATCTAGAAGACACGGCGGCTTAAAGTAGTAGTAACTCTGTAATCTGAGAAAGGTTAGCCATGGGCTACTGCATATTGATTAGACTTACGATAGCCATGAAGACAGCCCCCATGCAGTGAAAGATTTGGCGTGCTCAAATTTGTCATGATCCACCCGGGGTGCAAAAAGTCTCATTTTTTGTGCCATACTGAGAGCTTTGAGCATATAAGAAAACCCAAGGGTGTCATGGCCGAAGTCGTTCATTGCAGCATTGATCAGACAACCAGCTTGAACAGTGGTAAGTTTGGGCGCTCCGTCCTCTAATTCCCACAGTCGTTTTGCTTCTGCTAAGAATCGATATGGCAGACTGTCTGGATTGCAGAACCTGGTGCGATTACTGAGCACTCGAGAGCTGGCCTACAGTATATTAATGAACCCCCGTCTACGTCAATGAGACATACTTACTCACACAAGCTTTAGCCAAAAGAGCATTGACAAGTAAATGAGAGCAAAACTCGGTTCTTCTTGATACCAAGTCTTCCAGAAAATAAGCTTTGTGAAAAAAGAAATGCCGTAGATACTGATTGATGAAGTAGCCTTCGATGATGTTGCGCAGCAGTCGATCGTTAGAACTAACACTGGTCCAATGCGAAGGTTGTGCATCCTCGAGTAGATTGTCAACCATCCTAGCCGTAGATAAAGACCTTGCGTAATTACTCTTTTGCAGAGCTACGTGTGTTTGCGAGGTACTTCTATCGTAATCGGACGCTTCGATTGCTTCATAGACAAGCGACTGGAAGTAAGTACTGTCTTGAAGGCTTGCCGGTATCTTGTCCATGTACGGAAAGTGAAAGCGCGAGGACGCTTGTGGAACATAAGAAAGCTCCAGGATCAAACTTCCCTCTTGAATGTGTCTTATCACAGCTTCTGCATTTGCACCTGCTCGAATGCGGTGAAAGATGTCGGCTGCATCTCTCTCAGGCAGGGTTTGTAACATATCAAACAGTTCTTCCTGTGCAGTACGTTTCTGTTTGAGCTGCTGATATCTACGCTTGAATTGACGCGATTCAGTCTCACCATGACGACACTCAGTATCTCGGGTCACGCACGCAGTGCACCTAGGCTTTGACCCGTCGCACTGTTGCTATGTCAGCTAAGATCAGAGAAGCTGCAGGGCATATGTACTTGCTTTTGACTTGCGAGCTCGACAAGCCTCGCAAGCGTTGAATCGAGTAGCCTTTTGCTTTTCTGCTGAGTCTTTGCGGATTCCACCAGTAGGGGCAGGTAAGAGTGAACGCAATGGTGGTGGAGTTCGTGCAGATCCTTGTTCCATTCCTTCCAGAGCAGTGACGTCAGCTGTTTTATAGAGGACGTTCCACTGTCAGACTCCGGCCGTTTGGTTCGTCTGCATGACCCTAGGCTGGCCACTCATATAAAAGTGTAGTGACAAGAAGTATGAGTCTTGGTGTGTAACTAGTATGGGAGGCGACTCGAAGAGGAATTTCGTATCGAAGTTTCGTGGCGCCACTTCGGCGCTACTGCCGCAAAGCCAATCAGCTTCAGTATCGAGATCTTCGATCGCCAGTAGCTCGCCCAATTGCGGGCATATTAGCGTGTTTGGCCATCGGCATCACTTAAAAGATCGAACATTTTGCTATCTTGTTGAAGCATCAGTAATATAGTTCTGGTGAGCATTGCCGCTATATCCCCACTTCCCCTAAGCTCAGTGCATTTTGACTTCATCCGACTGATCAGAAGAACCGGCTGTGCACCTTGTCTCCAAAACTGTTCGAATTCACAACCTGCACTCACAGCATCATCATTGTGTAGGTCACGGGTACAAGAGATAAGTGCTTTCATCAACCAATTGTGTGGCCAAGCGTTTGTTTCTCATTTCCGCGATCTAGATCCGATACACAGTGGGGTTCTAATGCAATATGGTAACACAGCGAGCTCTACCTACCAGATGACATCTCTGGTTCACCTCCAATCTCACACTGGACTGTTGAGAGATGGTTTTGTGAAGCTGAAATACTCTAGAAATCTTTCCTCTGTTGGGAAGGACCCCGAAATGCGGTAAATCGAGCACTCGTTAAGGCACGCCACCCCCTCTGACCACTGTCATGATTGTCTGCCACGTCCAGCTAGCATCTGAAAAGTTTGAGCGACAGGAACGAAACACTGTTTAATTTTGCTAAGATGATACAAAAGATTATATTCATATACCACAAGTAGATCGCGTAATGTGTCTTCCACGAGTCGAGCACTTCTCTTAGATGATGTCTCTCCAGGCTTCAAGTCATGGTGGGGTAATAGCGGAAAATGTAAGTTGAGAAGCTCACTAGTGCTGTACCTTTTCCTGGTGGTATCAGACATGGAGATGCAACAATCTCGGAGGCAGGTCTGAGGGCAATCTATTGAACGAGTGACACTACCTGAAGCCAGCCATATCGTTCCACGACATATTGCAGCTGGACATAGCAGAATGCTTCATAGATTGCTACAAGCAGTGGCTGGTCAGGGCCGCTCTACTGTGCGGCCTGCTATCTGCGTCTCGATCTTGGTGTCCTATACGACATCTAGGCAGCGCGGATGTTGATTCTGCGAAACAGTTGAACAAGCTTTCGGTAATTCATTACAATCTAGCAATAATTGCATCGTGGAGTGACGCGTCGATATTGTAGCAAAGGATCAAGTAGTCGATGAATATGCTGCGTGCTTGAGAAGGATGACTGACTGAAGCCTTACATTCCTTTTTTCTTTCTTCCTAAAACAAAAGAATGGGAGCAGCAAGACTAACATTACAACTTTAATTGACATAAACATTTTGTGCCTGTGTGTTTCCTAGATGAGCCTGTGGAGAAAGAACATTGAGTATGCGAGAAAGAGATGGAGAGATGGGGGTAGGCAATTCAGACGACAGTCGCAGGGATCCGCTGGGCACCTTCGGCCTCCACGCGGCACGTACGCGCCGTACCTTACTGTCTTTTCGCGCAACCGCCAACATTCGCGACCTATACATCCACAGCCCAGGCTCCTTTACCAACCAGATCAGGTTACATCATCCCGATCATTAGACTTTGAGCCACCGCCTTTCCTCTTGTCTTGTGAGATAAATGTCACGATTCGGCCCTTCGATGTTAGGCACCCCATACAGCAAGGCCGAGTAATGAAGCCGTACTACGATTATGGCACTGCCTCACACGTTGCCGGCCTACGGTCGCATTAACGCGACTTGATTCGCGCCTACGGTCCGCCACCGTGCTTCTTGACGCGGCATATCGTGGTTATCGACAAACTGGAATGATGGATGGCCTAACGTCTTCATAACAAAGAAATCCTCGCCGATGAGTTCGACATCCCCTCAAAACGTCGCGCATTGTCCAATTCGCGTATCAGACTCTATATCGTGATCGTTCGAGTCTCAACATTGGCTTGTCCCAACATGCGCGGAGATTTGCTGTCGTCAGCATGTCTGCTCCTCGCAACTACACTACCAGCACACGCCGCTTTCTCTGAATTCTTCTTCGCGGGTAACAATGGAACAAGCGCTCTAAAGACCTGTCCTGAATCCTTGTTCGAATGTGCTCCTCCATCAGTCTGTTCATTTGATGACCGAACTCAGAAGTATTATTGTTGCGAACCTGGAAAAACAGACGCCGTTTGCTGGGGGCCTAATTCAGGCTGCGATGGCGGAGACAGTACTACTCCTTCAGGTGGCCAACAAGCCTGTTCATCGGGAGCCAACACCTTTTGTTGTTTAAAATCAAGGTTAGCAAGCGTCTAAATGGCACGATAATCATCATCGAGTATATAACTGACAACGTCTAGTGAGACCTGCACGGAAACAGCAGACCAAATTAACATCTGCTGGAGCCAACTGGACAATCCGATCGCCTCTCTAAATGCGACCGCCGTAAATGCAACAGCGCAATCGCTTGAATCGATTCGACCATCTGCAGCTACATACGCAGTCGACTTGTCTGCTCTACAAACGCTCACATCAACCGCCGCTGCTTCGTCATCACATAACCCAAGCGCGTCAGCACAACAGCCCATCGTTACCACAACGTCATCTACATTGTCTCAAACAACGGCCTCGCACTCTGAGGCAACTTCCAATAATAGCAGCACAGACGGAGGTCTATCAAGTGGCGCGATAGGCGGCGTGGTCGGTGGGTTGGTGGGTGGACTGGCTCTACTCGGTCTGGCTGGGGGTTTCTTTTGGCGCAGATTGAAGAATGGTAAACGCAATCCCTATAAGCCGGCGAATTTACACAATTCAGCCACACACTCAGTTGGTTATCCAAGTGAGATGGACTCAAACCATATCTACACGTCATCACCAGCGACTGAAAAATACGGATATGCAGTCAATCCTGTGTCAGAAGTGGCCGCAGATAGAGCACCAGCAGAGCTCCCAGAGACTTCGTCGCACAGCAGATAGACGGAACGACTTAACAATAAGTTGGAGGCCGCATCGTAGAAAGCAGCGCATGTTTCACCGCAATCACGCCTTTGATATTCGACTATATGAGACTGCACGTCAAATTTCACCATTAGTCGTTCTTTGTACACCTCAGTAATCGCGCACACAAGATCACTCTGTCCTCAAATATTTTTTCAACGAAGGTCACAAACAATCGCTTTGAAATTATCCGTCTTCAGATGTGAAACTTGTTGGTAAGCTCTTGTGGGCACAGAAGTGATATGACCGATCGCGACAGCAGGCCATTACATAACTACAAAATCACAAAGTTTCCTCTCTTGTGCCCCATCATATATTCTATAGATCTCTCCAAACTCTCTCAGACCTCGTCCCCTTCTCAAAACTCGGTCAATCTCTTCCTCGCGCCACAATCCCCATTCCACCCTTCACCCACCTCACATACCTTCCATATAGTCCTGCTACGCTTCTCGTTCGAAGACATAGCTCTCTCTGTCACTCCGGTCACCCTCAACCAAAGTCTTTCGCCCGAGCAGTCGAGTGTTTACGATGTTCAATGGTAATCGGACCATCAAAAGCGTTTCCAGATATGACATGAAGCTCTGACGTAGTGAAGCTCATTCCACCTGTCTTACCAGCAGTTTTTCGTATAAAACTTAGCCCACTTTAGAACGGCCGGCTAAGGCGAAATGAAACCATAAAACTTAACTTCAGGTACTACGACACCTTTGTTGATAGGAAGCGTACCGTGTACGATGAGCAGGACCGGTACACCACTCTTCACAATCTTGTTGGCTTCCCCATCGGCCCTCAAGATCTTCATTGCTGGCTGCTGTATCTGCACCTTTACGGGCACTTCATGGACATAGTCTACCATATGAATATAGTGAATGTCGAACACATCTCCTCCTGCTTTCCTATCTGTAGAGTACGCAAGAGACCCTGGAAGAGCATCGAGTTGCATTAGGTTGTCGTAGACGTGGTCCTGGCTACTGAGCACGTATTCCATGATATTTGTGGCTAAGAGATCTTTGATTCTTAAGGTTATTGGACCGATACGCTCTTGGAGGCCGACGATGCTGTTGCAAGGGTCTGGCGTGAGTTTCGTGAGGCTCAGGGAGGTGTCGAGATCCTGCGTTGATGACTATCCGATACATACTGATCCGCCGGCTTTTAGGCTTGGTTCGACGACGGAGAAATGTATGTTGATCTGTGCGAGGAGATTGATGTCGGCATCCGCGGTGAAATCAGTTGGATCGCCATATGCTTTTACGTTGCTAGGGAGATTGAATGCCTTCTTTCCTGTTTTTGTGACTTGCATGTAAGAGTCACGGAGAACACTGAGTACATCACGTTTCTTGCCAAAGGAGGAGAGACGATATGTCAGATGTGCATCCGAGGCCATTACGTTTTTCCTGAGGTCGAAAGATCAACGATGGCTCCCTAGATTGGCGGTATTTTAGGTGACGCTAAATGCAAATTCCTCGCAATATCAAGAGCTGAGCAAACCGGGAGTTGGACATTCGTCATAAAGCCTACATCTTACAAGCGACAGAATGTTGGTGCTCCACCAAAAGTGTACCAAAAGTACACCAAAAATTTGAGATGACGCTGGCAAAGCAAGCGACGATGAAGCGAGGGCCAATACGGTAAGCATCGTCAGCAGATGCCATTGGCTGTAAAGGTATTACAACAGCATGCTCTGCAGATTGGAAATGATATCGTAATAAAGGTAGATTATGAAGAGGAGACAAATCAATCTCATACTGACCTCTTTCTGATAATCCTCAATGGTCCCGGTGGCTCTTCCGTGAGCGTTTCTCCAGTGCACGTCCACTGTATACCCATGGCGGAGCGGAACCAAGGAGTTACAGCGCACGCTAAACCCGTTCCAACTTGTACACACAAACTCGACCCGATAGATTCTCCTTACATCGCGTACGAAGAGTGAGTCTCCTAAGCGTTTGAGATCACAATCCTGATATACGACGAGCATGAAGATGCTTTCCGAGGGCCGCGAGCGTTAAGGGGATGGAGGTGACAGGGACAGCGGAACGGTCGGCACGGGCCCGGGTAAGACGGCAACGACAGTCTTGGCGATTTCTCCGCGGCGCACTTGGCATGTTTTGGATTGGGCAATGAACGACAGGGGGAATGGATGTCAGATTCTGGGGAATTGAGTCTCAAGTTGATCGGCGTTCACTAGGGTCCCTGCTCGATATGATTAGAGAGAAGGGGAGCAGAGTGGCCTGTAGACCACACTCACAAATGATGCGGAGGTAGATCTGACTGCGGTAGTGAAGACAGATACGTGAAGCTCAACGTTGGTCTATATTGCACATTTAAACGAGAGACTAAAGCAAGATATACAATAGAGAGCGAGCGATATGTATGATACATACCCAAAGATGAGTGCACCCTTCAATACCCTTGTCCGATGTGTGCTCCTCCATGTTGCGTACAGCTTCCGTTTTACTTTAACGCGTACCGATCTCTCCGTAGTCCTCTCGGAAAGCCGTCCACCACGTGTGTTGCTGAGCAATACTCTGGCGGGTAACCTGTCAAAACCCTCAATCTTGTACCTTTCTACTGGCGCAGGTTGGTCTTCTCATGAGCATAGTCCTCTGCAAACCGAATTGCCTGTAGCTTCTGGGCGTAATTGACAGCCTCGCTCTGAGAGTTCGATCTGAACGTAGCATCACTATCTCTAGCCTGGTTGTTCCACCTGTACAGTTCCGGGCCAGGACCCATAGACACTGGACGAGAGAAGCGGTTGTGCTGGTAGACTGAGTTGCGCTTGGCGTCCACTCTTGTGTTGTTGGGGAGTGGTTCGTGGACAGATAGTACGCGGATCTCTGCAGGTTCAGCTTCCTCGATCGGTGGAATCTTCTTGTAGCGATAGAAAGCATCGAGAGCAGGGATGGACAAGCCATGGACGACGATCGAGAAGATGACAAGAAAGTAGACGACCGGAATCATCGCGGCGACCAAGTTCTCTTCCTCTTCGGTCGAAGCTTCGCCAGGCTTAGGGAAAAGATGGCGGGTGTGCTCGACGTAGAAGACAGCTCCGATACCTGAGATACGTTAGCTTCCCGCGTGCTATGGAGATGCAAGCATTTACTTACCAATGGGTCCGAAGTATCCCATGAATAACGCTTCCTTCCAATCTTTGACACATGCGGGCATAACCTTGTACACCATGAAAATCGCAGGAATTCTGCGAAATGCAAGTATAAGGAACCCAAGGATCATGAGTCTTCCAACACTGATGCCGGTGACCTCTGGCAGCTGGAATTCAGCCCAAGGGATGATGGTTCCAATATACATGAAACCGCCAAAGTTGAGGATGACATCGAAGCAGCTGTTGACTTCGTCGTGGCGCTTCTCTGTTTCTTCCAGGTAGATGCCGTTCCAGTTCATTGCATTACCAGCAACGAAGCAAGCGAGGAGATCGTCTGTACCAAGCGCACCGCAGATACCGATGAGAAACAGTCCCACTGCCATGGGCCAGAGCAGGAGACTCTCGGAGTCGATCCACTTCTTGCGGAGAGAGAACTTGATGGCAAACATGCTGCCAACACCCACCAGCGCCCCGATCGCAACCGACATGAGGATGATGTACAACCAACCTTCGACGATCCATTGCTCCATTGCCATTGGAACACCGCCACCGAGACGGCCAACTCCTTCCTCGCTACGCTTGGAGAGCAAGCCAACCGCGCGGTGGGCGATCTCTTTCACGCCTTCCACGCCTGGCTTCAACTCCAGACCTTCGAGGTCAGCATGGCGTATGAGGTATGTGGCCAGAAGTAGGAATGGAAATCCGAATCCATCGTTGGCTCCAGCTTCCGATGAAATGATCTCGCGTAGTGCACGAGGGACAAATTTGTCGGCAAAAGGACCTTTGGCTACAGCTTGTGACAAGATAGGATCTGTGCAGGTGACGCATGATCCAATTACCAGCGCAGCCAAGAACGAAAGCTTTGGGATGGTGACTAGGATGCACAAGCTTGTGCAGATCCACATGATTGTCATGACGGGGAGTAGGAGGATGGTCATCTCTTTCCAGCGGCCTTGCTGGTACTTGGCAGGAAGTTGGAATCCGGCAATGACGAGCTGCACGCCAATCACGATGCGGCACATGCCCTTCAGTATGCTCAGCAAGGTTCAATCTCAAGCTTTGCATCATTTTTGCTTACCAGCGTGATGGCCTCCCGCTGACCCTCTGCAGCAGAACCCCATTTCTCGGCGTCCAGGAATCTAGCAGCTATCGGCCCTAGGATGATACCGACCAGAACCGCAGGCACTGCAAAGAATCAGTGAGGGTTTCTCAAGCTGCCAAAGACTGGTTACTTACATGCTTCACCCAAGTACCAGACTTGCTTGATCTTGACTGAAAGAAAGCCATAGCAGATGATGAAGGCACCCAGAATGGCAACGACAATGTTGAGCTCGCTAACATCGAGAGTAGGCATCGTGGAAATTCTGGATACCCGGAGTACGGAAAAGACGGAAGGAGATGTTTAACAAGAATGCATGCGCCGAAGGAACAGCCAACAAGGTTAAGAAAAGGGAGGAATAATGAAGAACGAAGACGACCAGCGAGAGCAAGAAACTGTAAAAGGCAGACCAGCTGTATTTACAAGTCGATTAAACCGATATAAGCAAGTACAAAAGTTATGGAGAACGAGGGATTTCCGGGACTGGCTCGGAGAGGATAGTGAGCGCAGTGATGGTCGCGAATGCCAGCCTCGATTTCCAAGTTCTTGGGTGCCACGCCTTATTACTTCATATCTTTACACGCGTCACGGACACAATGCACTTAGTTGACTTGAAACAGCAGCCGCCAGGACATTCTTGGCTTAGCAGCCACTCCCGCCATTAGGAGGCTTACAACCGAAGCCAAGCGGTGAATTGACTATCGCGGATGGAGCCAAGGTCAGCTGTAGCGCTAGCTTCGAACACGGCTTGTGGGACTTTCCGCCTTAAGGCTCAATTCGACCCTGTATGTTACACCTGTGGACATAGAGGAAACAATCTAGGTTGAGACATGAAGACAGTGTTGTGACAGGCTGACCTTGCCTGCCGTGATAAGCGTAAATGAGGAACACTGAATAGCACAGGTTCTTTTGTCCGGTTGTGTGGACTGCGGCTCGGCAAGCGTCTCAACAAGACAACGTTAACATGGCTTCTCGACTCTGGGAGAAATTGGTGGCCCTGAAAGGTTTCTCTGCCAAGTCCGCCAAGTCCGCCGCGCTAAATCCAGAAAAACCCCGCTTGGCGATGAAGCGACATCCAGTAGTGATGATGTGCAATGCCTCAAGCCAGGTGAAGAGCCTCCCTGTAGATCTCTGTCCTGAAGCTGTGGCATTTTGATCGACACAAGGCTTGGAGACGCGTCCGCTCGGGCGTAAGCGGTATTCGTCACCTATCGCGGCTGTGAGAGATTGTGAGCGTCGCCTGGTGTTATCGTTTTCTTGGGGACGCGCGATGAGCCCAGCCAGAAGAAGCACTCAAACCTGTTGGCAGAAGCCGGCAGTACCTGTGTCTATTGGTCACCATAGTACATATCGGGCGGGTCGTGATCGCTCGACGCAGATAGTGGCCCAATGTACACGAAGGTACAGCTAAGTGCTCGAACATCAGTAAGTGATCTGTGATACCCGAACTGTCTGGTGTAGTTGGACAGTGGCAGATTGTGGTTCGTACTGCGAAGCATCTATTGCCGTATTGCCGAGTTGTCCAAACAGCGTAGCGATAGCACCCAACCACTTTCGAGACGGCTGTCTGAAGCCGTTGGTGGATAAAATTCCGCTAACTTATCATCCTGACAGAACCCCTTAAACATAGTCCCCACGCGGGGAAGTGACGCGGTTCAACATCTGGATGGAGCACTGTTTTGCTGTGCTGTCAGTATAGGACGCTTTTCCAATTGCGTCAATCCCACCAAAGTCGATATGATACTTGCGAGAAGATCGTATACACTCTTTAGCACTCGATTGGGTTTGTTCTTAGATATGTTTCGCGTAGTGTGTCTCGCAGCTACTCGATCATGCTGCTGCACAAGCCGTGTGTCTGGTGTGACGAATAGGACCTTCGAAAACTATGTAATTTTTCATGTCTCCCTACGAGCAAGTATTGCCCTCATCGTCAGGAGCGCGTGGTTGCCGATGCTGTCGAAAGAAGGTGCATGTGAGAGCAGCTCGAATGGTGGCCGGAGTGGTAGCCGTAATCTTAGAAGCTATGACGACATACCGGTATCGCTTAAGTGGGCCCACGTTCAGCTCTACCTCATCGTCCCTTCAACTGTTCAAAGGCTTCCAGCCGCCCATGTCAGCGTTCTGCTCTCTTTGCCGTCTCAGCTGACTCTCACTTCGCCAGTTGACTTACCATTATCGGTATTACAGTTGTGCTGCAGAGTATGTTGTTCTTGTGTGCTGATGAGCATTATTCCATAATAGGAGATAAAGAGGTGCATATGAACCTCACTTCAGGCGTCCCAGGCAACGAGCGGGGCTGAGCAAGGCATACGGCCGAATATTTTCAACACGATGCCAAATAAACAGATGTACTTATACTGTCCGCACCAGCACCCATTCTGGGTAACGAAAACTCACACACATCATGTCTACTGCTACTACTGCGTTTATTCCACCCCAACACGTTGTGTCTACGAGCTCTGAAGCCTCCGCCAACATGCCCGTAGTACAGGAAACAGCATCAGAAGAATCTGACAAGCCTACCATGCCTCTTTCATCTCATGGCCTCACCCTTCAAGTGGACTTTGCCTGGTCAAAATTTCGCAACATAGTAGCTTCTAGGGGCGCTGGTGGAGAGCTCACGCCACTCTACGTACAACATTTCCGTCCTGCAAAGCCTCAATTGCGCTTTGAGCGTGTAACAGATCACACGAACATCGCCAAAGGCACCATTCACAGTTTCTCGATCAGCGGAGACTGTATAATTCACGGCCGGGAAATCATCCTGAAACCTTTGAAGCGATGGAAAACCGAATACAACTACCTCTCGCACGCGCTCGGTGGCACACCAGTATCTTGGATAGCCAACAGTACCCTGAAGGTCTGGGACTACGTATGCATCAACTCAGCTACTCAGGAGCCTATCGCAAAGCTCAGTGTGAATTGGTGGGCATTGAAACAAGTCGGAAACTTCTACTTTGACAAGACAGAAGAGGAGGTTTCAGAGAGCTTAAGAGACGAAGTTGTCATAACAGGGCTAACTTTGCTGTATGTCATGACGACGAGAATGAACAACCCAATACATCTGCTAGGTGCAGCATTCGCGAAGCCAGGGAAGGTTGAGGGAAATGAGGCTCAAGCAACAGTTCCGCAGGATGTTCGGGAGACGAATGGCAAACTGAAGAGCACTTGAAGGGAGTTAAATGGTGGCGCATCGCACATCGTTGCTACAGCCAGGACGAGTGTGGTATGAGTTCAAGTTATGTATACCCAATGGAGTTTGTTTTAGCGTTCTATCATTCGCCAGACAGCGCCAAGTGACTCTTGATCATCCACATTGGATTGCAACAAAGAGAATATGGCTTTCGTTGATATAGCAGGACACATTCACTCAAGGTTGATGATGCTTTTGTCTGTGTAGCAAGGGTGAATGGGCACTGAGGGAACCAGCCACGCTATCATTCATCAGCTATCATTCCACTTATCTTCTTTATAAGAACACGAAAAGCATCGTTGTAGATGGAAATGCCCCAATAGTATTCTGCCAAATCAGTTCTAGGCAGAAATAAACATAGCATGAGTAGAGGAGGTGATGTCATACCCCGTGTTCACGCGTCAAGCGACAACGCGTTGTACACGATCTCTAGCAAAATCAACCGCAAATTCTGACCACCATCGTTCCCATCGCATCGACATTCAGATGGTTCATCGACAGGAGGTGGAGAAGAGATGGGAAACTTTCGCGATCCACATCGGTAGCCGCGATTGATTCATCATGACATCAACAGCAACACTAGTGTGGGTACCTGCATGCGATGATGGCATATGGTCTATGCTACCACCAGCTACAAAACGACCTCTCAGCACATACCCCGCCTGAAGTTCTACCTACACACCTTTCAGCTGAAATACTTCACAGTCTACACACTTTGTAACTCAAAAACTTCGGACCTCTTGCTACTTTCCAAACCAATCCACACAGATTACATATCAAGATGCCTCGCATGGTCGCACCCCCGCCGTCTGGAGAGTTCCAGATCGTTCTTAGCAAGCCTTTCAATGGTGAGTTCTTCGGTTTAACATATGTAGTTTCTCACTTACGAGACGTACAGGCGCACCAACACACATGATCGAGGTTATCGGCGAGCCCAACCGCCCAGCTAGCATTCGCATGTCCAACTACAACGGTAACTCCAAGTCATCAGAAAAGAAGGGTGATGTACCACAGTACGTTTCACACAGTCGCCTCCAGTTCATTCTGTCGTTACTAACACCCTTGGCAGAGACGATGTTAAGGAGCTCATGTCTCTCATCTCCACACTACGCGGCTTCCCTTCGCACCCAAGCAAGGACGTCTACGGCCTAGACACCAAGGTTGACTTCAACACAATGGAGATCCAATGGGGCAACCAGGACGACGATGCTGCCATGGATGGTGGTGACCTTGCCGGAGAGCAGAAGGATGAATTCAAGAGGATCGCGGACAGCATTGAGGCGTTGGCGAGGCAATTCGCTAAGCAGGACTCTCCTGTATAGAATGGACAGGGAGTGTTGAGTGATACCTTTATAAAGAGATGATGTCATGACCAACAAATGAATGAAAACAAATCTACTTCCATTGCGCTGGTCGTCTTTGTAAACATTGTGAGCTTGGGTATTTCCGCCTACATGTGCTTGTCGTCGTAGCAAAACATCGTTGAATTACGCTCGCACGTTTGTCTCCATAACCAAAATAACGCCATGTCTACTGCGTAACAGCTAAATCGATGATCATCGCTTCATATCCACATTGGATCATGTATCCATACCTATGTCTAGCTCTCTAGATCTTGTATACGATACCTCCAGAGTACATGATCTTGTTCCTCTCGCTGAGCGCTTCAAGTGCCTTCTCTGCCTCAGCTTCCTCAAATGCTTCGCGCCCGTTACCACCACCAAGTCTAGCATTTACAGCAGCAACCAGAGGTTCCACATCTGCAGCATCGTTCGCAAATAGTGGCCCATCGATAAGTTGACCAAGCGCTGTTTGGAACACTTGCAGACGTGCCGGCGTGATGTCCTGGGATTCTTGCGATTCGGTTTGTGTGGCTGGTAGCTGGGACTCGGGGTGTGAAGATGCGGCGCTGACTTGTGATGATACGCCAGCGCGGGACGACTGTGTACGATTGGTTGTGCGCTGAGTCTTCGGCGTAACGTTGTAAAGGTCTTCGTTCTCGTCGTCTTCTCCACCGTCTTCTTCGGCTGCGGGGGTGCGTGTAGTGCCCGTACGCGTGTTACGGGTAGATGGCCCACCGGTGCGGCGAGATTGTGTGGCCTCTTGCTCGTCACCGTCTTCGTCATCATCACCGGATGACTCTCCGTCTGTGGACATGGCATCTGGATCACGGACTGTTCGTCTTCGCTTGCGGCGGTCGTCCTCGACAACTTCCTTGAACAGCGCGAAACGGAGAATTTGTTCAGCGACCTCTGCATCCTTCTGCTCTACTCGCTTCGACAGACGAGCTTTTGCGTGTGCAGTGGAAAGACGAATGAGTGTTTCGAGAGTACGCGCTGTGATAGGTGAAGTGCGGCGGGTACCAGCATCTAGCTCGTCGTTCCGCAGTGCAGAGTAGGTTGCTACGATGTGATCGGCTGCACCCTTGGTAAGGATTGGTTTCTCGCGTTTAGCATATTGGATGTACTTTTTGATAAAAGGTATGCTGAGGACCTCGGTCCTTCGGTTCGCCCCACGTCCAACTGTGATTGTGACACCGGAATGCAGCATGGGATTGAACTTCTCGTAAACTTCCGTTGGACGATTGGCATCAGCATCAGTGTCGAGACCGACACCCAAGAGCTGAGCTCCCTCCTCTCGGACTGGTGCACCCTCCTCGGTGCCAGGCTGACGGTATCGATGCATGCGGAGGACGTGCTCAGAAACCTGCCTGTCGCGTGCGTCTTCGATGTCGTCGGTAACGACGAAAAGCAGATCGAAACGCGATAGAAGAGAATCTGGAAGAGCAATGTTGCGATGAGGGTCTTTGTGAATGTCGTATTGACCGAAAATGGGGTTGGCAGCTGCGACGACGCTGCATCGAGCATTGAGTGAGGTATGGATACCGGCTTTGGCAATGGTCACGGTCTGTTGCTCCATGACTTCGTGAATAGCTACACGGTCAACATCAGACATCTTGTCAAACTCATCAATACAGACAACACCACGGTCAGCAAGAACCATGGCACCAGCCTCAAGACGACGCTCGCCTGTCTCCTTGTCTGATGTGACGGCAGCTGTGAGACCAACGCCGGACGAGCCACGACCAGTGGTGGCGATGGCGAGCGGTGCGGTATTCAGCACGAATCGCAGAAGTTGCGATTTAGCAGTCGAGGGGTCACCAACCATGAGAATGTTGATGTCTCCTCTCAGATGGGTGCCGTTCTCAAGGTTCTTTTCTTGTCCTCCCAGAAGAAGCAAAAGAATTGCCTTTTTGATGTAGTCGTGTCCGTAAATGGAGGGGGCGAGTGACTGCGATAACAGCTCGAATACGCGCCTGTTTTTCGAAATCTTGTTGATGTTGCGGATATCGGTGTCGGTAATGGAAACCTGGGCGATGCCGCCACCGGACTTGGAAGAGAGAAGGATAACATTGTTTGCCAGGATCAGTGTGCGGAAGGTCGAGCTGCCAGCACCAGCGTTGCGGTTACCGAGTGAGCGATAGATGCCGACAAGCTGTATGCGGTCGCCAGGCTTGACGCGATCGACGAGGTCGTCGTCCAAGATGACATCAACCGAACGCGGTAGCTGTCCAGCAGGCGCACGCTCGGGCATCTCCTGGATGGAGATGGTCTGATGGTCGCGGTAGATGCAGTAGCCGTACTCGGTGACAAGTGGATTTCCCTCACCATCGTCTGTCGGATAGACGCTTGTGCTCGCCGCACCGGTAGTCATGGTCTGATCTCTGTACTCGCGCGAGTGGAACTTCTGCTTGTTCTCGTTGTAGTGGACGCTCTTGACCACCTTGGGCCGCACGAGGGAGGTTTTTGTGACGATGCCCTCGAGCGACACCATGTGGTTCAGCTGGTTTGAGCCCAATGTACGTGGGTTACATGAGTACTCGCCGAAGCTGCCAATGTATGCGCAATAGTAGACCACGTCGTCGCTTGTCTCGGACTTTGGGCGGTCGGTGAAGGTGCGTACGACATCTTTGAGGGCGCGGTCGAAGGCTTCTGTGAATTCGAAGGGCGAGTTGAGCAGACCATCGGCCAGTTCGCGGTTATGTGAGCGGATCTCGTCTATGCTGACCTGGACACGGTGAGTATGCGCATCGTGTTCTGGCGTGCTGCACCTACTGTGAGTCTTCGGAGGCCCCGATTGAGCATCACCAGAATGTCGGGTCGGTAGCTGGAGCCGTCAGTCGGCGCCTGCCCAAGCGAACATGTGCTCCATACCTTCGCCTCGAGACATCGTCTGGGTCGAGAAACTCTTGCGCAAGTCGCACGCGCCTGCGCACCTCCTCGTCCCTGATTACCTCGGCCATGGTGTATTATGTGACTCTTGGACTAGTAAAATGCCAATCGCTGCAAAAGGCTGAACCAACACAGCGTAAGCAGGGGGAATCGCAACGGCTATCTGAACGGGTGTATTGTTTGTGCTGTTGCCGTGGTAAACGCTTCGAGGGGCACCAGTTTCGCGACATCAATTCGCGTCGGCGCTAGTCTCTTTCCGTCACGCGTTCCTTGCCCATTAACCATCCTCTTCCGGCCTGACAGCAGTCGACCATCACCAATCGGCAAAGCTCAAGTACTTTTTGCTCCTCTTGTTCTCTTTGTACTCGGCTTTAGGTACTCGCCTTCATCTACTACCTATCTGTCCGAAATGAGCGCGTTTCGCTATCTACTACAAACAGCCTCGCGAACCCCTCGCAATACGAGGAAACACGCCAACTGGCCACAGCTTCACACCCTCATCTCCATAGACTCTCATCAACACTCGTCAAGGTCCATGTGTAATGTTAATCACCCTGCACTGCTATCTCGAAGCATCGCACCTATAGCATGTGGAGCGGTTGCCCAACGATCTTAGCCGGACATGTCCATCTCAATGTCGGTCGACGTCACCTAAACATGCTGCCGACCAAGCTACCATCGCCGGTCTGCAGACGTTACCAACACGGTATATCGCAGGTCTAGATTGACTCGCCAGTCCGTAGTCGCTGCCGGACCAACTCCGCTAACACCGTGAGCTCCCTTAACGGATCCTGACGTAATGACAATGGCCGCACTTGACGTCGTTAATCCCCGTAGTATATGAGGAGCGGCTTGAGCGGTTGCGAGAAGCACAACGCAGCATTTGCACCTCATTCTCGATCATATTCTCAACACTTTATCCCAGTTGCACCACCATGGCTCCCCGTGTCTTCCTCATAACTGGATGCTCTACTGGCTTTGGCGAGGAGTTCGTCAAGGTCGTTTTGCAAAAGGGTGACTATGTTGTCGCAACTGCACGCAACTCTTCCAAACTATCCTTCGATGGTGCCAACGACTCCAACAGTCTGCTCGTGGACCTCGATGTAACAAAGAGAGAATCTATCGATAATGCCTTCGACGCAGCTATTAAGAAATTCGGAAAAATCGACGTCGTTTGCAACAATGCCGGATATGGTCTCAATGGGCCTTTTGAAACGTTATCGGAAAAGCAAATCAGACAGCAGATGGAGATCAACTTTTTCGGTCTCATCGATGTCACAAGGAAGGCCATGGAGACTATGCGCGACAGGAAGACCGGAGGTGTCATCCAGCAAGTAACATCTATTGGTGGTCAGATTGGTAAGCCTGATGCCTTCGATATCTGGAATCGCAGCTGATGCGTACTAGGCGTGCCTAATTTCTCCATCTACTGTGCCAGCAAATGGGCAGTCGAAGGATTCACGGAGGCAATCTCCAAAGAAGTGAAGCCTGAGTGGGGAATAAAATTCACTTGCATCGAACCCGGTGGTTTCCGAACCGACTGGTCAGGTCGTAGTATGGACTTTGGAGAGATTTCAAACCCGGCATACGCGGACGTCGACCCAAAGAAGCAGGCTCAAGGGCGCCATGGCTCCCAAGCAGGAGGTTCGTTGTCGTGAATCCTCTATAAATCGAACGAAAACTGACAAGCTTTTTTTTAAAGATCCCGCCAAGGCTGCCAAGGTCTTCTACGATCTAGCAGTCATGGACGATCCGCCTATGCGGTGCGTAGTCGGCACCGACGCGTACAGTCTCATCAACAAGAAGCTGGATACGTACAATGAAAGCGTCAAGAAGTTCGACAAATGGAGTAACAGCACCGACGTCAAAGGTTACAAGACGCCCAATTAGTTTTTGGCAAGCAACAGGCAAGATGGGAGAGAAACTCCGAAAGAAGCAGGTAGACAAACGTGTGGTTCTCGTGCGGAGCCTTTGCACGACCTTCGCCGTATAATGAGATTTGTCACAGTCAACTTCACCGCGTTCGCAAATCTCTGCGGTGGCCTTCAACTTCATCACCGATATCATTGTTTCCGACGCACTGATACATGCAGCACTTTGCTTTTGAGGAGCATGGCTTTGTGTTTCGACTATTGAATGCAGAGTGAAAGACAGTAGCTTCAAGATGGCGTACCGTCACACAGCCCCAATGTTGTGGCGGTTGCCACGTTGCGCCCGATCAGAGGGTTTGACTCAAGTCCGATACTTGTCGATGCGACTACACAGCATACTAATGAAGATCAGCGGTGTCATAGTCGAAAACTTGGAACCTCCATGTGGCACTACCAGCATCGCGGAGTAAATGAAATATTTGGCGTACGTTTGGCTGTAATAGCGGGCACCGGATCTGGTCGCGTAACGTTCCACTCGAGCTTCGATACCACAGAGCGCAACAACTCGAAAATAGTTCGAAGATCATGCACCTGATGCAGAATACTCAGACGAAAAGCAATCGCTGACATCACTGGTACTACTCGAAAGGTACATCCACCAACAGTATTGCAAAACCGCTATGTCATCGGCACTTCACGCATCCGAATATGTTCACGATCCTATGAATATCGCGTACCTACAGGTAATAAATCTGCGGCGTTTAAACAGGCGCAAGCTCGACGATGTCATACGACTCTCTTCGTGAGCTCTTGCTCGGACGGGGCTTTGTTGCCTGCCTAGCCTCTACTTGCTATTGCTCTTCTCACCGCCGCACATACGAGGCCGAAATCCAGGGCTTGCACGGAGCGTCTGACCCTCTCCTAGCTCTAGAAGTACGTCGCATGACGAAGTCCTGAGCGCTTCCCTGAATGAAAGGCGGAGGTGGGGGTTCGCACAAGAGCGTTCGTGGCCAATCCCTGCGTACATTATACAAATCTTACCACTTCTTTAGTCACGAGAAGTGCGGTTCTTACAACACACCTACCGTGTTTATGTGTTCTGAGCGCCGTGCCATAAGCTTTGGCGTCAGCTGTTTATTGTGGTTGCAAACGAACGCTGTTGTCGGCTTTTAGTGACAATTCATAACCCCTGACGCCTTTCACGCTCCATTTGTATAAAATCTGCGATCGATCGTATGCCTTCCATAAACATTCATCTTCCTTTGTTTTCCTCACTGATTATCAATATTTGACTATGAGGAGCATTGGAACCACCATCCGGGACTCGGGCCCAGTGAGGTTCACCACCGCATTACTTACTGCGATACTCATCACCAGCGCTACCTTTCTACCACTCCTGGCTCACGAAGCTGCTGCAAACGCGATTCCAGCGCCACGACCACTCCCTCACGCAGGACCAGGACCACAGCCAAATCCAGACCCACAAGCTGGCAGTCCGACAGTTGATGGTTTGTACCCAGATCCAGAACCATGTCGTGGCAACTGCACATGGATCCATGATCCCAGCATCTTGTACGAAGACGGTAAGTACTGGCGTTTTTCGACCAGTGGAAACATCGCTATTGCGACTGCATCTTCACTGGAAGGCCCTTGGCGCTATGAAGGCGCTTTATTACATAACGGTACGAGTATAATGGTCCATCCAGAACAGGATATCTGGGTACGTTCGCTCCTCCACGATACCTTGCATTGACGTGTTGAGCACCTTTCTGATCGACGCGAACAGGCACCTTCAGTGACGAAGCGAGGAGACACTTACTACTGCCACTACTCTGTATCGCGTATCGGTCTCCAGAACTCCTCTATCGGTGTGGCGACATCGCTTTCCCTTGAGCCAGGTAGCTGGCAAGACCACGGTGATATCGGTCTCCCCCTATCTCACAAGTATAACTTGATCGACCCCTTCGTGTACCAAGAGACGCCCAATGACCCAATTTACTTTACCTTTGGATCTTTCCGGGACGACATCTTCCAAGTTGAGCTATTTCCCCACGATGACCTTATAGCTTTTGGTAGGTGGGTCGCGGACAACAATCGTATCAATAACTTGGTGCGCAATGGTACCATCGGTGCCGGAGTCTCTGAAGGTGCTATCATGCACAAAGAGAAGGATTTTTACTACATGTTCTACAGTGTTGGTCAGTGCTGCAACAAGCCATCAGACAAGGACGGCCTTGCACCGGAAGGTCAAGTGTACCACGTTGTCGTCTGCCGCTCGGAAGTCCCAACCGGACCCTTCTACGACCGAGAGGGCAAGAGTTGTCTCGAAGAGAATGGCGGTACTACGATCCTCGCCAGTCATGGCGATATCTATGCGCCTGGTGGTCAGGGTGTTATGGCGCACCCTGACAATGGGAGGACGGTGATGTATTATCATTATGGTATGCGGAAGAGTGAACGTGATACACGAAACCTGAGCTGACGTTGACGCAGTTCGCCAGAGTGTTGGCTACGAGGCCGATCAATTCTTCTTTGGTTACAACTACCTCAATTGGGAGGACGGATGGCCGGTCGTTGTTGTTGCCTGATTGACTGGTGTTCTGCAAGGACTTTCGGCAGTATCTTGACCTACCTTTGGTTTGTCCCAGGTACGCCATACAGCGCCGAAGTTTATCCAATTGCTTCGTGTCACAAGCCTGTGTTCTTGTATTTGGGTCTTGCCTTCGCGCGCTTGGAGAGGCGCGTTATAGTGATGGTTCATGGGATGGCGTTCCCATGATCCACGCTCTACGTACTTACGATTAAGACTGTTCCGGAAGCAATGCTGAACAAGCGTTGTCATAGGGTCTGATTTACTGGAGGGTATCAGCGAGCCACCTGTCCACGAGTACGACTAAAGTCGTAAGTCTGCGTTGTCAATATTTAAACACTTTGGTAATACTTGGGTCATAGCTCGTGGGTAACGTCTAATGTGTTCTTATTCTGGCTATGAAACGATCGTCGTATTGGCAGTCCACATAACCAATCCTACGTTATTATCAAATATGACTGTTGTTCATTTGCGTAATCATATTGACCACGATACCATGATGCTTGATAAAAGGAAACTGCGCTCATAGTCGCTCCACACCTAGCACACGGCCACGTCGATCGGGCCACGCAAGCAACTTCTAATGACATTCTGTCAAAGCTTGTAGTCTCACAGACTTTTCTCTCAGATGATGCGCCGCATTTTAGGCCTTCTCGCCAATAATGCAGCGTGCATGCGCTTAGTCTCGGAAGTGGTGGCTGGTGGAAGGAATCAACCGGGAGGGCCGAATACGCGGGGTAGGGGTATTCTCATTATCTGAGAAATAACTCATGGATCTGATTATGCTGTTTGCTTTTGCTGAGATCAGCTTCTTAGAACAACCCGTCATACATCTCATTGCGGATATCGCAATGATTCCGCAACGTCGCGAATCGCGGATTGTAACCTCAGACGCGATGGACGCTTGAGGGAGGTGCATGAATGCTATTCCTGAACATGGCTAGCCTCTGGTGACGTCACCAATCGGTCTCTCCGGCTGAGATCGCACCATGCCTATTTACCTGCCAAGTACTCCACAGTGAATACAGGTTATTCCATTCCTGCGGGTCAGTACAAGACCTGTGCACGCGACTGATCGCCTCTACGTCGCCTACGCCTCACTCCTCAGCCTCTCCATCTCTCCAGCCTCATCATCACCATTGTTACCCCGCGCTGATCGCTGCGCACGGCCGTCAAGATGCCCTCTCAAGAGAAGGGCCTTAAGAAGCTCTTTCACCCCTTCAACCATCGCGCCTCTGAAAAGATAGAGGAGATCGAGCAGAAACTTGAGCACACCAAACTGCGAGGTGCGCATATCAAGGCCGTGCATGTGAAGCATAAGATTGGCAAATTTACCAACCTCTTCAACGCCAACCATCGCCATGACGAAGAGCATGAGAAGCAAACAGATGCGAAGAGGAGTAAGATTGCAGAGAACCACCGGTTCCAGAGTTTTGCACCGGAGCGAGATAGTAACTTGGTGAAGTGGTATGTAGATGGCAGGGACTACTTCTGGGCCGTTGCCGAGGCATTGGAGCAGGCCAAAGAGACCATTTACATCGCAGACTGGTGGCTCAGCCCTGAGCTCTTCCTAAAGCGACCGCCATACTACAACCAGCATTTTCGGTTGGATCAGGTGCTCAAGCGACGTGCCGCGGCTGGTGTGAAGATCTATATTTCCGTGTACAAGGAGGTAAGGTCGTCAATTAGCAGCAGAAATTCATCAGCTTATATTGAACAGGTTTCTGCAGCCCTCACGTGCAACAGTCAGCATACCAAGAAAGCACTGATGGGCCTCTTTGAAGAGGGCGAACCTGGATACGGAAACATCAAGGTAATGAGACATCCCGATCACAATGTCTTCGAGAACGCCTCAGATATGACATTCTATTGGGCACATCACGAAAAGTTTATTGTCATCGACTATGCTATGGCCTTTATTGGTGGACTGGACTTGTGTTACGGACGATGGGACGAGAAGCAACATCCGCTTTCCGATGCGCACCCCTCTGGTGTACAAAATCAGATCTTCCCTGGTCAGGATTACAACAACAACCGTATCATGGATTTTGAGAGTGTTCAGGACTGGAAATCTAACAAGCTGAACAAGCTCGAGTACGGTCGCATGCCATGGCACGACGTGGCTATGGGCGTTATTGGTCCGGCGGTGTACGACATCGCTGAACATTTCGTCCTGCGATGGAACTTTGTGAAGCGAGAAAAGTACAAGCGTGACGAAAGATATGACTGGCTTACCATGGAAGGTCGAGAAGGCGCTGACGAAGATCTGATCGGAGTGCAGAGGCCCAAGTTTCCTGTGGGTGAATACGTGCACCATCCCATCACTCAGCTGAACAGCAAAAATCTCGACAATCGCGGTACCGTACATGCACAATTAATCCGAAGTAGCGGAGACTGGAGCATGGGTATCGATCCTCATGAGCAGAGTATCCAGAACGCATACTGCGAGCTCATCCGCAACGCGAAACACTATGTTTACATTGAGAATCAATTCTTCATCACGGCGACGGGAAAAAATGATACGAACCCTGTCCATAACCAGATTGGAGCTGCGATGGTTGATGCAGTGGTATCAGCAGCCAAGGAGCAGCGCAACTTTAGACTGATCATTGTCATCCCGGCTATTCCAGGATTCGCAGGAGACCTGCGAGATCAAGCTGCTGCCGGAACACGCGCCATCATGGATTATCAATTCAAGAGCATCTGTAGAGGGGATGAAAGCATCTTCGGAAGAGTCAAAGCGGCCGGTGTCGACCCCGAAAAGTACATCTTCTTTTTCAACCTACGTTCGTACGACCGCATCAACGTCACACCCACGCTTAAGGAGCGTGAGAAGAAGTCCGGCATGACGTACATGGAGCTTGAAGCAGCTGAAATCGATGAGCTGGAAGCATCACCGGAGGAAGGAGGAGAGGAGGCACGTCGTAAAGCGGCTGAGTTGAGGAAGGCATATATGAGCGAGTCTGAAGACGTAGGCAAAGGTGATCAGGGCGGTGTCATTGATCCTGATTCGATTGCCGACGACGCCATGCTTACGGAAAAGAAGCCCAGTGAAGAAGATTGGGAAGGTGAAGAGGAAGACGAAAAGGAGCACTTCTTCCAAGAGGAGCTCTACATCCACGCCAAAATCTGCATCGTTGATGACAGGACCGTTATCTGCGGTTCTTCCAACATCAATGACCGCTCCCAATTAGGCTTCCATGATTCAGAACTCTCGATTGTCTTGCAGGATACGGACGAGATCGATACGGAGATGGATGGCAAGCCTTACAAAGCTGCACGCCTTGCCCACCAACTTCGCAGCAGCTTATGGCGCGAACATCTCGGCCTACTCCCACCCCAGTCCCTCAATGCCGCAGATGACCCCAACGCGCAACCGCCTGGCGAGAAATCGCCGAACGATCCCATGCCCGGCCCCGAAGCTGACTTTGTCTCCGATCCCTTGTCATCCAAACTATGGGACGAGTGGACCGAGCGCGCAACCACCAATACCGAGGTGTTCAGGTCTTTGTTCCACGCCGATCCCGATGACAGTATCCTTACGTTCGAAGACTATGATAAGTTTACCCCTAATCCTTCGGGCGACAAGGAGCATAAGCAGGGGCACTTGTACGACATGGTCAGGCCTGTCAAGGAGATTAGAGCGGAACTGGATCGCGTGAAGGGGCATCTAGTGTGGATGCAGTTGAAGTTCCTTGAGAATGCTGATATGGCTGAACGGGGACTGCAGGTGAACTCCTTCACGGAAAGTGTTTACACATGAGGCGGGGTCGACAATTGCATGGTATGTGTTGGTTCACCTGTTCTGTTCCAAGAGTATGTGTGGTGAATGCTGGCCGGATATCTCTGGTCCTCAACACTGAAGCTAGTGGACTACTCGCATCGGTGTGTTAGTTTGATTTTCTTCCTTCCTTCATGATTCCCTGTTACGTTTCATCAACGTCGTTATGATCTGAATGTATCTTTCTTTGTCTTTAGTCTTGCGGGGTGCTATCGAGGGGATTCTGATGGCGAGTATCGTGCGCTGAATATCATTTTCAAGATGCAGTATACTGTGTCTGCTACCGTTTACACTATGCACAAAGATTGAAGTTGAGACGCGCCGCGAGAGACGAGGAATGCAGAACTATCACTAAGTCTTTGGTGTAATGCTTGAACTACCATAGAGAGCGACAGCTCGATAAGTTGACACCGAATAAACAAGTGAAGTAATTGGATTTTTTCGAGATGTATCATATCATGCTGGAATCGTACAGGGACTTTTGTTGTGTCCTCCAGCTCTACTTTTCTAACACCTAAATGCCGATACGAACACTTTCAATCTTCTTCACGTTCATCACTATCACCAGCTCCTTGTTCCGCTCTCGCCGCCACCTCCTCATCGTCAGTCTCCCAAGCCAAATCCCCCTGAAAATCTCTTTCACTTTCATCTGTCACAAACAATGGACTCTCCGTCTTCTCGGTCACGAACCGTCCAAAAGAATCCTGCGAACGCGCAATAGACGCACGGCCCTCTTCTTCGAGCCCTTCCTGATCTTGCTTTCCTCCTTGCCCTTGTTGCCTTCGTGGTGAATACTGGCTCACTTCCGAAGAAACATCAAAAAAGTTGTCAAAGTCGAAGGACTCCAGCGAGCTCTCATCGGATGCGCGCTCTCCTGGCTCTGATACTTCTTGCTCTGGTTGGTCTTCACGTAACATGATCCTCTCCACAGTTGCTAGGGATCTGAAACCTGGAAAGGGATCACTGTAACGCTGAGCGTGTGACCGTGGTCGAGGCGGGGCAGGACGTAACGGGATGAAGATGTATGGGGCAGAGAAATACGTAGTGCTATAGTGTGAAGTAGGAATTGGTGGGCCGATAGAGTACACGGTTGTCGAATTCGTGTTTCGGCGTTGCATGGCTGCTCGACGAACGGCCAGAGGAGGCTGTAGAGGAGCTGGTGGTGGTGGTGGTGGTGGTACGGGAGTAGGGGCAGGACTGAAAGCTTCCAACACTGGATGAGCTGGTGGATTTCCTACGATGGGAAACCCTTCATCATCAAGATTTGGTAACTGCGGCTGTTTCCATGGAGACTCGGGAGATGAGACGTCTGGAGGTGTTGTCGACTTTCTAGCCCTGTGTCCAAAGCTGAGGCTGCTTTGACCTCGAGCTTGGACTCTCCTCACAAAGTGTGCGTATAGTACCTCATACGATCCATTGGCCCATTCATCCTCCTTTAGCAACTTTCCATTCTCACAACGCGAGTCCCGCCGGAAGTGGAAATGTACTGTGTGTGTTTCTTGGTTCCGGTTGAAGTAATTGAAGCAGTTGGAGACGAGGGCGCCGTAGTCTCCTAGCTCAGATGAAGGACGACGGATATAACGAATGTTGGTAACGTAGTCACGTATCTCTATCATTGTAGAGGTGGAGACGGACATATCCAGTGGAGTGGAGAATATATACTTGAGTTTTCAGAGAATGGGTACTGTATATGTGAAGTCGACGATAGAAAGAAGAACGGCGAAGAGCTATAGTTATTTCATAGTCGCAAGAGACTGTGTTTGTGATAGTCACGTGTGCAAGGACCACACGAACTATAACAAACCGAGGGGCAAATGACATCGATTAGTGAAAGGGGAAAAGCATGACTTGACCATGTGAGTTAGGACCGTGGAAAACCAAGCTTTTGAGAGTCACAAGCTGCTTGAACTCAGGGTAGAGCATCGAATTCAGAAACCTCAGTGGTAACCCGAAAAAAGCCTACTGATTCATCTTCTGCCATCATGTGAACGGAAATCAACTTGTCTCTTCCTTCTTGCCTCTTCTCACCTTCCGTATAACTGCTCGATTCGTGATCTTGTACTACCGGCTTCTCTTCCGCCCTCACACCCATCTTCATTCTGGTCTTCGCTCTAGTACCCCCAATGATTTTCAAAAGGCAAAAGTTTTCACGGTCTTCTACAAGAGATCCACTTTCTTTGATGGAATTTGCACTTCGCCATACGTTTTCGCATGCTAAGTGTGTTGTGCAGGAGCATAGGTAACGATAGTGTTTCGTGTATTCAGCATTTCATGGAAAACAGGCCGCATATTTGGTGTGTGACACCGTATCCTTTCGCATGGCCGATGATGATGCCTTGTTTGCGGAGACGTTGATGTAGCAAGTCGTGCATAGCAGTAATTGATGATCCGAGTGCGGGCGACTCAAGAGTGGTCAATAGGAGAGATATTAGGGTGAAAAGACGGGAGTCTGGTGTTTTGCCCCTCCTTTCAGTTGCATTATATCCTCGATAACGGGTTTGACGGTTTGCAGTCTATTATCGCAGGATGAGAATCCTTCTAAATCGAGTATGTACTCCCCGTCTACCATGGTGGTCTATGTATTACTCTTTGTCAGAATGTGTTTCGAGCATTTCTCAGGAATACGAAGTATCATAGCACCGACTTCCTGAAGATCTAAACCTTCATGTAGATAACCTGATGCGGCGTGGCAACATTGTGATAAAAGAAATAGCACACGACGGCGGAGCACTTTTCGACATGCAATATGAATGTTATGCGATCAGATGTGATGTCGTTTGTTGCAGAGGAGTCTGTCAACGGGTATCCTAAGGAATATACAAACACTTTTATCGAGACGTACTTCAGCCTGGCATGAGGTGTGATTAGACACCAATCATGTCATCATTCCCGTTGATCTTTCGGTCGCTCTCTTTGGCTCTTGCTTTGGTCTTCTTGTTGTTGCTGTCAACAGCAGCGGTGCTGATAGCCCTCTTCCTCCGCCCCGCTTGAGCACTTGCCGTAGGTGACAGTGTCTCTTCCTTTGAAGCTTTAGACATGTCCTCGGGCAGGAACTTACCGCTACCAGCAGCCTCTCGGACCAACGATGTATAGAGCTCCTGAACGGCAAGCTCACTTGCACTTGCATCTTGTGACATGCCGCCTTCGTCGGAGAAGGATGTGTCTGCAAGGGGGTCGGGTGCGACGAGTTTCAGTCGTTCGGTGCCGAGGTGGAAACTGTTGCAGGCGATGCGCGATATCTGAACTTTGGGGTGCGATATGTCGAGAGCGAGGTGTTGTTTGAGATAGGTGGACAACGCAGCTGTAAAGGGCTTGTTGCGGGTATCTTTGAGCAGCCTGCCACGGTCGACGAAACCGGAGATGTCGGCACCTGCGATGGTGATCTCTACGTGCTTGAGGGTAGTTGTACTATTGGGAAAGGCTAGTTGGATGTGCAGCTGTCTTATAATGTCTTGGATGGATTGGGTCGAGTAGCGCGCTGAGAGGTGCTTCAAGTATGTCTCAAGACTCGAAGTGATGATGGGGGAGGGCAGCTTCAAGGGCGCAACGTAGGCATCGAAGGTCGTTCGGAGATAGTTCAGAAAGATGTCACGTATTGGACCCGGCATTTTCACAAGCAACAGTGGTAGCGATGTGAAGCCCTTTGGCGAGGAGGTGACGCCTGGGTCGCGCAGCAGGAGCGCATTGTATGTCTGCTTCTCGTACTCGAGGCTCACTTGCAGTCCTCGCGCGCGGTCTGGAGAGAGCTGGGAGAGGGATGACAAGTGCGAGGCATCGACATCTATCGACTGGCGATGTCGGTCAATCCAGGCATCTTCGTCTCCGATCATGTCCCAGCTGCACTCGTCCAGCGGCCCCAGCTTTGCGGTATCCTCAGCGCCGGCAAAGTCGACCTGGACGCCTCGCACATTGTCGCCTTTGAGCTGTTCTTTTAGGCGCTTGGCATGGGTTCGGAGTGAGGCTTCTAGTAGGAGGGGCGTGTCGTGGCAGTGGAGTGGGGACAGGCGGTACAGGTTGTACGTCCTGTTGTAGAGTGGGTACGGGGGAATATGGGCCATGATGATGTCAGCTATCTCATGGTCGACGAGTTTGACGCGTGCGAGTTCTCCAAGGCGGTTGTGTATGCTTGCATGGGCGCTCGAATGGGATGGCGCCCTCTAGACGCGTCGGAGGGTGACTGCGACGTGTATGGGGCCATGACGCAGCGTGTTGCTGGTTGATTTGCTTCGTGGTCCGTGCCTTCCGCAACACTTTCTTTAGTGACCCCGCTAAAACAGGGCTTGTCGAGAAGGTTCTCTTTTCTTCGACGTATTGCCAGCAAGTCATCAGAGCAGCGGCTTATTGAAATTTGCGACCCGTGCCTGCCTATCTTTTACACGACCTTGCAAAAAAACCACTTTCACCGCACACACTCCCTACACTACCCCATACACACGCACATATACCCCACCATCAGAGATAAACATGTCTGTAGTAGGTGTTGATTTGGGAACGCTCAACAGCGTCATTGCTGTTGCGCGGAATCGAGGTGTCGATGTGGTAAGTACTACTAGCCTAATCGCATGTTATCGTCTACCAAGATACTGACTGTGCGTAGATTGCAAATGAGGTTTCCAACCGCGCGACACCGTAAGTATACCCCCAGCCCACACTCGCACACCCACCCACACAAAACGACAGTCGACTTACAATTTCGCAGATCGCTAGTAGGCTTCGGCCCCAAGAGCAGATACGTTGGCGAGACGGCCAAGAACCAGGAAATCTCCAACCTCAAGAACACCGTCTCCTCCTTCGTCCGCCTCGCCGGCCGCAACCTCTCAGATCCCGATGTCCAGGTCGAGCAAAACTTCATATCCGCGCCGCTCATCGACATGGGCGGCCAGGTCGGCGCTGAGGTGCAATACCTGGGAAAGAAGGAGCAGTTCACTGCTACTCAAATCACAGCCATGTTCCTCACCAAGATGCGAGCCACAGCATCTGCCGAACTAAAACTCCCCGTCAACGACGTCGTCCTCAGCTGCCCCGTCTGGTACACCGACGCCCAGCGCCGCGCCATCCTCGACGCTTCCGACATTGCTGGCCTCAAGTGCCTCCGCCTCATCAACGACAACACCGCAGTCGCTCTCGGCTGGGGAATCACAAAGCTCGACCTGCCAGGGCCCGAGGAGAAGCCACGGAGAGTCGTCTTCGTCAACATCGGCCACAGCAACTACACCGCTACCGTCGTCGAGTTCAAGAAGGGTGAGCTGGCTGTCAAGTCGAGCGCCTGGGACCGCCACTACGGTGGACGCTACATCGACCAGGCCCTTGTCGAGCACTTCGCCAAGGAGTTCAAGGAGAAGTACAAGATCGACGTCATGGAGAACGGCAAGGCTCGCCTCCGTTTGGCTGCTGGTGTCGAGAAGCTCAAGAAGGTCCTTTCCGCAAACAACCAGGCGCCCATCAACGTCGAGTCCATCATGAACGACGTCGATGTACGCGGTATGCTCAAGCGCGAGGAGCTCGAGGAGCTGATCAAGCCCCTCATTGACCGCGCTACCGCCCCTATCGAGCAGGCTCTCGCTGAGGCCAAGCTCACCACCGCCGACATCGACGCCATCGAGATGGTTGGCGGCTGCACACGTGTGCCCGTTCTCAAGTCCAAGATCCAAGACTACTTCGGCAAGCCCCTCTCCTTCACACTCAACCAGGATGAGGCTGTCGCTCGTGGATGCGCTTTCTGCTGCGCCATCCTCTCGCCAGTATTCCGTGTCCGTGACTTCTCCGTCCATGACATGGTCAACTACCCTGTCGAGTTCACCTGGGAGAAGTCAGAGGACATTCCTGATGAAGACACCAACCTGACCGTCTTCAACAAGGGTAATGTCATGCCATCGACCAAGATCCTCACCTTCTACCGGAAACACCCATTCGACCTTGAGGCCAGGTACGCCAAGCCCGAGCAACTGCCGGGCAAGATGAACCCATGGATTGGCCGATTCTCCGTCAAGGGTGTCAAGGAGGACCCCAAGGGCGACTTCATGATTTGCAAGCTCAAGGCACGCCTCAATGTGCACGGTGTACTCAACGTCGAGTCTGGATACTATGTCGAGGAAACCGAGGTCGAGGAGCCAATTCCCGAGTCTCCGTCAGCAGAGAAGAAAGAGGGTGATGTACGTTCTTCCGAATTTCCTAATGATCTTAGTAACGGCCGGCGAAGTCCGCCTGAGCCTGCCGCGAAACGACGAAAGCCTAGCGCTGATCCTGTACTTGGGCGTCCTGCTTTTGCGCATATAACAGATGAGCTAACAGATAATGCGCAGGCAATGGACGTTGACAAGGACGCTGCAAAGGAGCCACCGAAGATGCGCAAGGTTAAGAAGCAGCAGCGCAAGGGTGACCTGCCACTATCAGCAGGCACTGCTTCGCTTGACGAGGAGAGCAAGCAGACCTTGGCCGAGAAGGAGAACTCTATGATCATGGAGGACAAGCTCGTTGCCGACACCGAGAACGAGAAGAACAACCTTGAGAGCTTCATCTACGAGCTCAAGGACAAGATCCTCGACGTCTACGCCGAGTTTGCCAGCGACGACGAGAAGGCAAGGCTCAACACCAAGCTCGAGACCATTGAGGTAAGTACAGTTCAATACATGGTTCTCGAATGGCGCTAACATTCATACAGGAGTGGTTGTACGATGAGGGCGACGACGCGTCCAAGGCACAGTACGTTTCCAAGAAGGAGGACATCCGCTCCATCGCAGGACCCATCATCCAGCGCTACAACGACAAGATCGAGAGCGAGCGACAAGCGGTCATGGAGAAGCAACAGAAGGAGCACGCAGCTAAGCAAGCCGAGCTCGAGCGCGCAAAGCGGGAGGCCGAGGCCAAGAAGCAGGCTGAGGCGCCGCCGGCGGAAGAGCCAAAGGACGCGGAGATGACAGACGCTGAGGCGCAAAAGCCTGACGGCGTTGAGGAAGCTTCTTAAGCGAGGCATCTGCGTAGGCGTAACGGCAAGTGAAAAGCATTTGGTCGGCGTGGTATACAGGGCTACGTTTGGCGCGAGGGAAAGTTTCTTGTTCAACTTTTCTTTTTTTCTGTGATGAGATCATGGTAATGCGATGCTTATGATAGACTAGTCCATAGACGAACGAACACGATATCCTGTTCTGGAACTATGTTCCATTACTTCCATTATCTATTCAAATACCCCACCAAGTGTCGAACTCGGCATGCTAAAGCACTTGAAATTAGAGAAAGAGCTTGCATTTCCTAGAGCTAGGCGTCCCGCCCCGTCTCCGCTTTCTGTAGGACCTACCAATCAAAACTTGGTTGTACCAAGCAGGCGAATGAGGGGGCACGCTTTATGCAGGGGCCATCTGTGCCTTCCCTGAGCTTAGCGAGCTTAGGGGTCATCGTCTTAGAACTCGCAACGTCTTCGCCGTCTGTTTTTTTGAAGAGACGCATTTGGACCCGCCGAGTATCTTTGCTGCGAGATAATCTGAGCCAGCGCCTTCATGTTCTTGCCCTAGCTAGGGACTACTCTCGCTATGCACTCAGAATCTGTCGTGTCAGATCAACTTACTTCTGCAAAAGCTACATGCCAACATCAGAGCACTACTGTGCGGAGGAAGTCGAAGACAGGGTGTGGAACCTGCAAGTGAGTGGTTTGTTTTGTTCAAGGGTATCAGGATCGTCCGATTGGCGGTCTGTTGTTCAACGGTCTGGGCTGTCCGTGGATCTGTGCCTATGAACGCTTACCGACGTTGACTAGAGCCCGAAGAGTTAAGTGTGATGAAGCAAAGCCTGTGTGCTCTCGTTGCCGATCTACTGGTCGAACGTGCGAGGGTTACGGCTTGTGGGGAGGCGGGGGGAATACCTACGTTGAGAGATATGGCGGAGCATCTACAAACGATACCTCGCTAGTCTCAGTTCAGAAGCCTCCTACCAAAGTTCTACCCGTCGAAGAACTCAGACACCTACAACTATACAGGATTAGGATCGTCCATACAACGTCGGGTTGGTTCGCCTCGAAGTTTTGGAGCTCGATTGTACTGCCGGCAGCTTCGTCAGAACCTGCTGTTCTTCATGCTGCTGTGGCGTTGAGTGCTGCGCACAGATGCAGTTACAACCCGTCACAAGCTCCAGATACGCGGGAGAGGTTTGTGCTCCAGCAGTATACCAAAGCCATCCGATCACTACAGCCACTGTTACAACGTGGAGACAAAGACTCCATCACAGTTATTTTGGTCACCTGTCAGTTGTTCACTCAACTGGAGTACCTCCGCGGAAGGTACCAGATTGCTGAAACACACTTACGAAATGGCTTAAAGCTTCTGAAAAACACGGCTACTGAGAAAGATGACTCTCATCATGGTGTGTTGGTAATCAGACCGGCTTCACACGGGAAAATCGTAGATCGAAGTATCGTACGCAGCTTTGCGACTCTGCACATGCAGAGCAGCCTGTTCGGTTCCAGTCTAGAGGACGTCGATCTATTCCTGCAACCGATTGGAAACGATATGCCGTATTCTGCTTTCACAAGTGTCGAAGAAGCGAAGGACACTCTGGACGTGCTGTTGCATCGCATAGCTTTGATCAAACAACGATATCGAAAATCAGGAGCTGGAACTGAAGATGATGTTGTTGCAGTGACATCGGTACAAGATGAAATCACAAGCCATCTTGCGACTTGGTACGAAATCTACAAGCGTACGATGTGTAGGATCGACAAGATACTCCTAGCTGCCGGAAAGCGACCCAACGACCCGCTATCATTTGGCGCAAAGACACCGCCAACAAAGCTCCCAACAGATCGCGAGCCATCAGTATTCAAATCATTACTTATGCATCACGCTATGGCGAGCGTCATGTGCGGTTGCTTGCGTTCTTACTCCGAACAGCAGTATGAAGCGTATACCGATATGTTTCTCATGATAGTTATGCACGCTATACACATCTTTGAAGAATACTCTCTAGCTCGATCCATCCCGGATAATGTCAATCTCCACGATTCTATTGGCGAGTTTGGCTTTATAGCGCCGTTGTACTTCACGGCTATCAAGTGTCGACACCATCGTAT